ATCAGCATCAGCGCATCAGCATCAGCATCAGCATCAGCGCATCAGCATCAGCATCAGCATCAGCATCAGCATCAGCGCATCAGCATCAGCATCAGCGCATCAGCATCAGCATCAGCATCAGCATCAGCATCAGCATCAGCATCAGCGCATCAGCATCAGCATCAGCATCAGCATCAGCATCAGCGCATCAGCATCAGCATCAGCATCAGCATCAGCGCATCAGCATCAGCGCATCAGCATCAGCATCAGCATCATCATCAGCATCAGCATCAGCGCATCAGCATCAGCATCAGCATCAGCATCAGCATCAGCGCATCAGCATCAGCATCAGCGCATCAGCATCAGCATCAGCATCAGCATCAGCATCAGCATCAGCATCAGCATCAGCATCAGCATCAGCATCAGCATCAGCGCATCAGCATCAGCATCAGCATCAGCATCAGCATCAGCGCATCAGCATCAGCGCATCAGCATCAGCATCAGCATCAGCATCAGCATCAGCGCATCAGCATCAGCATCAGCATCAGCATCAGCATCAGCATCAGCATCAGCATCAGCATCATCGCATCAACATCAGCATCAGCATCAGCATCAGCGCATCAGCATCAGCGCATCAGCATCAGCATCAGCATCATCATCAGCATCAGCATCAGCGCATCAGCATCAGCATCAGCGCATCAGCATCAGCATCAGCATCAGCGCATCAGCATCAGCATCAGCATCAGCATCAGCATCAGCGCATCAGCATCAGCATCAGCGCATCAGCATCAGCATCAGCATCAGCATCAGCATCAGCATCAGCATCAGCGCATCAGCATCAGCATCAGCATCAGCATCAGCGCATCAGCATCAGCATCAGCATCAGCATCAGCGCATCAGCATCAGCGCATCAGCATCAGCATCAGCATCATCATCAGCATCAGCATCAGCGCATCAGCATCAGCATCAGCATCAGCATCAGCATCAGCGCATCAGCATCAGCATCAGCGCATCAGCATCAGCATCAGCATCAGCATCAGCATCAGCATCAGCGCATCAGCATCAGCATCAGCATCAGCGCATCAGCATCAGCATCAGCATCAGCATCAGCATCAGCGCATCAGCATCAGCATCAGCATCAGCATCAGCATCAGCATCATCGCATCAGCATCAGCATCAGCATCAGCATCAGCATCAGCATCAGCATCAGCATCAGCGCATCAGCATCAGCATCAGCATCAGCATCAGCATCAGCATCAGCATCAGCGCATCAGCATCAGCATCAGCATCAGCGCATCAGCATCAGCATCAGCATCAGCGCATCAGCATCAGCATCAGCATCAGCATCAGCGCATCAGCATCAGCATCAGCATCAGCATCAGCATCAGCATCAGCGCATCAGCATCAGCATCAGCATCATCGCATCAGCATCAGCATCAGCATCAGCATCAGCGCATCAGCATCAGCGCATCAGCATCAGCATCAGCATCATCATCAGCATCAGCATCAGCGCATCAGCATCAGCATCAGCATCAGCATCAGCATCAGCGCATCAGCATCAGCATCAGCGCATCAGCATCAGCATCAGCATCAGCATCAGCATCAGCATCAGCGCATCAGCATCAGCATCAGCATCAGCATCAGCGCATCAGCATCAGCATCAGCATCAGCATCAGCATCAGCATCAGCATCAGCGCATCAGCATCAGCATCAGCATCAGCATCATCGCATCAGCATCAGCATCAGCATCAGCATCAGCGCATCAGCATCAGCGCATCAGCATCAGCATCAGCATCATCATCAGCATCAGCATCAGCGCATCAGCATCAGCATCAGCATCAGCATCAGCATCAGCGCATCAGCATCAGCATCAGCATCAGCATCAGCATCAGCGCATCAGCATCAGCATCAGCATCAGCGCATCAGCATCAGCATCAGCATCAGCATCAGCGCATCAGCATCAGCATCAGCATCAGCATCAGCGCATCAGCATCAGCATCAGCATCAGCATCAGCGCATCAGCATCAGCATCAGCATCAGCATCAGCATCAGCGCATCAGCATCAGCATCAGCATCAGCGCATCAGCATCAGCATCAGCATCAGCGCATCAGCATCAGCGCATCAGCATCAGCATCAGCATCATCATCAGCATCAGCATCAGCGCATCAGCATCAGCATCAGCATCAGCATCAGCGCATCAGCATCAGCATCAGCATCAGCGCATCAGCATCAGCATCAGCATCAGCATCAGCATCAGCGCATCAGCGCATCAGCATCAGCATCAGCATCAGCATCAGCATCAGCATCAGCGCATCAGCATCAGCATCAGCATCAGCATCAGCGCATCAGCATCAGCATCAGCATCAGCATCAGCATCAGCGCATCAGCATCAGCATCAGCATCATCGCATCAGCATCAGCATCAGCATCAGCATCAGCATCAGCATCAGCATCAGCATCAGCGCATCAGCATCAGCATCAGCATCAGCATCAGCGCATCAGCATCAGCATCAGCATCAGCATCAGCGCATCAGCATCAGCATCAGCATCAGCATCAGCATCAGCATCAGCATCAGCATCAGCGCATCAGCATCAGCATCAGCATCAGCGCATCAGCATCAGCATCAGCATCAGCGCATCAGCATCAGCATCAGCGCATCAGCATCAGCATCAGCATCAGCATCAGCATCAGCATCAGCGCATCAGCATCAGCATCAGCATCAGCATCAGCATCAGCGCATCAGCATCAGCATCAGCATCAGCATCAGCGCATCAGCATCAGCATCAGCATCAGCACGCCCTTTGCCTAATTTTTTCGCACTCCTCTCCTCTCAACCCTGCTGACCGTTCTCTCCCCTTCTGCACCCCTCACACGCGTCCCTGCACCGTTGCTGCACGTCCCTCCCTGCCGTGCCTGTTGGGCAGGAGTTCAGTCCAGACGAGGGGCGGTACGATGTGGTGTGGGTGCAGTGGTGCATCGGCCACCTCACTGACGCTGACCTTATCGCCTTCCTCCATCGCTGCCTGGTGCGTGCTCGATAAACAGGTGGGGTGCCGAGGCTTATTTGCATCGGCCACCTCATTGAATCTGTAACCTGGAAAAGTGGTGCTGTTTTTGCTGCTGTTTCCATTCCACCATTCCTCCACTCCCAACGTCACCTGCAACTCTTCCCTTCTCCGTCCCTCTCTCTGCGCGTACCCTGCCCCTGCCTCGCTTGCAGGCAGGGCTGCGGCCGGGCGGCATTATAGTGCTCAAGGAGAACACGTGCCAGAAAGGTAACTCTGAGTGGTCCGAAAAATTCTAGTGGTGGGGGAGAGCACGTGTCCCAAAGGGCACCCCAGTTCCCTCGTCCTTCCACCCCACGCCGAGTCATGTCACCCCATTCGTGCAATATCTGACTCGGGGGTTGTAGCTGTTGTGGGGTGTGTTTTCATCTGTCATGATTAAGCCTGGCATCATTGTTCTCGTGTGGGTGGGCGTTGCTTGTGTGTATGGGTGTGTGTATGGGTGTGTGTGTTGGGGGATGGGTGGGTGCGTTTGGACTGTATGTCTGCATGGATGCATGGGTGTATGTGGGTGTGTGTATGGGTGTGTGTGTTGGGGGATGGGTGGGTGCGTTTGGACTGTATGTCTGCATGTATGCATGGGTGTATGGACTTATGCATGTCTGCTTGGGCACATGCATGTGTGCATGCATGCAGGGTTCGTATTGGACAAGGCGGACAGCAGTGTGACGCGCAGCGATGCATACTTCAGAGACCTTTTCAAGCAGGCCGACCTGCAGCTCCTCAAATCCAAGGTACTTGAATCCACGGTACCGTACTTAAAACCGGGGTGCACATTCAGCTGAATGTGCCTCAAAGGTTATCCCTTGACTGAGTGGGTTACGAGGTGTGCTTTCAACCCCTTCAAGTCGAAATTCGTTTCCCCCCTCCCCCGCAATTTCGTTTCCCCACGCCCCCGCAATTTCATTTCCCCCTCCCCGTCGAAATTCGTTTCCCCCCTCCCCCGCAATTTTGTTTCTCCCCTCCCCCGCAATTTCGTTTCCCCCCCCTCCCGCCAATCTGTTTCATCCCTCCCGCCATTCGGTTTCACCCACTCCCGCCATTTCACCCCCTCCCGCCACCTACGAAATGCCCGAAGCTCTAGCGGAATCATTTTTTTGTCGCCCCTCGTGAGCCAATCACTGTTTTTCTCCAAACCCCCTTCCCAACATCTCAAGCCGAACCGCGTTGAATGTGCACCCTGGTTTTAAATCTGAGGTACCCAACTCCAAGGTGTTTAAGGCCACCAACGCACCCAACTCCCAAGGTACTAAATCTGACGTCTCTTAATCCAAAGCAAGGTTCTCAACCCCGAGGTACCCATGTGTCAGAAGGAACTGCCACCACATGTGCTTCTGCTGATTTGACCCACCTTTCATCAGCACACACACCTTCATCCCCACCAGCCCTACCTCTGCTGTCCTCTGCTCTGCTCTCTCCCAGGTGCAGCGCGGGTTCCCCTCGGAGCTGTTTGTGGTGAAGATGTATGCGCTCACAGCACAGCCCACGGCTGACGGGGGAGTGGCGGGGCGCACACGGCAGCGCAGCAAGAGACCCAACCAGCCAGCTGTCATCTACTGACACATTGACAATGAGATGCCGCCTTTGCTGCCTGCTTGCCGGCCTGTCTGCCTGGCTGGTGCTGCTTGTGCCTGCCGTTCCATTGTTTAGTGCTCACGGGTGCAGCAGCTCTGTTATGCGTCCCATGCAATAAGAGAGTGCGTGAATCACACCGGTTCATGCTGCTTGCTGCAGCCATCTGTCAGATGGAACTGTGCTTGTGATGAACAACTCTGCCTTGAAAAGTGTACGCATCTTGCTCATAGAATCACTGGTGAGACACAACGTTCACTGCTATACGAAACAACATGATTCGCATGGGTATCCAGGGTGCCACAGGGGCATCATCAAGAGTTAGCATCACATCACACTGCACCATCAGTGCGCCATGCCATCACTGCCCCATCACCGTGTCATCACTGCATCCATGCAGGCTTTTTGAACTCGATGCTCATCTTGCTGAACGTGCTCTTGAGCACGTGGTGAGCGTGTGCAATGTTCTGTGCATGCACACTCTCCCTCACTGCCGGCTCGTTCAACGGCAGCCAGAAGCTCCCGTCCTGCTCTTGCTCCTCCGCACCACCCCCACTGCCATTCCGCTCCTCCCTCTCTTGCTCTGGCATCTCTCCTGCTGCTGCAGCTGCTGTGGCAGCAGCATCTGAGCTACCTGGAGCCGCCCCCCCTACAGTCACACTGTAGCCCTCGTCCGCCCTGCCCCCGTTCTCAGCCTCTGACAGCACTGCCCCGGCCTTCTGCCCTCCCAGGCTCGCTGCACCAGCACTATCTGACAGCAACCCTGCCTCTGCTCCCACCTGCCCAATTTCTGCCTGCCCCTCTGCTGCTGCCCGCGCACCACCCTCACTTTCCCCTGCTTCTCCTTCTCCTTCTCCTTCTAATGCTCCTTCTCCTGCTTCAGCACCTGCTGCTGCGTCTGCATCTGTCAACACATCAGAATCATCATCTGCTGCCAGCACCACCGGGTCCCTTCGTCTCGGGCTCGCAATAACAGACGCAGGGATGCCCCAGAAGGCCTGCGCTCTGGCGTCATCGGCGCGCATGGCTTGGCTGTAGGCCGGCAGCTCAAACGCCCAGGTGGAGCGGCCTCCAAAGCCCTGGTCGAGATGGTCCAGGTCGAAGATCTCTTCGAGGTTGGCGATGGTGGCGGGCTTGCTGGGGTACACAAATAGAATCTTCTTAAATGTGGTGGGGTCCACGAAGGGCCGGATCATCTGGGTGAAGGGGAGGGGGTGTGCACGAGGAGAACGTTCAGGGGTGAAGGTGGGAGCGTGGGAGCATCTGACCAGTAAGGCTGGGGCATATGAGGAGCATGTGGGGAGCATGTGGGGAGCATGTGGGGAGCATGTGGGGAGCATGTGAGAATGGAGCAATCAAGGCGTGGGCAATCCCTTTTCCTGAATCCCAAACAGCATAACACCTCCCCAGGACCAGCATACCCGGCATTAACCTTCCACATGCACTGCACAAAAAAGATACCCAACCCCAAAAACTAAAAGACTATCCCAACTCGCACACCCCCCTAACGCACACGCCCCTCTGACCCCACCTTCCAGAACGTCTCGAAGACGGGCGGCGGGTCGTACACCACGGCCTGGCCGAGCCGCTCGGGGTAGTGGTTCTGCAGGATGGAGAGCACCTCGCGCGACGTCTTGAGGGGCGGCGCCTTGCGCAGCGTCCAGCCGCGGAAGTCGATGAACCACACCATGCGGCTGTGCGCCGTGCCCGCTGGCAGGTGGTTGATGGCGTTCTCCAGCGCGTACACCAGGTGCCGCACCTGCCCCGCATGCCCCGCCGTGTTCTGCATTCCAACATGGGATCCAGTCCAAGGAAGGGTGTTCATTGCTTGATGCTTGCGTTCACGAATTCGTCCGACTGGGCAGGTACTTGGTGAGCGTGAGAGATAGAAGCGGGGTTTCAGTGCGGGATCAGGCTGATCAGGCTCATCAGGGTGATCTGGCTCACCTGGCGACCGGCGGACATGACAATGACGGCGCGGCCCTGCTTGTCCAGGAATTCCGTGCGGTACACCTTGCCTGTCGCCGCCTCTTCCGCCACGTCATCCTGGACCAACCACACCGCATCCCCATCAATAACAAGCTTTCATGAGCAGGTTGAATCGTACACCAACTTTTAACGCTGATGCAATTGCGGAAGGGAGAGCTTTGTTGAAAATGGGAGGCGTCTAGGAGGTAACTGCGGCCGTACCCACGTGATCTCCTCTGGTCGGTACACGTGACGCCAGCGGAGCGTGTCGCGGAGCATCTTCTCCGCCTTGGGCACATTCCAGCCGCGCGCGCGCAGGTAGCGCCGCAGGCACGCGTCCGTGCAGAACAGCTTCGCGCGCCCGGCCAGAGGCCCGATGGCTTCCCGCAACGCCTTCACCTGACCAGATTCCGAAGAAACATAGTCGGGAATAGGGTATCGGATGAAACCGTCGAGCAGCGTCGTGTCGCTGATCTCTCAAGATCGATCTAGGCCTGTCGAGATTGCAAGGCGTGGCGCGGAGCGGTAGAGACTCGGTCCTGGCGGCAATGAAACCGTTACCTTGGCCTCCTGCTCCTCGGGAGTGTCGACTGGCTTCTCCGGCGTGAGCAGGTTGGGGCTGCTCACTGCGGCTCGGAACGACGCGAACTTCTCCTGGCTGAACGCCTCTAGCTTGTCCGCGAACGTCGCTGGCGCCGGCTTATCTGCTTTCTCTGATTCGCCTGTTTTCTGGTCAGATTGATCGGCTTGTGACGTCATCATGACTCTGTCGCGTACTGAATCGGGCAGAAAGCAACTACTGATCACCAGAAGCTATCGTGCAGTGCCTAGGTTGGCTTACGAGTAGCTATTCAGAAAGATACCTGACTAATCCGTCTGGAATCCGTCTGCAGTGCCTAGGTTGGCTTACGGTCTGGAATCTGCATAATCCGTTAGGAGTAGAACCATTGGTGGAATCAGTGGTGCCAGCCTAGATTCCTCAGGGTCGCCTTGTGTCGTCAACTCTGTCGCCTTGTGCCGTACACCGTCGCTTGGCAGCGTGCTTGACTTGTGCGACGACGGGTTACAGCCCCTCAAATTGTCGACGATTCTCCAACCAGCCCAATTTCGCGACCCAGAGGAATCTAGGTTCTCCCAATTTCGCGATGCTTCGCCAAACAGCCCAACCCCGAGGTCCATTCCATCCCATCCCATCATCAAACCCTTGCTCTCACCCATTCTCCTGACACACAGCCGCTTTCGGATCCAACTCCCGCTCAGCCTCAGCCTCTCCCGCACTACCTTCCAAGACCTCACAGCCAATATTCACCCAAGGTGGTCCCCTCCCAAGTGTTCCCAAGCAGTCGTTCATTTACCGCCAAGTCCAACGGTCGCGCCGTGTCGATTTCGTGTGGGAATGGTTCGTCGGCGATGCTTCTTGTCTCTCAATCCGTGGTTAGCCACGCATCTTTAAAACAGCAGTTCTCTCGCATTTCAACCTTCAAGCTTCTCTAGTGCAATGCCAACTCTCTCCGTTGTGCTCTTCAATCTCCGCGACTTCAACCTCTGTCCGCGTCACTCGCCTTCTCGTTCAAGGATGGAACCTCCGTCGGTTCAAAGTGGAACCTGCTCGGGCTGTCCGAGCTTCACGACCTTCAGGATATGTCGTTGCAAGTCGGAAGCTGTTGGAGATCCGCAAGCTGCTTGAGCTTCCCGATCAAGGTACATATAAGCTTCGTTTTTCTTAATTTCGTGTATAGTACCGAGCTCAATGATTTCGTGCCTTCACAACATAACCTGTACTGATTCAAATTACATTTTCATTGTGCAGTGAGCCATGATGAAGACGGTCGTCAACTTGCAGCATTCATCACGACGGTGACAACGCGACCGTCCAGCCGTATTCGCTTTCAAGTGCATGGGATTCCGCCATCCTGAGTTCTTCACCGGCCTGCTGTTAAAATTTCCAGCTAAGTGCTCCTTCCACTACTATCATTTTTTTCTTTTCCGTTTTCAATTTCGTTCGTTCTGTTTGTTTTCCAGCCAAAGCGCCGCCCGTATAGCTCCCTGTCTCCTCCCCTAGGTCTGGTTAGTCTCTATAGGTCGGTCTAGCGTCAGCGTCGCTAAGTCAAGCATAGCTGCGTCGGTCTGTCTGAGCTCTGCGGTGTGGCTGCTTTGGCTGGAAAACATTCCCCCTTCCCCCACGTTACTTCGTCGCTTTTGTCGTTTTATGGCGTCGTCTTGCTACTTCAACTGACTTCTTTTTTTGTACCTGGCAGGTACTCCTCTGATGCTTCTAATCAACTGGGAGCAGACCAGGCAACACGGCTGGTGTTCAACAATACAAGGCTATGTGGATGAGCTCGAAGGCAACGCTGGGAGGCAAGACAATAAGACAACCTCCAAGCCAAGACTTTCAAGACAACTTCCAAGTGAAGGCTTCGACCAAGACTTAAGACATGCAAACCCTCGTGCAGATAAGTATCGTTTCCCTCTTTGTTCCGCTCAACTTCATTTCTACTCATCTTTGTCATGCTTTTTCATGCTCATCATGCTTGAGCGCTTACCACAATTGCTGCATGAACCATCCCCCTTAGAAGGTACAGGTTTGTTTTTTAAGGTACCCTTTTCTGGTGAGTCCCTAGGTTCTCTTTTGGTATTTTTTTGGTACTTGGTTCTTGTGGCTGTGGTGGTGAGCGCTTTTGCTGCATGCATCTGCATTCATACATACCATTCATCATGCATATGCTTGCCTTTCTCGTCTGGACCTTCCAGTGCCACTTGTACTTACCCCCCCCTCCTCCCTCCTTCGATTGGCAGAGGCTCGTCAACTTCATCAACCGCATTGGAGCTGCAAGGCGCTTCAACACTTCCAGTCAATGTTGAAGTCGTGAAGCGAACACTTGGAGCCAACATCAAGACTTCTTCAACTCGTGTTTGAGCTCTGAGGCCAACTCTGCTCAATCCCCCAAGACTTTATGGAAAGCTAAGTACCGCTCCCCTCTTGTTTTCTGTCATGTTTCTGCTTTTTCAAGCCATGAATCACATTTTCGCCTTTCATTGCATGACGTTTATGCTTGAGCGCTCACTATTACCACCATCAGAGCTATTCCCCCTTTTTTGGTAAGGTATTTCAGGTCTCTTAAGGTTTTTTTTTGGTATTATGGTTCTTGTGGTGGTAGTGGTGAACGCTCTTGCATTTATGCTGCAGCATCTCTCATCCATCATGCTCACACACATGACTTGCTCCTCTGGACATTCTAGTGACACTTGTACTCATTCACTCCCTCTTCTCCTCCCTTGATTTGCTTTGCAGATTCCTCAGTATTCAAGGCCTTCAATGGACGCCAACCTCTCAGGATGGTTAACACTAAAAGATCCCAAGATTTCAAGTTCATATCCCAAGATTTCAAGACTTCATATCCCAAGTTCGCAGGCCCCGAAGGTATGGCCTCAATCCTTTGGCAATTCAAATTTGTGGGACATTAACTAACTTTTTGCTTTCTTCCCGCAGGTCTGCCAACATGTCAACGTACACTCTAGGTGCTCAACAGTCACTTACACTCAGCAGTCAAGCATCTGAAGTTCCTCAAACGTAAGTTTTCTATCATATCATCATTTGAATTTTATACTTGCTGCATCCTTGCATATTCTGGCTGAAAGCTGACCTTCGTTTTGTCCTCTTGCAGGAAACCTGGAGGCGAATGCAAGAGGCATCTTCCATGAAGCGATGGCCTAAGGCATGAGATGGATCCAAGGTCCTTAAGGTAAGGCTTTAATCTCTTGGCAGCTTAAGTTTTTGACACAGTGACTAACATTTCCGTTTTCATCCTGCAGGTTCTTCGACATGGGAGAGTTTCAACAGACATCGCCACTCAACATGCTCAATCACTGACATCCAGTACTCAAGGATCTGAAGTCTCTCAAGGTATTAATTTTATCATTTTAGCACTTGATTTTAATGTGTTCTTCATTCTTGCATGCTCTGGCTGAGGACTGACTCTCGTTTTGTCCTCCTGCAGGTAACCAGGTGGATGCAAGAGGCATCTGGCATTAAGTGATGACCTAAGGCATGAGGCGGATCAAGGCCCTGAAGGTAAGGCTTCAATCTCTTGTCAGCTTAAAGCCCGAGTCTAGAATGGTAAGGCTTCAAGAATACTGAACTTGAAAGGTGTTGGGAAAGCGACGGAATGAGCAAGCGATGGTCATGTGAAGGTCACCGACATGATGGGAGAGCGTGGGAGACACTCAGAGTAAGCGTGGGCGACGGACGCGGGAAGGGAGAGCCACCTAAAAGGCGACGGGAGGGGAGGCGAATTCAAGTTCAAGAATCTTGAACTTGAAAAGTTGCCATTCTAGACTCGGGCTTTAAGTTCGTGACACATTTTACTAACATTTCCGTTTTCATCCTGCAGGTTCTTCAACATGGGAGAGTTTCAAAACATCACCACTCAAGATGCTCAATGATCTCTGACGTCCAGTACTCACGGATATGAAGTCTCTCAAGGTATTATTTCTATCCTTTCAGCACTTCAATTCAATGCTTTCTTGGTCCTTTCATTCTCTGGCTGAGGACTGACTATTTTTTTGTCCTCCTGCAGGTAAGGCATAAGGAGGCAATTCATGGTGCTGAGGGCCCTTGGGGTTGTCTAAACACTCGGATCCGGGCCATACAGCAGACTGATCTGTCGGTACAGAGCTGACTGCAGCAGCTCTGTATCGGCAGATTCAGTCTGTGAGAATGGGCTCCCGCATGCCTTGGATTTAGCGCCTCTGAGGGTAGGCCAGTCCTCCCTGTGGTGGGGGAGGATGGTTGTGCCTCCAGCAGCCAGTCGCCATTCCTCCAGCAACCATTTCTTTCAGTGCAAGACAGTATCCATGTGAGTCGTTTTGGTTGCTCTAGGATTTCTGCTTCCACCTTATGGCTGAATACTAACGCTTTCTTTTGTGCTCTGCAGGTACCTTATTATGATGATTTGCCGTAGCACCAACCATAGTGGCATCTCTCCTACTGAGTTGCAGCAACATGCTCTTGGACGTGCTAATGTTCTGTAACATCTTATGTATACTGAACACGTTAGTGTGTACTTCCATTCTTTCTTGAAAGCTGAAAGCATCTGTAGAACTAGCTGAAAGTTTAACCAAATTTTGGGGTGCAATTTCAGGTGGCTAAGAAAACAATGTCTTTGACATACAGTGTTTGCAAAGCACAAAGACAGCGAGTGATTGCACATCGAGGTCTCAACGTGGAAGGAAACTGCCGCGCTAACATTGCGGTTGCCGATCAAACAAATGGGCAAAGCAGCAGCCACACTAAATCGCACGGCTATGACTCCCGCCAAGTGCGGCCATAGATTTCGTTGATTTCCATCGCCTGCTGACCATGTCGGACTCGCTTCCTTTCGATCCTGTCGCAGCCGCACCCTCCGCTGCATCCTCTACCGACTTGCATCTTCGCACGCGGTTAGGGACTCAATACAACGATGCCGGTCCTCCCGTCAACTCACGCGTTGCACAGGGGACCGACGAAACCCGCGCAGATCCCGGCAGCAGCGGCGGCGTCCGCGCAGCATGGACGCCGTTTCGGCGGGACCTGGTGGTGCTGGGCGCGGCGTTCCTCGCGCTCTTCGCGGCGTACAGCGCCATTCAGAACCTCGAGACGTCGCTGCACCCGCGCGCCGGCATGGGCGCCGTGTCCCTTGCCGTGATCTACGGCGGCATCGTCGTGTTCGCGCCGCTCGCGCCCGCCGTGATCCGCTATTTGCGGCCGCGAGGCGCCATGCTGGTGGGCATGTCGGGGTACTGCGCGTACATCGCCGCCAACGCCGTCGACTCCAGGTACCGCCATCGCCCGGGCCGCGCTCGCGAGGCAGGCAACACGCACGACAAATCCTCAACAGCCTCTGCAGCGAACGATTGCATTATTCCGCGATCCTCGCCTCCTGTCGAACCAAAGCGCAACGCGCGCTGCTGTGCATCCTCTATGTGACGTAATTTGCTTCCTTACCCCAACCCTCCGCTCTTCCCCCCTCCCTTGCCACCTCGTCCCCGTCAGCGCGCAGCTGGGTGCTGCTGCTGTCCGCGGGGTACTTGGGCGCGAGCGCGTCCGTGCTGTGGGTGGCGCAGGGCCTCTACAGCGTCATGCTCGCGCGCGGACACGCCGCCGCCGCGGGCGTGGCGGAGCAAGCAGCAATCGCGGAGTTCAGCGGAATCTTCTGGGGAATCTTCGCGGCGAACCAGGTGGTGGGCAACGCCGTCACCTTCCTCGTCTGCCAGCTCATGGCACTCCTCTTCCCCGCTGCTCCTGCTGTGCCTTCTGCGTTTGCTACTCCCGCTGCTGCCTCCCCTGAGAGCCTTCCCCCCGCTACAGTCACGGTGCTGATAGTCACGTTTCTGCTGTTCCTCGCGCTGGCCGCCGCGCTGACGTGGCGGCTGACAGACCTGTCAGAGGACCACCCCCTTTGCTGCCCCGCGCCCACTCTTCCCGTTGATGGTGTGAGAGTGGGGGAAGGGAGAGGCGGCATGGGGGGGGAAGATGAGGAGGAGGGGAGTGAGAGGGGGGATGAGGGGGAGGGGAAGGCGTTGCTGGGAAGCGAAGCAGTGGCCGGGCGATCAGAGGAGTGCGGGGGGGCGGAGCAGTCAGGGGCGGCAGGAGGGGCGGGGGAAGGGGCGGGCAGCAGGGCAAAGGGGGGCCGCAGCGCGTGGGAGCTGCTGGGGGAGCGGCGGCTGCAGCTGCTGCTGCCTCTGCTGCTGTACATCGGCCTGCAGTCCGCCTTCGTTGCGTGCGTCCCTGCCCCACGCGCATGCCCCTTCCGCCCTGTTTCTTTCTGCCATACCCTGCCACGCCCTGCCAGTAGTACCGTGACTCCCTCGCACCTCTGCCCAACCAGGCACCCTCCATTGCCCCTCATGTGCCGTCCTCCTCCCCCCCCATCACTCCCTGTCACATAGCACAATCCTTCTTCCCCTGTCCTTCCCCACCACCTCCTCCCCCCACTCCCCAAGCGCAGGGCGGACTTCACGCTGTACGTGGTGCGCCCAGCGCTGGGAGTGGCGTGGATCGGCGGGGTCATGTCCGTGTTTGGCGTCGCCAACAGCCTCGTGAGCTGCCTTCTCCCCTGCTTGCATGCCATGCCCTCCTGCCATATCATCACTCCCGTGCTCTGTGTGCTCCCTGCCTTCACATGCCATCATGCTCGCACGATGCAGAAAGCATCGTCCACATGCTCCCTCCCTTCTTCCTCCCTCTCCTTCCCTCCTCCACCCCCACTCGTCCCCACCAGGCGTGCATGGCAGCGGCGCGCCTCTCCTCAGGGCTGCACTCCATCCTCGCCACGCTGCTCATCGGTGCCGCCTGCCAGATCGCCGTGCTGCTCTCCCTCATGCTCCTCGCACCCTTGTCAGTGCCACTCTACACTGAGCCGTTTACGTACCCTGCTGTACTAAAATCCATACCGTGTCTTTTCCATACCTGGCCACGCTATCGCGTACACTGAGTTTCTCATGCAGTACAATATGCAACTGTAGATGTTTGTCATCGTGGTTTTCTCCGTCTGTGTCCGATTCTCCATCCCTGTTGTGTGACCCATTCTCCCCTACTCCTCTTTCATGCCATCCTCCCTTGTTCCCACCTCCCCAACCTCCCTCCCCTCCCGCCCTCGCTCACCTGTCCGCCCCAGCACCGCCCCCTCATGGGTGGCCTTCACGGGGGTGCTGGTGCAGGCAGTGCTGTGGGGGGTGGGGGATGCCGCCTTCCAGTCACAGATCAACGCACTGCTGCCCCTCGTCTTCCCTCGAGACATGGTGGGGCCCACATCCATCCCCACTGCCTCCTGCAACCGCCATACCAATCCACCACACCTTCTCCAATCTGTGACTTTGCTCCCACCCATCCCATTCCATTACCATGCGTCACCCACCACCCCTCCCCACATTCCCCACCCTTCCTGTTTCGTTGACCCGTTGCCTCTCTCCCCATTCGTTCCCTGTCATATCCCACTCAACACCATTCCCCACCCGTCCCCGCATCCCTCGTCCTGTGTTCTCCCTCGACTCATTACAGGACGCCTCGTTTGCGCACATGAAGATGTGGACCAGCGCTGCTTCCTCCCTCATGTTCCTCCTCAGCCCGCACCTCTCCATGCCCGCCAAAGCAGCCTTGCTCACCGCCTCCTGTGCTGCCTCCCTGCCTCTCATGCTTGCGGTTGTGCACGTGCCATAGACCGCAGCTCAGTACTGCCTTGCTGCCTCGCCGTGTCGTATTTGCACATCAAGTGTATGGGGTGTTGGCCATTGAGCAAACGGATGGCACACTGGGTGGGAGTTGAATCATACCGCCAATCGATTTCATTATGTTGTAACATATAGCAGGATTTATCAATTACATTGATGAGATCACAGTCATGTCAAGTCAGTGGGGTTGGGAGCCGCAGTCCTCATCACACCAGGAAGTGATGCAGACGCTTGTCCCTCTAGTGTCTAGTGTCCTTATAGGATTCATCAGCAGCGCCAGCGTTATGTACATCATAGCTGCCGTAGACAATAAGTTATGTACACTGAACTGTTCCTCGTGAATTGAGCAAATGCTTAGCGTTTGCGCCTGCTACGTTCTGTTGCTGCTGTTTCACGCGGATGACGGCACCACGACCCCTGACGCCGCAGCAGAAGCGCCCCCCGCGATGCGGCGCTGCTGCAGCGCAGGCGCGGCGAGGACGCGGCGCACGACGCGGCCGCCGAAGGCGTGGACGAGGATCCAGGGGTGGGAGAGCAGCTTGGCGGCGGAGGGGCGTCGGCGCGGGTCGCGGTGCAGCATGCAGCGGAGCAGCCCCTTGGCCTCCGCCGACACCCCCGCCCACGCGCCGCTCGTCAGGTCCAGCGGCGCCTCCAGCACGGCGCGGAACACGCCGTTGTCGTCCGCGCCCCAAAACGGCGGGCTGCCGCTCAGCAGCACGTACAGCACCACGCCCAGCGACCACACGTCCGCCTCCAAGCCGTATTCGCCTGTCAATACCTCCGGCGCCATGTAGAACGGCGACCCCGCTGCGCCGTAGGCTCGCTCGCCCTGCTTCAGTCCGATTGCGAGGCCGAAATCGGCGAGTTTCGCGCAGGTTACGTCTGTACCCGATAGGTTCTTTTTCGACAAGAGAATGTTCTCCGGTTTGAGGTCGCGGTGCATGACGCCTTTGGAATGGCAGAATGCAACGGCGCTGGCGATTTGGCGAAAGATAAGAGCAGCTTCTTTTTCTGGTAACCTGCCGCGTCGCACAACTTCGTCGAAGAGTTCACCACCGTCGCACAAGTCCATGACGAGGTGAACCTGCCGCTCGTCTTCGAACACCGCGCGCAGCTGCACTACGCCCGCATGCCCCGCCACGCTCCGCATCGCCGCCACCTCGCGTCGCACCTCATCTCGCATGCGTTCGCCCACTAGCTGCTCTTTGTTGATCGATTTTACCGCGAACGTTTCGCCTGTCGCACGATCCCTGCATTGTCGCACGACGCCGAATTCACCCGACCCGAGCAATCGCGCAGTCGAAACGCCGAATATTGACGGGCAAGAACCGGCGTCGGTTGCATCCGACGACGAATCCGCTGCATTTTGGAGCTCTAACCGCCGTTGATGCTTCGCGCCCTGGGAGTCGGCCGACGGGGAGCCCGCCGCGTCTGCCTTGCGCTTCTTGGGCACCTCTAGAGTGCGCGTTCGCCTGTGCTCTAACGTTGCCGTCGACGCCTGTGGTAGTGGTGAGACGCTCGAGCCTGACTGTGCCATTGAGCCTGACTTTACGGGCGAAACTTCTCGTCAAATGTGAGTCGTGGACCTGTGTTCTGTGCGTTTCAGAAGACCTATCAAGAAAACGCGGAAATTGCTTCTATATTAGAATGGGGCACGTAGCAGACTTCGGAGCTAAAAAAGGCGGTGGCGGTAGGCAGCGGCGGGAAGGTTGGGGGTGGTGGACTGAAAGCGGCGACCACGCAACGCACAGCTGGTGTAACGCGTTTGCTCCAATTGACTTTACCCCCACAGAGGAACCGCAGGGGCCGCAACTCGAGTCGCGTGTCGCACGGGCAGCGTCGATCCACCTGAGCCGAAGACAGCATGTTGCTAAAGTACACCTACGTTAGCCCCCCTGGCGTGTGGGTGTTACTCCCCTGGCTTGTTTCAGTTCCGATTCTCATCCCCGTTGCTTTCCATGTCACGCGCGGGTTGTTTTGCTGGTGAGTAGTGACGAGTGCGGAGTGAGGAAACCGTGCTTGGGAACTGGTGAGTGGTGCTTTGCACTCAAATTCCCGAATTTGCCCGAAATGCACCGAACGTACCGATATAAACAAACTCGTGCTCTGTGAATTGAACCACCATGCAGCAGAAAGCCAGACTGCTGTGAGGCGTGGGCGTCCACGTGATGCGTACATTAGGCGCAACTAGAGCCACAAACGAGTTCGTCACAGAGTTGTGCGACATGATGGCGGTTCCTAGGAATCAGTGAATCCCTGCTTTGACGTCACGCTTGCTGAACTGAATGCTCGCAGTTACGTAGGTTCTGTACCAAGAAAAGTTGGTTGCGTTGCGGCGTGAAAGCCTCAAGTTCCAACAAACAGTCAAGATGAAGGTCTAGTTGTCCCCTCGCAAATGGTGGAAAACAGACAGGTTATTACCTAAACACCAGTAAGGAAAATAAGCCTGGTTCTAAACATTTTCAGAGCACCGCACAAAGGACTGCTTCATTCATGATATTCACGTGAAAGGCAAACGAGAATGCTTGAGTCACGTGAATCGACTTCCGTCGCAGGCGCGATATGGTTTCCCGCAGCTGCCAAAGACTCTAGGAAAACCTGCACACAAACAACCCCAACAAGAGCGCAAGGCGTCGGTCTCACCCGATGACAGAAATCCTCTATAGCAAATAAGCTGAAGTTCACACTCAAAACTTATATACTGCCATCAGAATGTGTAATTTTATCATGATGCTTATCGCGCAAAAGTCAATACCGTAGGTAATCCCAGACATTCAAAACCCCCGGAAATGAGAGCTGTATTGAGGTAATATGATCCTTACCAAGCATATTATCGTTCTCTCAGAATCATTGTCATTTAATTTCCGCAAACTATATTGCCAGGAATCAGTTTTGTGATGTGTCATGCATTTGTTTCATTCTCAAATCTAATATCTCTAGCTTACAATTTGAACATATAGCCTCTAGGGTACTTTAGTGTACAATAGGGGAAGACCACTGCCAGTGAGCAGAGCTTCTGGCGGCAAGCCCATTCAGCGAAGCAGGAAATTCGAATCCCCCAATGACGGCGGATGGTCAAGCCAAGCCTGATTCAGTCCTTCCTCCTCCTGCACTTATCTCTGCGCTGCCTGTGCTTGCGTTGCGTCCTCTTGCCTCCTTCACTCTTCTGTGAAGGTGTTGATTTTCCCCTTTCAACGTCATCCTAACTGCCGCCGTTGTATTCATGTTTCGTATGAGATCGGAGACGGCTGGTGGTCAACAATGCCATTAGAAGCATTTTGATGATGGAAGTGCTTTTTCTTAGCCCGGGGGACTCAAGAATCGTCACCAATTTTAGTGAAGGAAAGTCAGATTCACCCCGCGACTAGGGCTCAAGGAAACTCGGCCTATTTTTTGCGACTCGGTCGCAACCGTCAGCACTGAATTCGGCGATTTACTGAACCTAATTCTTGGCTGCAATGGATCGTGACCCCCTGAAGGTGCATGCATTGGCTCCCATGGCGACGAATCTCGTGAAAGGTGGCCGCGCAGGCTTAAGAACGAGCTCGATTTTCGTTTTTGCATGCCTTGTAGCAGCGCTCGTGCCGGCATGTTCGTCGATCGGCCCCAACCCTAGCATCTCGTCTCTCTCCGCGTCTCGCGGCATCGCCTCGCCGTCGCATGCGGCGCCCAAGGCGGGTCCGCAGATCAGCAGCCTGCTGCTGCTCCTGCCGCCTCGCGCGCGCAACCCTGTCAGATTCCATCTCCTCGGATCCAACGGCTGCTTCTCCTGGTAGGAAACGCGCAAGTTAATCGTCTAATCTGGTCCTTTCGGTCTGATGATCCATGCTTCCGTTTCGCCGCAATTGTCGATCCGTAGCGATCTCCGGCAATTGTAGACGAGCGTACTTCGCCATCAACCCCGCTGGTGCTGGTCCCCTCTCCTAATCTTCTCTTCCCCCCTGGTACCATGTGCGTGGGTGGCGTGCAGGGCATGGGACCACCACGACCTGCTGCACGTGCAGCCTCTCCTCAACACCACCGATGATGACGCTCATTCGCCCGCAGCAGCAACAGAAGCAGCAGGAGCGGCAGGAGGGCAAGCGTGGGGGTCCCATGGCAGCAGCAGAAGCAGCAGTAGCGGCAGCAGTGGGGCGCGCGGGGGGTGTTCGACGAGCGCGCTGATATCGTCCATCGCGCCGTACTCGGGCGCGCCGCGCACCACGGCCGTCATCGCCACGGACCTGCTCTATGGGGCCGTGCTGCGCTGCGAGGTGCGCCCTGCATGTGTGGGCGGGTGGGTGGATGGGTGGTTGATATCTAAGGCAGTGTGCGGGTGATGGTGCGTACGTGTGTGAATGCAGCTGACGCTCACGAGCAGTGACTGCACCGGAGTGTGCGCATGCTGCAGTGTTGCAGGACATGAATGACTGCTAAGAAACCATGCGTGGTGTGGTACTGGTGGTGGTGCACTTGGATCATGAAAAGCTGAAGCTTTCACAGCGTGCTGCACGTGCCACAGCGGAGCCACAGAGGAGACACCTTGCATCGCCTCGCCTCACCGTGTGCTGTCTCTCCCCCCTCATCTCGCACTCACCCCCTCTCCCCTCTTCCCTGCCCTGCGTTCTTCCCCTCCTCCCCTCTTCCCTTCGCCCTTCGCCCTACCCTTCACCTATCGCCCCCTCACCTCTGACCTGTCGCTCCTTGCCCTTGGCGCCCTCTCCCCGGGCGTGTGCCCAACAACACCCCCCCTGTCTGCCTTACAGGTGCGGGTGGACGTGGTGCAGAGGGTGGCCATATTCCACCGCAGTCTCAAGATGGGCCTCTCCTCCCTCGCTGATCTCGAGGTGCTCGCCTTCAACGACCACGGTGAGCGCCCTGGGCCATGGGGGGTGGACGGTGAGCTGTGTGTGGGGTGTATGGTGTGCCCATGCGTGTCCCTTTTCGCTATTGACCTGCTGCTTTACCTCCTCTCTGCCTGTCCAGGTCTCCCAACCAAACCCAGCTGTGTTCTCTTCCCCTGCGTCGCCGCTTCCCCCCCACCCACCAGGCGACGTGTTCTCATCAGTGGCGGGGCTCTCCTTCCGCTGGACCCTCACGCCCCTTGGCTCGCCCCTCCCCGCCCACCGCCAACCTGCGGCCTCCACGGCGCCACGTGGCGAGCAGGCATTGGAGCACCGCCTGCAGCACGTGCCCCTGGAGGAAGCGGCGCTGCTGCTGGCGGGCGGCGAGGAGGGGCGCGGTGCTGCCCGGGACGACCTGGGGGTGGGTGGTGTGGGTGCTGGGCTGGGGGGCCGAGGAGTGGGAAGAACAGGTTTTGTTAGGGTGGGTGTGGTGGGGCCGGCGTGAGGAGCGAAGGCAGGAAAGTATGGTGGAGAGGGAGGGGTGTCAACGAGGGTCGGATAGCGTCAGCACTGCAGGGGTTTACTCGTGTGCCGCTCATCTTCATATCACTCACCTCCGATCCTGTGCCCATGTCTCTGTGTATCGATCACCCAAGCAGGTGGAGCGGTCAGACGTGTACGTGGTGAGGGGCGTGGCACCGGGGCAGGAGAGGGTCGCCGTTCAGCTCATGGACGCTGACGTCACCGCCGCCGCTGCTGATACAGCAGGAGCAGCAGCAGGGGGTGCGGCAGCACTGCCGTCGGACGCCATAACGCTGACGGTGGCGCAGGCCTTCTCCCTGCAGCCGCCCTCCCCCGTGCTGCTGCTGCCCGGCGCCCGCCTGCCCTTCCGCCTCCTCACCTTCACCCACAATGCTCTGCAGCGTACGCCACCCACACCCCCCCCTCCTCCTCGCCCTCCTTCGACCTCTCCCTCACCCACCCCCCCTCCCCCGACCCCCTCCCTCCTCCCCTACCCGCACCTCCCTCCTCGCTCTCCCTCCTCTCCCTTGTCGCCCACCCTCCTCTCCCTTGTCGCCCACCCTCCTCTCCCTTGTCGCCCACCCTCCTCTCCCTTGTCGCTCTCCCTCCTCTCCCTTGTCGCCCACCCTCTTCTCCCTTGTCGCCCACCCTCCTCTCCCTTGTCGCTCTCCCTCCTCTCCCTTGTCGCCCACCCTCCTCCCTTGTCGCCCACCCTCCTCTCCCTTGTCGCGCACCCTCCTCTCCCGCACCGAGCATGCTGTTTTTTCCAGCTGCCGCTTCCCTTTCGCTTCAGTCACCCACTTTTCCCACCTCTCCCGTTTCAACCCCCATCCAACAAAATCTCCCCTTCCCCTTCTCCCTCCCCCCAGCGGTGCAACTGCCCTCCCCCAGCTACGCGTGGGCGACAGGCAATGTCTCAGTGGCATCAGTGCATCCTGCACAGGGCGTGCTGTCTGCGCTCGCCCAGGGCGCCACCACGCTCACCACCACTGACGTGCGCTTGGTGGACCACCACCAGGCCGCCTCCATCCACGTCGTGCCACCTGGCGACGTCAAGATCTTCCTCGCGCCGCTGGCGCCTCCTGTCCCAGGGGATGGGGGTGCCGAGGTGGAGGTGTGTTCTCGTGCAGATGCAAAAGGGGGAGGGGGTCTGCCTGGGGCTGTAGCGTGCAGGGCTGTGGCAGAGCCTGTGGCCAGTGGAGGGGACACGTGGCACCTTGTGGTTGGGCGGGAGTATGCCCTGTGGGTGCAGGTGTTTGCACATGGCTGGCCCAGCCGGCCTGTGCTGCTCACAGAGGCAGACACGCTGCTACTGCGCTTCGACCACCCACCCCTCTGGACTGTCGTGAACGATGCTGCGTCTGCCTCTCTGCCTGCACAGGCGCCTGGTGGCATGGAGGGGGGAGGGGGTGGTGGGGAGGAGAGGAGCCGTGTGGTTGTGGTGCGCGGAGGGCAGCAGGGGCAGGGCGAGGTGCAGGCTGAGCTGCGGTACCGAGAGGTGAAGAGCGGTGGGAAGGGGCGGGAGGAGAAGGTGGTGGCGGCGCAGGCGATTCGTGTGTGCGACCCTGTGCTGGTGCACCCGCCCTCCCCCACAACCTCTGCCTCTTCTTCATCTCCTACTCCTGTGGACCCTGTCCACGTGGTGCACCTGCCGTGGGTGCCGCAGCTTGACTCTGCGGCGCCACCCCAGCGGCAGCACCTGCTGCTGCTGGCGTCGGGAGGTGAGTGGCGGAGTGCAGGCACACGCTCGCAAATTACAGGAAGAGGGCATGGTAGGGAGGAGCAGGGGGAAGCAAGAGTGGCAGTCAAGGGAAGGCTGGGCGAAGAATGGATTGTTTGAGTGGACGATCTAGTGAGGGTTGGTGCAGTTAATTCAGCAGCTTTTCTTACCTTTGAATCCTCTAAAGTTTTCCCATCCCAGTCTACCTTACAATCACACAGCGTTGCTGCCTCTAACTCTCCTTCAATCCCAACCCATTGTCCTTAATCCTGGAATCCACATCACCAGGGTGTGGCGAGCGTGCTGCTGACTACGTGTGGACCAGCTCTGACTCCACCGTCGTCCACGTGGCGCCCTCTGGTTGGCTGACGGTGGCCGGGCCGGGTGTTACGATGGTGCGAGTGGCAGCAGCAGTGGACGGCAACAACTTTCACCAGGTGCGCACAGTGTTCTCTGAGCTCAGAGGGGGAACAGAGGAAAGGGGAAGGGGGATGAGAAAGGGGAGTGGATGGATGAGGGAGGTGGGAACTCAGAAATGTGTATTGCTGTTTGCAAGTTCTCTCTCTAGCCCCTGCTGAGCTCAGCCCATTGTGCAGTCACCCACATACGACGTCTGGAATGCACATGCGCCATGCACCATACCACGTGCTCATATGCAGCTCACCCATCCCCACCCATGCACGTCCGTACCACTCCTGCCACTGCCACCATGGCATGCGAGCAGGTGGAGGTGCGGGTGAGTGAGCCACACACGATGCAGGCGGTGGGCGAGGAGGAGGGCAGCGCCTTGCACCTGAGCGTGGGTGTGGAGGCGCTTGTGGGCCACTCGCTGCTGCTCGCTGCCCGCCTCCTCTCCTCCTCAGGTGCGCTGCTGCTCTCACCGCTTTCTCACACCCTCCTTGCATCCGTGCCTAGCCCCTCCCTTGATTGATTCTATGCTCCCCGCCTGACTGCCCTTGGTGATCTTCGTCACTCGCTTCAGCCAACTCATTTACTCTCCACACTCACCTTCTTCCTTCTCGCCCTCTTCCCACCACCCTTCTCCCTCAGGAGAGCCGTACACCAACTGCACCGCCCTGAACCCATTCGTGCAGTGGCATCTGCAGGCACTGTTGCCTGCCACCCCTCCGTCCTTCACCCTCACGTCTCCACCCCCAATCGCCTTCATGCCACCATCCGCTCTCTCGCCCATCTGCGTGTGGGCCTCCCTGTCCGCCATAGCACCTGGCCGCACACAAGCGATAGCCCTCCTGCCACTGCCGCCACACACAAAACCTGCTGATGCTGACGCTGGCAGTGTGGAAGAGAGGGCAGGGGGGAGCTCAGAGGGCGCGGGGCAGGGAGTGCAAGGGGAGTGGGCGGTGGCGGGGTATGAGGCGATGCACGTGGTGCAGGCGGGGGATGGGTGGCGCCAGGGCGGCTATGGGCTACCATCAGCAGCATCACCTGCTGTGCCTGGAACGCAAGGAGACTTGTCTGCAGTAGCGGCAGCAGGTGCGGAGGCCCTACCAGCAGCAGCATCAGCATCAGCGCCAGCATCAACAGCAGTGGCCATAGGAGCAGGGCTGTCAGTGCCGGCTCTCCTGCTGGCGCCAGGGGCGTCCATGACCCTCGCCCTCTCAGGCGGGCCTGACAGGTGGATCCCAGGCAGGCAGTTCCTGGACCAGGTGCATGTGACGGTGGTGGGGGGTGAGAAAGGACTGCTGCTGGGAGGAGAGGCGGAGAGGAAAGGAGGAGAGGGGCGGAGGGAGGGGGAGAAGGGAGGGGCGGTGGAGGTGGAGCAGGTGGGGGGGCGGGGTGGCAGGGGGTACGTGGTGCGCTGTGCTGGCGGTGAGGCGTCCAACAACAGCTACGTGAGTGCCAACCGTGCCCTGCCACGAGAACTTGCCTCCCCTGCTCTGCCTGCTTTTGCCATGCACCATGTTTCCACCCAACCAAAAAACCTCCTCCTCTTGCCCCAGCAACCACGTGTAATCTCTCTTCTTCCCTCTCCCCCCCTCAAAACCCTCTCCAGCTAGTCACCTTCACGAGAGGCCACCTGCTGTCGTCCCACACCCCGCCCACTACCGTCCCTTCCGCGTCCATCCTGCTGCACTGCTCGCTGCCTGCTGCTGCCGCCATTCTGCTGGATGACTCAGGTGCGCCCTCCCACCCGCCCTGCGCCGTCACACGCATGGCCTAGCTCGTGGTGCATGTGTGCTCGCACCTGGGCTGCAGGCGCTCATGCGCTCTCTGCCTCTCTCATCTCGTCCATGCCTCCACTCGCTGTGCAGCCTGTGCTTTGTATCGCCACACACGTTTTTGTGCTCCCTTCTTCCCACGTCCCTAGCGTGCTACTCTATTCTCTCCACACAATCGTTTCCTTATGGCCTTGCTCTCGCCCTTCTCTGCTTCCTCCGTCCCCTCTTTGCCCCTGGTCTTTGCTGCAGCCCGCCTCCCTGCAGCCATAGCAGCATCAGCAGCCTCCTGCCATCCACCAACGGGAGAATGCCACGTGGCACCAATCACCCTTGTGACACATCAGCACGTGCGGCTGGTCGCTGCAGCTCTCTCCTCCTCCATCGTGCCCTTTGCCAACGCGTCCAGCCAATGGCTGCACGCCACGTGGCAGCTGGAGGGGTGTGATGACATGGCATGGTGGGGTGCGGACGAGCCCAGCAGTGGGGGGGTTGGTTCAGAGGAGGAGTGGAGCAGATGGGTGCACACAGGCGACAGGGGAGGCGAGGTGAGGGTGGTTGGTGGGAGGGAGGGGGCTGTGGGCAGTGAGCTTGCATGAGATGGGTTGCTGGTCTGCTTGCTGCTGCCGCTGCCATGGATGGGTCACTCACCTTCGCCTCCGCTCTTTCCCATCTTACACCATCGCATCTGCTTCTTAACGCTCTGCCCTGCCCCTCCCAGTGTCACGTGCATGTGGACGTGACAGCACCACACGCCAAGGGGGGCTGGCTGCACGTCAAGCCAGAGGGGCAGGGCGCCCACAGGGACGCCTTCCATCTGCGCGCTTCTGCCCTCCTGCAGGTACCCTCCCCTCCCTGCTGCTCACACTCCCTGCTCACTGCACCTGTGCCTTATTGCTCGCCTGCCCTTGCTTTTGCTTTCGCCTAATTGCTACCGCTGCTTGCTGCTCCAACTCTCGTGGTGTTGGCTCGGTCGCTCAAGCGTGTAGTCTACAAATGCGCGCACCCCTCACTCTACCCCTCTCTCATTCCCCTGCAATGCCCGTGTGTGCGTGCATGCAGGTGGTGAAGGCGCTCAGGTTGGAACCGCAGGCGGTGCTGCTCGTCAACCACCCCCACGCCCATGTACGTGACCTTCTCTTGCCTCTCTGCATGCCCTCTGCGTGTTCAGACCCTTATATACTGTTCGCAGCAGTGCTGTTTTGCTCGTGCATGCATTCCCCCTCACACCTCCCAAAGCATCGTCTATTCCAACGCCCATTCATGGCATCCCATTGCTTCGTCCGCTCACGTCCCCCAGGCGGATGTGACAGTAACAGGGGGCACCTCCGAGCTCCAGTTCTTCATCTCCGACCAATCAGTGGCTGCCATTCTGCCACGTGGCACTGCAGCAGCAGTCCAGCTGGCAGCGCGTGCACGAGGCGATGCCACGTTGACAGCAGTGGACGCTGGCCTCTCCCATCCGCTCTCTGCCAACGCCTCGGTACCTCCCCCATCCCATCCCCGCCTCACGTGCCCATAAGTACTCTGCCCGCCTTTCTCCAACGCCCACTTCCTGCTGCTCCAGTATCTTCCAAGCTCCGTGCCTTCATTCCTGTGGGCAGGCTGTAGGATCATTCCTGTCTTGCCTCCTACACCTTCTCCCTGCCTGCCCACACCCTCGTGTCTCACTCTCCCTTCCCCTCCTCTCTGCTCCCACATCACCACCGCATGCCCCCATCCGCCAATCAGGTGTCAGTAGCTGACGTGGCATGGGTGCGCCTGCATCCCGAGGGCGCAGAGCCGTCCACGTCAGCAGGGGCGGGCGAGTGGTGGGTGCAGGTGGGGGCGACAGCGCACATCACAGTGACAGTGGGGGACGACCGCGGCCACCTCTTCCCCGCCTCACAGGTCCGCTCACCTCCCTGCGCACTTCATGATGCTGCCTTCTGTTTAATGTTCACCACACTTCATTATACACGCTCAGCTGTCTTCCCTGAGCTTCCCAGTCTTTCACCCGTGCGCTCGTCTTTCTTTCCCGCTCCCCCCCACCTTTCCCCCTCCCGCCTCTCTCTCCCCCATCCCCCCTCGTGCCCCCCCTACAGTTCGAGTGGATGGGGTTGGAGGCACACGGCATGGCAGGTGTGGTCGCCCTGCACCTGCCCTGCTCGCACTCCTCCTCTGCTGGCGATGACGTGGCATGTTCTGACTCGCTGGAGCTCACAGGGACGGCTGTGGGAGTCACCACTGCCTTCCAGGTCCTCGCTTCCCCTGTCCCCTTCTTCAACCCCAGTTTCCACTCTGCTGTTTCCACTGTCCCTTCCTTCCTCCCCACCCCCCGCGCTTCTTTTCTGTCCACACACCCCGTCCCCATGCATCCACTGCCGTTTTATCCTCTTGAGCGACCTCTGTCATGGACTTTTCTCTTCACTGGAAATCCCTTCCTTGATCGTAACACCAACATTTAATCTCCCGTTCCCCCCATCGGCTCCCAATCCCCGCTACCCATGCCACTCTCCCCTCGCCCCCCTATCCCCCCTGCCCCATCCCCCTTCGCCCTGTCCCCTCATGCACCCATTAGCTGAGCAGGTGAGCGCAGGCATCCACCTGACAACGCGGAGGGTGTTTTCAGATGCCGTGCGCATCACGGTGTATGCGCCGCTCGCCCTACACCCGCCCTCGCTCACCCTCGCCCCGGGAGCATCATACATGGTGCGCGCTCCTGCCCCGCCCCTCGCCCTCCCTGCTCCTCCCTCCCCACCCTTAATTCCTTTTTCCGTTCCCTCCTTGCCTCCATTTTCTGCCAGAGTAATCATGCATACGTAGTGAATCAGTGTCTACTTCTATCTTCTGTGGTACATTTTCCCCTTCACCTTTCTCTAACATCCCACTGCCTCCCATCCTCCTCTGCTCTCCTGTCCTGCTGCCACGTCATCAGCTGCAAGCCACGGGTGGTCCGTCCTCCCCAACCACGACGATCGCATTCGCCTCCTCCAACGCTGACGTGGCGCTCGTCGATTCGTCGTCCGGCCTCGTCACGTCCCGAGCGCCTGGCACAACTGTCATCCGAGCCATGGCGCTAGGCTCGGCAGGGCAGGTTCTGAGTGTTGCCGAGTCTCGGGTGGAGGTTCGGGTGATGGAGGCAGTGGGTCTGAGTGTGGGCAACGGGCAGCTGGCAGTGGGCGAGGAGATGGCCGTGTTCCCCACTGGGGGGCATCAGGTGAGACATCAACATCTGAATCGCTGTCTTCCCACCCCTCTTCCTTGTCTCCCTCTTCACCTCTTCTATCCCTTCTCCTCAACCCCTTTCTCCTCTTCTTTCCCCCCCTCGCTCCCGCCTTTTCTCCCCCACCATCAGGGAGAGGATCTGCTCTCGTTCGCACGGGTGTGCCACGGCTACCAGTGGAGTGTCAGCCACAACCAGGTGAGCCCACCACGCTTATGTCACGCGGATCGTCTGTGGGCTGTCATCCCTCAGCACCTCTCTATGTCCTCAACTGGCACGGTTTGTTCCGTCCCTCCCTCACTCCACTCCTCATCCCCGTCCACACCCCTTTCCCCTCACAGCTGCTGCACCTACAAACGGCGCCATCGCTCGACGCACAGGTGCCTGGCAGCACCGCAGGGGCGGCCAGCAGCAGCAACCGCGGGAGTGACAGTGCCAGCGACAGCGGCAGTGCAGCGGTGGACATGGGCTTCTCAGCGCGCATCACTGCCAGGTCAGCTCAGCTGCAACGCGAAGAGGGGAAACCGTCTCTGTTTGCTGCTGCTCCGTTGTTTTTCTGTGCCTATTTTACATTCCATGCCATGCTCTTTTTTTTCCTTTTTTTTTTCTCCCAATCCCACCTCCCTGCCAATTCTCTCCCATCGTCCTAACCACCTCATACCCCTCAGGGCGCCTGGCACTGCCACGATCTCTCTCACCTTCACCTGCTCCTTCCCCACCTCCTCCAAGCCCTCAGCTGCCCCCCTCCGCCGCTCCTACTCCGCTTCTGCCTCCATCTCCATCGTCCCCACGCCCCCTCTCGCGCTGGGCATCCCTGCCACGTGGCTGCTGCCCATTGGCTACACCTCCTCCCCTCTGCTCCCACCCTCTCTCGCTTCCACCACCTCGGGAGGTGCGGCGAATGCTGCAGCTGCACGCTACTCCTACTCCCTGTTACACGACCAGGTAACTGCCCTGCAATCCCGCGCCTCCTGCTCTCCCCTTTCCTCTCCTCGCTCCCCTTCCTCTTTCACCACACTGCACCGTTCTTAACACCATCTCCCGCACTCCCTTACATCCTGCCCGTCATCACCCCCAGTCACCCCTAGGCAGCGGACATGTGTCGCTGGCAGAAGGCGGGCGAATAGCAACGGGCGAGCGAGCAGCGCTGGGGTGCATTGCAGTGGCCGACTCTGCCAGCGGCCTCCACGACATCGCTGCCTGTGTGCGCACCGCCCAGGTGAGGTTTCTGATGCGTTCAGGTGGAATGGACGCCTGGCCTGGCATTGGTGTCACCATTCCTGTAGCGTGTGCTCACTGTATGAAGTTCGCATCGCAGCTGTGTGTGCCACTCTGCTGTGAACAAGTGACAGCAGTTGTGAGTCACCTTTACTGCCTCCCTGCTCTCTCTCCCCTTCCACTCACATTTTCGACTCCCATCTCCTGCTTCTCCACCCTCTGTTTTTGTCCCTCCGCACCATTCACCCCATTCCCTCCCTCCCCTCCCCTCGCGCCACCGCCAACCCCTGTGCCCCATGGCAGGCAGCACAGCTGACGGTGGGCGACAACGACTTCCCCTTCCATGCGGCTGAGCTCTCTGTGCCCGCCCACCAGCTCTTTTCTGTTCACCTCCGTGACAGCCTCGGTAAGAGACAGGATAGGTAAGATGCAAGCACTGTGAATGCCCGATTGATCATAGGGAAGGTTACAGGTTCGCTGGCCTGGGGGGTTAACCAGTCAGCTCTGCGAGTCGGCACGCGAGTGGGCCAAGGCGCGCGCGTGGACCAAGGCGCGCGCCCGGACCAAGGCGCGCGCCCGGAGCAAGGCGCGCGCCCGGAGCAAGGCGCGCGCGCGGAGCAAGGCGCGCGCACGAAGCAAGGCGCGCGCGCAGAGCAAGGCGCGCGCGCGGAGCAAGGCGCGCCCCCGGAGCAAGGCGCGGGCCCGGAGCAAGGCGCGGGCCCGGAGCAAGGCGCGCCCCCGGACCAAGGCGCGCGCGCGGACCAAGGCGCGCGCGCGGATCAAGGCGCGCGCGCGGACCAAGGCGCGCGCGCGGACCAAGGCGCGCGCCCGGACCAAGGCGCGCGCCCGGACCAAGGCGCGCGCCCGGACCAAGGCGCGCGCGCGGACCAAGGCGCGCGCGCGAACCAAGGCGCTCGCCCGGACCAACGCGCGCGCCCGGACCAACGCGCGCGCCCAGACCAACGCGCGCGCCCGGACCAACGCGCGCGCCCGGACCAACGCTCACTCCCGGACCAACGCGCGCGCCCGGACCAACGCGCGCGCCCGGACCAACGCGCGCGCCCGGACCAATGCGTGCGCCCGGACCAAGTCGCGCGCCCGGACCAAGTCGCGCGCCTGGACCATCGCGCGCGCCAGGACCAACGCGCGCGCCAGGACCAACGCGCGCGCCTGGACCAAGTCGCGCGCCTGGACCAAGTCGCGCGCCTGGACCAAGTCGCGCGCCTGGACCAACGCGCGCGCCAGGATTAACGCGCGCGCCTGGACCCACGCGCGCGCCTGGACCAACGCGCGCGCCTGGACCAACGCGCGCGCCTGGACCAACGCGCGCTCCTGGACCAACGCGCGCGCCCGGACCAACGCGCGCGCCTGGACCAGCGCGCACGCCTGGACCAGCGCGCGCGGCTGGACCAACGCGCGCGCCTGGACCAACGCGCGCGCCTGGACCAGGGCGCGCGCCTCGACCAACGCGCGCGCCTCGACCAACGCGCGCGCCTGGACCAACGCGCGCGCCTGGACCAACGCGCGCGCTTGAACCAACGCGCGCGCTTGAACCAACGCGCGCGCCTCGACCAACGCGCGCGCCTGGACCAAGGCGCGCGCCTGGACCAACGCGCGCGCCTCTACCAACTCGCGCGCCCGGACCAACGCGCGCGCCCGGACCAACGCGCGCGCCCGGACCAACGCGCGCGCTCGGACCAACGCGCGCGCCCGGACCAACGCGCGCGCCCGGACCAACGCTCGCTCCCGGACCAACGCGCGCGCCCGGACCAACGCGCGCGCCCGGACCAAGTTGCGCGCCTGGACCAACGCGCGCGCCTCGACCAACTCGCGCGCCCGGACCAACGCGCGCGCCCGGACCAACGCGCGCGCCCGGACCAACGCGCGCGCTCGGACCAAGGCGCGCGCCCGGACCAACGCGCGCGCCCGGACCAACGCGCGCGCCCGGACCAACGCGTGCGCCCGGACCAACGCGCGCGCCCGGACCAAGTCGCGCGCCTGGACCATCGCGCGCGCCAGGACTAACGCGCGCGCCAGGACCAATGCGCGCGCCTGGACCAAGTCGCGCGCCTGGACCAAGTCGCGCGCCTGGACCAAGTCGCGCGCCTGGACCAACGCGCGCGCCAGGACCAACGCGCGCGCCAGGACCAACGCGCGCGCCTGGACCAAGGCGCGCGCCTGGACCAACGCCCGCGCCTGGACCAATGCGCGCGTCTGGACCAACGCGCATGCCTGGACCAACGCGCACGCCTGGACCAACGCGCGCGCCAGGACCAACGCGCGCACCAGGACCAACGAGCGCGCCTGGACCAACGCGCGCGCGCCTGGACCAACGCGCGCGCCTGGACCAACGCGCGCGCCTGGACCAACGCGCGCGCCTGGACCAGGTCGCGCGCCTGGACCAACGCACGCGCCTAGACCAACGCGCGCGCCTGGACCAGGTCGCGCGCCTAGACCAACGCGCGCGCCAGGATTAATGCGCGCGCCAGGATTAACGTGCGCGCCTGGACCCACGCGCGCGCCTGGACCAACGCGCGCGCCTGGACCAACGAGTGCGCCTGGACCAACGCGCGCGCCTGGACCAACGCGCGCGCCAGGACCAACGCGCGCGCCTGGACCAACGCGCACGCCTGGACCAACGCGCGCGCCTGGACCAACGCGCGCGCCTGGACCAACGCGCGCGCCTGGACCAACGCGCGCGCCTGGACCAACGCGCGCGCCTGGACCAACGCGCGCGCCTGGACCAACGCGCGCGCCTGGACCAACGCGCGCGCCAGGACCAACGCGCGCGCCAGGACCAACGCGCGCGCCAGGACCAGGTCGCGCGCCTGGACCAACGCGCGCGCCTGGACCAGGTCGCGCGCCTGGACCAACGCGCGCGCCTGGACCAACGCGCGCGCCTGGACCAACGCGCGCGCCTGGACCAACGCGCGCGCCTGGACCAACGCGCGCGCCTGGACCAATACGCGCGCCTGGACCAACGCGCGCGCCTGGACGAACGCGCGCGCCTGGACCAATGCGCGTGCCTGGACCAACGCGCGCGCCTGGACCAACGCGCGCGCCTGGACCAACGCGCGCGCCTTGACCAACGCGCGCGCCTGGACCAACGCGCGCGCCTGGACCAACGCGCGCGCCTGGACCAACGCGCGCGCCTGGACCAACGCGCGCGCCTGGACCAACGCGCGCGCCTGGACCAACGCGCGCGCCTGGACCAAGGCGCGCGCCTGGACCAACGCGCGCGCCTGGACCAACGCGCGCGCCTGGACCAATGCGCGTGCCTGGACTAGGTCGCGCGCCTGGACCAACGCGCGCGCCCGGACCAACGCGCGCGCCCGGACCAAGTTGCGCGCCTGGACCAACGCGCGCGCCTCGACCAACTCGCGCGCCCGGACCAACGCGCGCGCCCGGACCAACGCGCGCGCCCGGACCAACGCGCGCGCTCGGACCAAGGCGCGCGCCCGGACCAACGCGCGCGCCCGGACCAACGCGCGCGCCCGGACCAACGCGTGCGCCCGGACCAACGCGCGCGCCCGGACCAAGTCGCGCGCCTGGACCATCTCGCGCGCCAGGACTAACGCGCGCGCCAGGACCAATGCGCGCGCCTGGACCAAGTCGCGCGCCTGGACCAAGTCGCGCGCCTGGACCAAGTCGCGCGCCTGGACCAACGCGCGCGCCAGGACCAACGCGCGCGCCAGGACCAACGCGCGCGCCTGGACCAAGGCGCGCGCCTGGACCAACGCGCGCGCCTGGACCAATGCGCGCGTCTGGACCAACGCGCACGCCTGGACCAACGCGCGCGCCTGGACCAACGCGCGCGCCAGGACCAACGCGCGCACCAGGACCAACGAGCGCGCCTGGACCAACGCGCGCGCGCCTGGACCAACGCGCGCGCCTGGACCAACGCGCGCGCCTGGACCAACGCGCGCGCCTGGACCAGGTCGCGCGCCTGGACCAACGCACGCGCCTAGACCAACGCGCGCGCCTGGACCAGGTCGCGCGCCTAGACCAACGCGCGCGCCAGGATTAATGCGCGCGCCAGGATTAACGTGCTCGCCTGGACCCACGCGCGCGCCTGGACCAACGCGCGCGCCTGGACCAACGAGTGCGCCTGGACCAACGCGCGCGCCTGGACCAACGCGCGCGCCAGGACCAACGCGCGCGCCTGGACCAACGCGCGCGCCTGGACCAACGCGCGCGCCTGGACCAACGCGCGCGCCTGGACCAACGCGCGCGCCTGGACCAACGCGCGCGCCTGGACCAACGCGCGCGCCAGGACCAACGCGCGCGCCAGGACCAACGCGCGCGCCAGGACCAGGTCGCGCGCCTGGACCAACGCGCGCGCCTGGACCAGGTCGCGCACCTGGACCAACGCGCGCGCCTGGACCAACGCGCGCGCCTGGACCAACGCGCGCGCCTGGACCAACGCGCGCGCCTGGACCAACGCGCGCGCCTGGACCAATGCGCGCGCCTGGACCAATGCGCGTGCCAGGACTAGGTCGCGCGCCTGGACCAACGCGCGCGCCTGGACCAACGCGCGCGCCTTGACCAACGCGCGCGCCTGGACCAACGCGCGCGCCTGGACCAACGCGCGCGCCTGGACCAACGCGCGCGCCTGGACCAACGCGCGCGCCTGGACCAACGCGCGCGCCTGGACCAACGCGCGCGCCTGGACCAAGGCGCGCGCCTGGACCAAGGCGCGCGCCTGGACCAACGCGCGCGCCTGGACCAACGCGCGCGCCTGGACCAATGCGCGTGCCTGGACTAGGTCGCGCGCCTGGACCAACGCGCGCGCCTGGTCCAACGCGCGCGCCTGGACCAACGCGCGCGCATGGACCAACGCGCGCGCCTGGACCAACGCGCGCGCCTGGACCAACGCGCGCGCCTGGACCAACGCGCGCGCCTGGACCAACGCGCGCGCCTGGTCCAGGTCGCGCGCCTGGACCAGGTTTCGCGCCTGGACCAACGCGCGCGTCTGGACCAGGTCGCGCGCCTGGACCAACGCGCGCGCCTGGACCAGGTCGCGCGCCTGGACCAACGCGCACGCCTGGACCAACGCGCGCGCCTGGACCAACGCGCGCGCCTGGACCAACGCGCGCGCCTGGACCAACGCGCGCGCCTGGACCAACGCGCGCGCCTGGACCAACGCGCGCGCCTGGACCAGGTCGCGCGCCTGGACCAACGCGCGCGCCTGGACCAACGCGCGCGCCTGGACCAACGCGCGCGCCTGGACCAACGCGCGCGCCAGGACCAACGCGCGCGCCAGGACCAACGCGCGCGCCTGGACCAACGCGCGCGCCTGGACCTGCACGCGCGCCTGGATCAGCGCGCGCGCCTGGACCAGCTCGCGCGCCTGGACCAGCGCGCGCGCCTGGACCAACGCACGCGCCTGGACCAAGGCGCGCGCCTGGACCAACGCGCGCGCCTGAACCAACGCGCGCGCCTGGACCAACGCGCACGCCTGGACCAAGGCGCGCGCCTGGACCAGGGCGCGCGCCTGGACCAACGCTCGCGCCTGGACCAATGCGCGTGCCTGGACTAGGTCGCGCACCTGGTCCAACGCGCGCGCCAGGACCAACGCGCGCGCCTGGACCAACGCGCGCGCCTGGACCAACGCGCGCTCCTGGACCAACGCGCGCGCCTGGAACAACGCGCGCGCCTGGACCAACGCGCGCGCCTGGACCAACGCGCGCGCCTGGACCAACGCGCGCGCCTGGACCAACGCGCGCGCCTGGACCAACGCGCGCGCCAAGACCAACGCGCGCGCCTGGACCAACGCGCGCGCCTGGACCAACGCGCGCGCCTGGACCAACGCGCGCGCCTGGACCAACGCGCGCGCCTGGACCAACGCGCGCGCCTGGACCAACGCGCGCGCCTGGACCAACGTGCGCGCCTGAACCAACGCGCGCGCCTGGACCAACGCGCGCGCCTGGACGAACGCGCGCGCCTGGACTAGCGCGCGCGCCTGGACCAGGTCGCGCGCCTGGACCAGGTCGCGCGCCTGGACCAACGCGCGCGGCTGGACCAACGCGCGCGCCTGGACCAACGCGCGCGCCTGGACCAACGCGCGCGCCTGGACCAACGCGCGCGTCTGGACCAACGCGCGCGCCTGGACCAAGGCGCGCGGCGCGCGCCAGGACCAACGCGCGCGCCTGGACCAACGCGCGCGCCTAGACCAAGGCGCGCGGCGCGCGCCAGGACCAACGCGCGCGCCTGGACCAACGCGCGCGCCTGGACCAACGCGCGCGCCTGGACCAGGTCGCGCGCCTGGACCAACGCGCGCGCCTGGACCAACGCGCGCGCCTGGACCAAGTCGCGCGCCTGGACCAACGCGCGCGCCTGGACCAACGCGCGCAACTGGACCAACGCGCGCGCCTGGACCAACGCGCGCGCCTGGACCAAGTCGCGCGCCTGGACCAAGTCGCGCGCCTGGACCAACGCGCGCGCCTGGACCAACGCGCGCGCCTGGACCAACGCGCGCGCCTGGACCAACGCGCGCGCCTGGGCCAACGCGCGCGCCTGGACCAACGCGCGCGCCTGGACCAACGCGCGCGCCTGGACCAACGCGCGCGCCTGGACCAAGTCGCGCGCCTGGACCAACGCGCGCGCCTAAACCAACGCGCGCGCCTGGACCAACGCGCGCGCCTGGACCAACGCGCGCGCGTGGACCAGGTCGCGCGCGTGGACCAGGTCGCGCGCCTGGACCAACGCGCGCGCCTGGACCAGGCCGCGCGCCTGGACCAACGCGCGCGCCTGGACCAACGCGCGCGCCTGGACCAACGCGCGCGCCTGGACCAAGTCGCGCGCCTGGACCAACGCGCGCGCCTGGACCAACGCGCGCGCCTGGACCAAGTCGCGCGCCTGGACCAACGCGCGCGCCTGGACCAAATCGCGCGCCTGGACCAAGTCGCGCGCCTGGACCAACGCGCGCGCCTGGACCAAGTCGCGCGCCTGGACCAAGTCGCGCGCCTGGACCAACGCGCGCGCCTGGACCAACGCGCGCGCCTGGACCAACGCGCGCGCCTGGACCAACGCGCGCGCCTGGACCAACGCGCGCGCCTGGACCAACGCGCGCGCCTGGACCAACGCGCGCGCCTGGACCAACGCGCGCGCCTGGACCAACGCGCGCGCCTGGACCAACGCGCGCGCCTGGACCAACGCTCGCGCCTGGACCAACGCTCGCGCCTGGACCAACGCGCGCGCCCGGACCAACGCGCGCGCCCGGACCAACGCGCGCGCCCGGACCAACGCGCGCGCCCGGACCAACGCGCGCGCCCGGACCAACGCGCGCGCCCGGACCAACGCGCGCGCCCGGACCAACGCGCGCGCCCGGACCAACGTGCGCGCCTGGACCAACGCGCGCGCCCGGACCAACGCGCGCGCCCGGACCAACGCGCGCGCCCGGACCAACGCGCGCGCCCGGACCAACGCGCGCGCCCGGACCAACGCGCGCGCCCGGACCAACGCGCGCGCCCGGACCAACGCGCGCGCCCGGACCAACGCGCGCGCCCGGACCAACGCGCGCGCCCGGACCAACGCGCGCGCCCGGACCAACGCGCGCGCCCGGACCAACGCGCGCGCCCGGACCAACGCGCGCGCCCGGACCAACGCGCGCGCCCGGACCAACGCGCGCGCCCGGACCAACGCGCGCGCCCGGACCAACGCGCGCGCCCGGACCAACGCGCGCGCCCGGACCAACGCGCGCGCCCGGACCAACGCGCGCGCCCGGACCAACGCGCGCGCCCGGACCAACGCGCGCGCCCGGACCAACGCGCGCGCCCGGACCAACGCGCGCGCCCGGACCAACGCGCGCGCCCGGACCAACGCGCGCGCCTGGACCAACGCGCGCGCCTGGACCAACGCGCGCGCCTTGACCAACGCGCGCGCGGACCGAGGCGCGCGCGCAGATGGAGGCGCGCGCGCGGATCTTTTATCCTGTTTTTGTAGCGCCTGCTACCCTCGCCCGGTTTTCACTGTGTGCAGGAGTGCCCTTCCTGGAAGCTTCCGATGCGCGGGTGGAGGTGGATGTGGACAGGCCTGACGTGGTGTCAGTGGCGGTGGTGCCCAGCCTACCAGGGCCTGACACGTGGCAGCCAGCCAACATGACAGTGGTGGTGAAGGTGCGTGTGCGTGCGTGTGTGTGTGGTGGAGGGGATCGGGGCGCTGATTTGCACAGGGATGCACCCAGTGCACAGCATCTCCCTTCCCGGCTGCCACTCACTTACCACCCCTGCTTGCTGTGCGCCCCTCGTTTCTCTCTCTTCCTCACTCTCCTCACTGCCATATCCATCCCCCCCCCCCGCCCCTCTCTCCCCCTCCAGGCGGTGCAGCAGGGCACAGCAGTGGTGCGCGTGCGGGTGCAGCCAGGGGCAGGGCGAGGGACACGTGGCAACCTGCCATTGGTGGACTTCATCACTGTGAGCTAAACTTTGGGCATGGGAAACGCAAGCTGGTGTAGCCACTCGGACACTCTGTGACTCACTCACTGTCTCGTGCCCCACTCACTTGCTCACTCACTCACTCGCCATTCACTCACTCACTCACTCACTCGCCATTCACTCACTCACTCACTCACTCACTCACTCACTCGCTCGTGCCCCGCTCACTCGCTCACCCACTCACTTCCTCACTCACTCCCGCACACTCCCTTCTATGCCATCCCACCAGGTGCAAGTGGGCGCATACGTGTTCCCTCGGGATCCCCTTGTCCCTCTGGGTGCCTCGCTCAACTTCTCCCTCTCACACCGCCACCACCAGCAAGGTACATGCCCGCCACCTTTCATTTGCCATGCAATACCATGCCATGCCATGCAATACCATGCCATGCCATGCAATACCATGCCATGCCATGTGCAGGAACGCAGAGTCAACCTGTTGTGTGGTTTCCCCTCTCCTCCCCTTCTCTGTTCCTCTCGGCCCGCCCTTTTCCAGCTATGGGGGGCAGCAGGGGCGGCAGGTGGGAGAGTGGCAACAGCAGTGTGGTGGCGGTGGATGGCAGCACGGGGGAGGCAAGGGCGGTGGGGGAGGGCTCCACTGTCGGTCAGTCGCCCCTCCACACCCGCCTCTTGCATCCCCCTCACTCGCCACTCCTCTGCTCGTCCTGGCGAAAAAGCAGTTGGCTGCTCATTGACCTTCTCCTTTCTTGTTTCCGAGCATTCTTGGCCTCCTCTATTCCACAAGCACCTGCCCCTTCCTGATCCCTATACACTCGTTCGTCCCCCCCTCCCCTACACCCCCAGTGAGCTTCAACGCATCGCGCCTGACGTCATACACGAGGGTCACAGTGCTGCCAGTGGCGTCGCTGCTCGTCTCCCCGCCACCCTCCTCGCCTCTCCTCTCCAACGCGCCTCCCCTCGCTGCTGTCGGCCGCCCCTTCCACTTCCCAGTCCAGTTCAGGTGCTGTGCGGCACTGTGGCGCGGTGCTGTGCTGTGCTGTGCTGTGCTGTGCTGTGCTGTGCTGTGCTGTGCTGTGCTGTGCTGTGCTGTGCTGTGCTGTGCTGTGCTGTGCTGTGCTGTGCTGTGCTGTGCTGTGCTGTGCTGTGCTGTGCTGTGCTGTGCTGTGCTGTGCTGTGCTGTGCTGTGCGGTGTGTGGCGGTGCTGGGTGCCAACATTCATGATTGTTCTCCTTGGACTCCCCTTTCCGAGCCTGCCAGTTCTTGGCCACTCTGTGTCCTTTCCCCCTTCCCAGTTCACACTCCTCCATGCTCCCACGCGCCCATGCCTCTCGCCCATGCCTCTCACTCACAGGGACTCTCGAGGCCAGCCCATGGGACGGCCCGTGGGGTCGCCAGACGTGCCCTTCTCATGCCACGTGGCGCCTAGCATGCTCGGGTGAGTGGCGCCTAGCATGCTCGGGTGAATGGCGCCTAGCATGCTCGGGTGAGTGGCGCCTAGCATGCTCGGGTGAGTGACGCCTAGCATGCTCGGGTGAGTGACAACACTGGTGTTCTCAACCACGCTTCCTTCACCCTCTGCACTACTCCCTCCCTCCACGGTACCTCCACTCCACCACAATCACTCCAACTGCCGTCGTATCTGCCGTTCTCCTCCTTCGCCTCCGCTCTCCCACTATGCCCCACACCACAGTGATCTCATGCCCTCACGTTCCCCTCCCCTGCCCATCTCCCCGGTCCCTCCCTCCCCCATCTCCCGCGTCTCCCCCCCCGCATGCCCTGCAGCACGGCCGTGCCTCGCTTTGACACCGCCTCAAGCTCCTATGTCTGCTCCTTCACCCCCGCCTCTCCCGCCCGCATCTTCTCCTCTCTCACTCAATCCTCCTCCTCCTCATCGTCAGCACCACCAGCAGCAGCAGGGGGGGCGAAGTTGGGGGGAGTGAGCAGGGAAGGGGCGGGCAATGAGGGAGGGGGAGTGGTGGTGGCGGTGGCGGCAGTGGTGGAGGCAGGGGCAGCGCAGGGTGCTCGCCCGGCTGTGAGAGGAGAGGCCGCTGTGCCGTTTGTTGGGGGCTTTGATGTGCTGGGCGGAGGCGAGGTGAGGCCAGTTGCACTGATTGGCACATCACCATGTTCCATACGCCACATCACCATGTTCCATACGCCACATCACCATGTTCCATACGCCACATCACCATGTTCCATACGCCACATCACCATGTTCCATACGCCACATCACCGTGTTCCATACGCCACATCACCATGTTCCATATGCCACATCACCATGTTCCAAACGCCACATCACCATGTTCCATACGCCACATCACCATGTTCCATACGCGACATTGGACCGAACGATCTCTGTCGCATTCAGAGTTATCGCGTTGAAATTCCTGTTGTTTGCCTTCCCCGCTCGGACCGGTTTCCGTCCTTTGTTTCTGCTCAACTCTTCCTGTTTCCACCTGACGGTCTTTGGATGTGTGTGCGTGTGCGTGTGTGTGGGTGCAGATCTCTCTGTCTCTCGCCGCCAACACCACCACCATTCGCCTCGTTGGAAACACAAGTGAGCGCACTGCAATGCTGCTGACTCCGTTGAAATAGCATCAAGAAACTGCCTTGCTATCAAACTGTTCTGCATATTTCAATGGTACCTGTGTGGAGCACATGTGTCAGATTGAGGGCATTTGGTGCGGCCATCAGAACACCTCTTGCACCAACAACAATCTAGCTGCACTGTTGCACTGCTGCGCTCACACCAGACCGCTACCTTGTCTCTCTCGCTTCTCCCATCTCTCTCACTGCAGGCTCAGTGCAAGTGGCATGGAGCCAAAGAGCCTCACTGGTGGTTCGGAGGACAGGCCAGGTGTCATTGCAGGGTGCGAGGAGAGTTAGTCAGAGCACTCGTGCTGCCACTGCTCTCCGCAGCACCCCAGCTGCTCCAGAAGGGCTTGCAGCCTTGGCAGATGAGACAGTGTTTGCCATCCAGGTAGGCTCTGAGTTTGTCACGCGACTCTCCCCTTCACCTGTGCTGCTTTCTGGTTTTCTAGCTTTCTCAGCCATTCTTGCTTCTGTCTCATCCGTGTCCCCATCCCTCGTCTCTCTTCTCTCGTCTCACTGCTCTCTCCCCTCACTCCAGGTTGTGCTAGGCGATCATTCTGACCATGCACGTGCATCCTTCGAAGATGACATCGTTTTCACGCATCTTGCCACAGGTATTTCATCCGCAGTGGTGCCACTGGCCGTACTGCTCCAGCCAACGCACCACCACCAAGACTTGCCAAAACCCACTGCATGCCACCCACTTCATGCCACCCACTGCATGGCACCCAGTGCATGGCACCCACTGCATGCCATCCAAGTCTCATCCCCATCACTCCCACCGCCCCGCATCCACCGCAGGCCAAAGGGAGACGGTGCATGTGACCTTCAATGCAGCTGCTGCACCCTCCACCCTGGTCCCCCTCAACCTGCTGTGGCTCGCAGCACTCACCGCCCTCGTCGCCTCGGCCATTCTCCTTCTCCTGCACCTCGTCAGCCCCGCCCAACCCTACATCCCCCACCCACAGCCCCCACCCTCGCCTCTCCCCACTCCGTCCCCTCAGCGCCCCGGGTCTGCCTTCCACACGCCTGGGTCAAGTGCTTTCTCCCCGGTGTCTCCTTATAGCCAGATGGGGTCCCCGAGTCCTGAGTATGTGAGCTATGCAGGCCGCACCATACACAGGGCTCCAGGGTACACCAACCCTATGGAGGACCCTCGTAGCATGTACTGATTTTGTGTGACTGCGTGTGGGTGTACCTTTTTGCGTTTGGATAGTTCGGAAGATGGAGACATGGCACCGGATGTGTGCTTTCATACACATAGATGCACGGTAATTGCTGCGAAAAAGGCTGACAAATGGAGCAGTTTGAGGGCAAAAACTGGAAACAACTGAAAGATAAGGTGGAGCTCATCAGCCAAGGTGTACTGTTTTGGTGTTCTTAGGTGTCCATTGTCACTTGTCACAATTGAGCTGCACAAGTTGGCGGTCCAAGCCAAGTGTTGCTGGTGTTCTGTCTTGAGTTTTCAACCGAATCCATCCATATGCTGCCCGTCGATTTTCTCTGTAAACAAGTGGCTGTTGGACAAAAGGTACAACGGGTTTGCCGGATAGATGACGAGTCGTGGGCTGACAGCCAATAAGGGAAAAAATATGGCAGTTAGCCAGCCAGTGACAGAAGCCACAGTGGACCAACGATGATATTTGTGGCCTCTCTGCATCTGCATCAGGTCATGAGCACAGCATACGTTTTGAGGCCCAATGTGTTTTCACAACTCGAGTATCCTGGTGAATGTTTAGGTGTTTAGGTTCGCTTACGGAGTTCAGGGTCAGTTAGTGAATACGTGTGCCCCAGCTGCTTGAAATCTCTAGAGACTTTCTCTTGGAAGTCTACATTCTTCCCACCCTCATTTCTCTGTACGCAATTTCCGATTTCGTTGATCTGTCTGTCATTTGGTGTTTAACTACCGAGTTGACGCCTCGCTGATTGCGACTTGTTACTGCAGTTAGGCATACTCAACTCAATAGGGTGACTTTGACGTCCTGTCTGAAAAAACAAATAGAGGAGAATACGGTACAATATTCTGAGGAGCAGGGTAAACACTGCTCCAACCAGGACACAGCCCGACTCCGACGCTTCAATTTGGACGGATTCCGATCCCGAAGTCCCTTGAAGAGGCAGGATTTTGGTTGCCCATGGCTGTTGGATTCGTCCAAGTCGAAACGTCGGAGGCCGGCTGTCCATCAAAACGAAACGTACTGACCGACTCCCGCTGACTCGGACCCTCTTCCCATCGAACTAGGGAATCTAGGAATGCGGATATTAACCGTTCGATGAAAGTTGAGAACGATATTCGACGGTCAGATTATTGCGTTGTCGTACTTCAAGGCGGAAACCCCTCGCTTCCGCTACAGATCAGATGAGGTACAGTACCGGTAAGAAATATCTACCCACCTGCTTGGCTCTCGACCGGATTGACGAACCACACACGCTACTGTTTGGTCAATCTGGTTGCTGCGCCAAACTTGGCAACAAGATATTTGCTGCGTCAATAATGCTCACTCTCCCTATCTTCTGCAAAATAAAACAGTTCCAATTCCTAGATTTATACGGTATTCCTACGGCAGTGTAGATGATAGAACGGTGTTAGGGCCCAAAACACCTGAACCTACATCGAAGCCGTGATTCACCGCGTTGCGCGAAGATTCATGGTCCCTGCGCTGCGAGCAGCGAAGTCTCCTGCTTGTGTGTTTGCTCATTTGCCTCACTCTCCCCCTCCCACCCAGCCTTTATCCCCATCCAGCCGAAAGATATTTTTCCATTTCTGAAAGGTTGACCTTGCTGGTTGCTGAAAGATATCTCATCCTCCCATGGCTCGGTCAGGATCCGACGACTCTCCACGTGAAGCAGCGCCTGAGATTCGAAGGAATCAGTCGCTCGACGGCTCTAAGAAACGCAAGATCGAGTCCGCGCTCGTTGAGTCCGAATCGCGCTCCCTGAAGCAGACGAGATTTGCCCAATTTGACTCTTTTACTCCATCCGCCTCCTGCCCAATCTTCGACTTCCACACGGGCAAGCTCGAGAAATCTTTCACGTTGGAGTCAGCGACGCTTGGCGCGGGGCAGTTCGGCGTTGTGAGGCGGTGCGTCGAGAATGCAACAAATCAGGCCTTCGCGTGCAAAACGATCAATAAAGACAGCTTGTCGACGTCAGCGGCGAGGGACGAAGTGCGACGCGAGGTGGCGGCGATGCGGAGCGTGGCGGGGCATGCGGGCGTGGTGCAGCTGCGCGCGGTGTTCGAAGACGAGCGACATGTTCACCTCGTCATGGACCTGTGCGACGGTGGCGAACTCTTCGACGAGGTCGTGCGACGCGGGCGGTTACCCGAAAGAGATGCAGCGCTCATCTTTCGCCAAATAGCCTCCGCCGTCGCGTTCTGTCACTCTAAGAACATAATGCACCGCGATTTAAAGCCCGAAAACATCCTCCTCGCATCCCAACACTCGGCACAATTCCCCACCGCCAAGCTCGCCGATTTCGGATTTGCAATCCCCATTCCCCCCGGGCATCGCGCGTGTGGCGTCGCGGGGTCGCCGTTCTACATGGCGCCAGAGGTACTGACAGGCGAGTACGGGGTCTCGGCGGACGTGTGGTCGCTGGGCGTGGTGCTGTACGTGCTGCTGAGCGGCAGCCCGCCGTTTTGGGGCGCGGACGACAACGGCGTGTTCCGCGCCGTGCTGGAGGCGCCGCTGGACCTGACGAGCGGCGCGTGGGCGGGGGTGTCGGCGGAGGCCAAGGGGCTGCTCCGCTGCATGCTGCACCGCGACCCGCGCCGACGCCCCTCCGCCGCCAAGCTGCTCTCCCACCCCTGGATCCTCGTCCACGCCTTCGGCGGCCGCGTCGTGCGCCGCGTGCTCGTCGCGCCCGCGCTCCAGCAGATCCGCATGGCGGGAGGCGCTGCTGCTGTTCCTCTCTCCGCCTAGCGACACGGCTTCGCGATTTTTTTTTGGCGAATGCGCCATTGCCATTTTGGGGGAAATGTCACCACGACTGGAGCACAGGGGGATGCCAACCCAAGCGTTTTGACGTTACAGGGTTACATACACGAAGAGCTTAGAGCCTCGCAAGTGCACCTCAGCTGCTACTTCTGCAGCCTGGACGCTTGGCTTGGCATGCTGCCTGTTAGGTTGTGAATCATGTATTTTTCATCAACATTGTTGAAGCTTGTAATGAGTTGTTGTAAAGCGCAATGCCAATCTCTCCATTTATATTCCACAAACGAGGTAGAGCGCTGCAATGCTAGAACCAGTTGGATTTTTGGAAGTCACGGAAGCCCCGGAGGTAGTTTACCATGGACTCTCTTGTCCTCTTCCAATGCACCTCCTGTATCACATCGTCTGCACTGCGCTTCCTCTCCTGAGGGGCACAAGCCGGGTGGGTATCATAGGACATGGACAGATAGTTAGGATTCTAATGCACACTTGGTGATTGAGCTCTGTGAGAGGGACGGATGGGAGAGGAAGGGAAGAGAAGAGCTACAGAACTGTCACATTGAGGAGCCACACCAATGTGTAAACCCGCCAGCTCAACTCCCCTCCACATCCCATCCTTACTCACGGTTCCTAATCCCTGCTTACTCACATGGCCCACTCTCACCTTGGGAATGATTCTGAAGGTGTTGCCATCGTCCCTGACAATCAGAGTCTCGTTTCTGCGGTCGCGCGGCTGGTCCTCCGGCACATCCAGCTGCCACAAGGTGGCACAGGGGAGTGGATGGGCGGTGCATGTGAAAAATAATGATGACGACAATCATCAGTATCAGCAGCAGAAGCAGCAGATGAGCAGCCGTGATGAACAGTCGATAGTGGAATGTTCGAGCAAGTGAGCACATGGGAGGATGGAGGCGGTGAGGCCGTACGATGACAGTGGCGCGGCGCAGTGTCTTGTCGTGGCCGTCGAAGACATACACCTCCTCAAAGTCCAACATGAACTCGCGCGTGCCGTAGGGGTCATCGTTCATGTGCCGGATGAAAAATACCTGGTGGGGCAGGGCAGGGGACAGGGAGCAGATGCATTCTGAGGAGTGCGAGACGTTTTGATGCGTATGGATGGAGCATGTTCAGCAACTGAGAGAGGGAATAAGCGTCACAATGGGGCATATGATACTTCAAACACAAAAGAGGATCTCAGCAATCCAGTCCACAAGTTAGAGAGTCAATGAGCACTATGCGCCCGCATGGCCACATGCGCCCGCATGGCCACATGCCCCCCACGCTCACTTTGGTGACCTCCTCGATCTCCTTGGCGCTGGGCTTGTACGGGTCGGTGGAGTGCGGCAGGATCTTCCCCGCTATGTACGTCCACCGCCCCACTTGGCACCGCACGGGCTGACGTGGACAGACAGGGCGACGCGGCGGCGAGCAGGGGAAAAAGGGGGTCGTGGTAGCAGTCAGTGCAGGAAGTTAAGTTGCGGTTTGGCGATGCATGCAAGGCAGGCAGTTACATACCGGTATGTCAAATCAGCGGGCATGTTCCTGTGACGAAGCGCCATGCAAGGCTAGTGGCTGCATGGCGCTGCCAGTGCCCACGTACCTGTGAGGGCAGTGGCGCCAGCTTGCTGGGAATGGAGTAGACGTCACTGCCGGGCGGAGCGAAATACACCTGGGCGGGCACGGTACAGAGCACAGTGAATGGGGGAAAGGGAGGGGAAGGGGAGAGGGAGGGTGGTGGGAAAAGGGGAGGGGAAGGTACCATGGGAAAGAAGCCGCATGCAAGGGATGCGGATTGCGATGAGGGTGGTGGAAGTGAGAAGAGAGCTAGAGCAAGGACAGACAAGGATGGAAACGGAATGGGAGACTCGAAGCACAGCTTTTCAACCATGCGCCAACCGTCTCCCTGTCTTCCCCATCTAAAAACCCTCCAACCCCACTGCCAAACCCTGTCCCCCCAACCCTGTCCTCCAGCTCTGACCTCGCACCAGTACCCCCAGCCCTGCACCTCGGAGAAATCAAATACGTCGGTGTCGCAGCCGTCGCCCCCTCGTCGCACGAAGAGGTCGCAGGCGGCCATGGCGATGCAGTGGAACGCCGCCTCCTCGATCTTATACTCCACGCGCACCACCGCGCCCGCCCCCTCCCGCTCCGCCACCGCCAGCCCTCCGCCCGCGCGCGCAAGCGTCGCGTCTCCCCCCAGACCCAATGCCACTGTGTCGAGACCGTACGCAGAGGGGTCGTCTAACATGAAGAGATCATCTCGGCCGTCCATTTCGACCTCTAGTTCGGCGTCGAGATCGAGATCCTCCGCGTCGAACTCCATCCCCTCGTCGTCGTCGTCGCCATCGAAGTCGCCCGCTCGCACGACGACTAGCCTCCGTCGTCTACGGGTCGCACAGACTGGGTGCAACGGAAGGTTCGAGGGCGAGCGACTCCTTTGTGAATGGGCAGAAGAGGTGAGGCTGAGAGGCTTTGACGGAGCACGCCGGGTTGGTCTAGGCCGCGGCAGGTCCCGCCATGCGACATTTGGCGAATGAAACAGCGAGTTTGGGCTGCACACGCAACGAACGGCGGCTGTGCACGTTGACATTGCCATGCCCGTCAACGCCGCCACGACGCTTCGTGACTAAATGCTATCGCGAGGATACGTTGCGTTGGTGTTTCCGGTGAAGTGACTACGAACTGCGACGCTAGGACGACCGCACCTAGAGAACGGAGCGTTATTGCGATGACTTGGAAAATAAACCGTGATGTTGCTCAAGGAATGCAGAAGCAGGTGATGCTGTGAGCTGAACAACCGTCTTTCAATGAGGACACTCGATAAATGTTTCAGTCATATCATGCATGGTGAGAAAATTTGGCGGTACGGTACAAACTCCAATTTTGGTACAATTTGACCTTCAAAATGGACTAGGACCTACAAGGAATGGCTATTTGATTATGTGCTAGCACATAGCAAACCTTGGGTCTAATATATGCAAGCATGGTAAACATAAACCACACCACAGATCTCGTAGCCTTCACTCAGCTCGGAATAAGGTGATCTCCTGCTGCTTGAAGTATCGGCGATCCTCCTCGTCCACAAGCACCAAGTTAAGAAAGTACTTGACTGAAAATTTGTTGTTGATATTGCGGTAGGTGGGTGTTAAATCATATGGGCTGAGGAAGAGCCGGATCGGTATACACTCGCCTGTATACAGAGCAAAAACATTAAAGGGGAGAGGGAGCGAGAAGGGGGGAGTGTGAAGTTGAATGGGCCAGTTGGAAACGAAGTGCAAAATGGGTGTCTGAGAGAAGCTGGGGAAGATTACAATCTCAAGAAGAGGTGTCCGTTCACAAGCACTGAGAAAATTCAGAAGCAAATACAAGAACAATCAGGACGAACTCACCTCTTACTGGAGCTCCATCCATGACTTCATACTTGGCAAGCGTCTCGCTCTCATTGTAAGTATTCGGCCCTGAACCCGTTGATTCACGTCGCCTTATCTCCAGCTCCATGTGCTTTATCTTGATTCTAACCAGTAAGAAGTAGATTTTCCCTATTACTACGTCCTTCAGGTGGTACCTGGCTAGTACCACACACGGAAATCGCAAGTCAGACGGCATGAACTGGCAGGTTAATACCGGAAACAACGGACCCCCAAAACAACAATTGCAACAGCTTACTTCGATTTGTTGTACTCGAACTCGATGTGTAAACAGTCCTCAATGCCAACCTCCATCTGCACCAAGACGAAGCAGGGGCTTCTAAGAGCTCAGGCTGAGTCGAGAGGGCTGCAACCCTAAGCACTGCCATACCCACCTTGATTGTGTTGTTGATTTCCGGCTCTTTCAAGATATTCCGTACCTGCAGAAATTGCCATTAGCAGAAAGAAGTCACAACAAGCCCTTTGTAGGTGTGACAGAGAAGGAAAGACGAACCTGCCTGTATATTACATACCCAAAAGTCCTTCTCCTTGACAATGTTGGACGAATAATTTCGACTGACAGTCACTCTCAAAATGTACCTGAGCAATATGGAACACTTAGTGGCATAAATCAAACGTGACGGGGAGATTCACTAAGTGACCACAAGCATTACAGGGTACGTACCTCAGTCTAACGTTGACACCGTTGTACGACTCATACTGCATCTCCACGTTTTGAAACTCAAAAGGGTAGATCTTCCTCTGGGATATCTCGCCAGGAATGTCGAGCTCTCTCACTGCAACGACCACGCTCCAGCAAAATCGTGTCAGCGTGCTATGGGAGACGACCATATCCGTATTTTGACTTCCACAAATGGTACTCACCGAGAGATGTAAAATCGTAGAAGTTTCCGCGATCAAAGAAAAGCTCTGAGAAAGTACAAGTGAACCAAAAAAACAATTCTGTAAAATAGCAAAAAGGGGACCCACAGTTTCCACCGTAGCTAAACGGACACAGCACTGACCGATTTGGCCGATCAGCTCGATCTTGACACCGGTGTGTTCGATTTTTTTCCCCGGCAAAGGCTCTATCCTCACCTGTCACATTACCCGAGTATCAGTTAGACATGTATGCCTAGTATCAGCACCTACCAGCCAAAAACGTAAAGATTCTACCTCTCCCGCGACCGTGTCTTGGCCATGAAACAAGGGCACTAACTCTGTTTGGCCACTCTCCCGCTTAACGGATGCCTGCAGATACCCACACATTAATAACGTTCAAACGTCGGATCTGAGCTCCAATAAAGAAATCAGGGCAAGACTAATCGGCTGGAACCACCTACTTGTTTTCGCGTCTCTGCGTCTTCGAAATTTATAGCGATTGAGCACGGTGGACCAAGGCCAAAGAGGCCAGACTGCAGTAGTACGCTCTGCGCGACCAAGGAACTGAGTCAGCACGTCAAAGTGACGCAAACACGTAAGAACTTGACGAACGTCACGAACCATTTATAGTACTCTGTTGAAGAACCGCGGTCTAAATCGCTGTGCGTGACACTTCAGTACAGCTGTTCGCTGCGGTTCGGAGGACAGAACGCCAATAGATCGACGTAGCTAACTAGGCGATGGACTGAGAAAAAACGGCAGGAAGTCGAGGCAACGGGCATTAAACGCAAACTTCCAGGTCCTGGAATCGCACAAGCACATGTAGTTGACTATGGTAGACCTACATAGTCCGACGATTAGGCTGTTCATGCAAAGCGAGTCAGCTGGGATACATTGAATGCACGAGCGAAAAAAAAAAATGAATATTCGGGTTTTGGGCAACAGTCGAACTGAAGTTTACGATACTCTCAGCCCACTCTGTAATATAGAAATGTAGCGACCATGCAGTAGCGCGAATATACATTCATGGTACATCCATTTTTACTAAATGGTTGTACCCTTACGATCTTGTGCAGGGTTGAACAAAGACCCTGTAACGCGTCAGTCCATACTATTTTTCCGGGTTTCCTGTCCCGCTCCTTCCGCAAAGTCGCACTAGCTTGCTTTGAGTGAACCAAACAGGCCTCAACACGCCACACTAGGCTCCGCATGCATGCCATTAGGCCCTCGCTGCCTGGAGGACATAAGCGCCCAGTGAATCTGTTTGGATGGAAGTGGTATGCGAAATTATCTGCAGTTTGCTTCTTGACCGGCGCTGACATGGAGGCTTTCATGATCAAGACTGGTTTTTGTGCGTTTATCTCCGCCCCGCAGATTTCGGCCAGCTAAAAACCACGATCTACTTAGTTTTTGCGTTCTCGTTTTTGCAGATGATAAGGTGACCGCGATAGAGGCGCAGCGGCGGATAGAATTGCGAGAGCGCAGCATGGTAATGCCTTGGCATTTTTCCCTTCGTGCTGGATTTATACACAGTGGAAGGCTACTGAATTATGTTTGGGCCGATGCAGGATCAACCTAAGCACTGGAGTCAGTCCTTGTGGCCTTCGGACGAGCAATCTAGTTCTAAGTAATATGATCTTAGAGGTACGTTAAATGCTGCATATTTCAAAATTCCTGTAAGCAGCGGGTGCAGTTAAGATGGTGAACCAGACGTGCATCCTACCACCAACGTTTCCGCCATCACTCAATCCAAAGGGACCTTTGAGCTAAGCAGAAGACCAGCTCATCCTGCCTGTGCAGTGCTTGTAATTACTGCTCATCACACCACTGTTTCTCAGCACATGAGCGTGAGTTGCACTTGTTCAGTGCAGCGTGGTCATAGCGTATGCTCTTATTCACTTATCCCTCATCTGTCTTGCAGTCGTTTCTGCAGTTTTGGTCCAATGGGCACGCGTGAGGTATCTGGGGCACATGGATACACCTACCACACACACCGTGCCACTATCTTGTCCAGGAAGCTTTACATTACGTGCACTGTACTAATCTATTTGAAAGGGGCGATTCACCCTGCTGGCTTGCATAACCCCACACTCACAGTGTCGCCGAGGTTAACTCAACGACGCTCGCAATTGGTTGCATCGGTGCTGGCCACTGGCCTTCTCCATAAGGCAAGCATGTGGCCTTTTTCGCATGCACATTTTGGGCTGACAGCCTCGCCAAAACTTCTCTCGGTAAGATTTTAGCTTCACCTGTTCTTTCTGGGCTGATAAACTGGATGCGGTTGCCAAACACACAATCCAATTTGCTGGCATACCGTATTATGTGGAAAATTAAGTGACTGGCAAGCTAAATTGCAAGTTAATGGAGCTGAATACAGCATATTGCGACTCCTTGCAGAGTTTCGACCAAATGTGTTTGTATCTTGTGCAAAATCTTTGAGGTTTGTGCAATGCAACACAAATTTCTCTTCCATCTAGAAGGGAGCCCTCATGCAACACCGCATCCATAAATACAAGCCAGTGAGCGCACACATCAGTCGAGCGTCGTATGGCAAGCAGCATGCAGCGCGGAGTCGAGGAAGTGCACGTAGTGGTTGAAGCAGTGGTCGCGGATGGAGCGCGCCAGCATGAGTGGGTCGCGCACCAGCTCCCCCACGCCCATCGCCAGCGCCTTCTCCGCCAGCGCTGGCGGCAGACTCGCCACCATCGACTCCGACCCTGCAGCCCACACCCATGCAGGTCAGGCAGCAGAGGACAGGGAATGGGAGGGGGGGATGGGGGATCACATATAGTGGTTACAGCAGATGACTAGCGGATATTGTAATGACTTGACTGGTGTTTGTGCGATGCAAGATTAGTGGGCAAGACGAGTGCGTGGTGCATGTGATATGTGAGTGCAGCGCACCTGTTGCCTGCATGTAGTGCACGAGGCCCACTGCTTGGAAGGCCACCGGATCCCAGGACAGTCCCGTGGAGAGTGGTGGGGTGCTGCTGGAGGGGTGCAGGCCCAGCAGCGAGCGCAGCAGGGGAGTGCGGGCAAAGGCGGAGCAGAGGGGGTGGGCGAGCAGGAAGGCGCGCGGGATGATGTCTCGGTCCAACACAAACGCCCTCGCTGCTTCGCTTGGCAGGCCCAGACTCGCCAGCACACTGCACCGCGCTGCACCCCTGCTGCTGCTGCTGAACGGCGAGGAGGGGTGGAGCAGCGGTGCATGAGGGAAGGAGAGGAGGCCGGGGGGAGGGGCATGCAGATGGGGCGAAGCCATGTGAGGCCATGAGGCGGTGGTGTGAGCGGTGGGAGGGCGGCCGGCAGCACGGTGCAGCAGGGGGGAGGAGGGGTGCGCGTGTGCAGAGGCGACGAGGCGGGAGAGGTTGCTCGGCGCATGGGCAAACTGGTGGGAGAGGCTTTGCGGGGCGGAGGGGGAGGGCGAGGAGGAGAGCGACGCGAGGACAGGGAAGGAACCGAAGGTGTGCGCGGAGAGGTGGAGGGGGGAGGCGTCTGCGCGCGTGTTGGGCGCACGCAGGTGGAACATGAGCATCAGCAGCAGCGCCAGCGACCCGCCCAGCGAGTGCCCTCCGAAGCGCAGGTGGGTGATGCCCTCGCGGCGCATGTCGGCGGCGAGCAGCGGCAGCACGCCGCGGTACACGTCCTCCGCGATGGCGTGCACGCCGCCATGCACCAGCAGCTCCACGCCCGGCGGCGTCAGCGCGCGCTCCAGATGCACCGGGCGCACCTGCAGCAGCTGCCGCCACAGCCGCCCCACGTCCACCTCGCTGCGGTCCACCGCCACGCCGCGCGCTATCACGTAGCGCGTGCGCCCGCCCTCGCGCGGGCACGGCGGCGAGTCGACGACCATGTAGGCCGTGAAGGGCGTCTGCTGGCACGCGCGCAGCGTCAATCCCAAGGCGCTCACGTGCGGCGTGGGGTCGCGGTGGTAGACCAGCGCCGACAGCCGCGCCATCTGCGCCCGCGCCGGGTTAGGCAGGCGGGATGGTGGGGGAAAGCGGGGCGATTGGGGGGAAAGATGGGAGAGAGGGACGACGAGGGGAGGAAACGAGTGTCGTTAAGGTGAGGATGCGCGAACATCTGTGAAGCGCACTCGCGCATCTGTGTGTCACGTTGCTACATGGCTTGTCATGGATTCCCATTATTGCCTCGGAAGCCTCTCGATTCTCGTCTTTGCCATTGCTACTTGTCCCCCCGCTGACACATGGCTGCTTGATCACGAAACGCACGTTACTGCTAGATCCCAAAACCCCTACCACCCGCGCGCTCACCTGGGAAGCCGACGCCAACTCGTCCACTGTCGCACGCGGCGCTGACTGAACGATCTGTTTGCGAAGGTCGGTATTGTCGCCAGCCCTAGCGTCGTCGTCTCGAGGCGGCGACAGGAACGGCAATCGCTCCCTGCGCTTTCCGCTCCGCCCGCTGCTCACGCCGCCGTCCCGTCGTCCGCTCCGTCCTGCACCCGATCCCAATCCTCCGCTCCTCCCTCCCGCCAGCGGCCAATGCAGCCCGCTATCAGTCGCCCCCGCGGCTGGCGCTCTCCGCTCCACCGCCACCGCCTGCACGCGGAGGCGGTGGGAGTGTGGCCGCCGTGTGCGGGGCCGACCGCGGGTGCAGGCTTGGCGCAACGCCGTGCTCTCGCGCTCTGCGCACAAGGCGCCATTTAGATCCGCCGGTCCGCACGGCGCAATGAAAGGCCAATACCGACCGCTGAAGCCCCGAGCAGGAACAGTGGAGGCGTCAGCGCCGAGCACGCCCGCGCCCGCGTCGACTGGTCCCCGCGAGCAGCGCGCGCGATGGGTTGTCGCTTCCGCGGGACACACGTGATGGGCCAGCTGCGCCGCGGGAATGAGGCGAGCATTGGCGCGCTGCGGGCGATGATCAGTAAGAGAGAGGTTGGAGGAGAGAGGGCGGAGGGCGGCGAGGCACGACGGGGGCTGGCGATGGGTGGGTCTGGCGAGGTGGCGTCGCACGCCGCTTTGCAGCGACTGCGACGTTTGGGATATTAGTCGCATGATCGTGTGGTGACGAGCAAGGGAAGTGGCGAGCAGCGAGCCAGAGAAGCAGTAGGGCGGGGCGTGCACCAGCAGGATGGGCCTGGTGGGGACGAAGAATGGCCCGCTTTTGGCGCTCCAAATCAATGGCTGGGGCTCGCCGGATTTGCGGTGGATGTTCCAGTGTGGAATCGCTGTACAAGTAGTCACTGGCGTGCTGGCGCGGCCTGTGGCCTTGGCTCAACGTCGCGGGCAGCTCAGCCCGACGGGAGAAGGCTCATCAACCAGATCGGCCGGATTGCGCTCTCACGTTTTCCACGATGCCACCGCAACCCTTACAATCCTTCAGGTGCTGTTCTATATCTTATCTCTAAAATGGCTTCCCTGAATAATGTTACGCAATGTTCTGTCTTGTCAATCTAAGCTGATGGCGTGCTGCTAACAAGTCCATAAGCGAGAGAGGGGGGTGATCAGGGAGGCCGTGGCTTGGTCACAGCTGATCAGGCAGGGCGAGGTCGAGCGCGCGAGCCGCGAGTGGGGGAGAGCAGGGGAAGGCAGACAGGCTGCTTGGATCTGGTGAGGAATTTTGGTGGGAGGAGATTGGCGTCGAATTGAACGGGAGGCGGACGATGGATCACATCGAGGCGGCAGGTGGGGGAAAGTTCTGGTGGTCTACGTGGTATGCCTGACTAAGTTGGATCACTAAAGCGCAGCGTGGGCGGTGCCACTGAGCGAGTCCCCGTTGGATCCGCGTCAAATCTGGCGCCACCAGCACAGCGCACCCATTCGCCACGACGACAATCCAATCCGTCATTAATAATCCGCGTGCGCGGAGCCTTTGTCAAAGGGCTTCGCCAATGACGAAAGCTGGCTCCCGCCACCAACAGCTGGCTGAGCTGGGCCTTGAGTTTCGCGCACAGTCGCGATGAGAAATCTGAGCCCCAGGTTCCTGACTCTGGAGTGTTCGCAAACAGAGCATTGGCTTTCGAGAGCTGTTCGTCGTCGGAAGCTTTGCTTCTCTGGTGAACTGAGTCCACAGCATCCGAAATTCGCGAAAAGATACTTCTCACTACCTTGAATTTGGCCAATCATCGTAGTACCCGTCAGCTGGAACACTAGCACGACGCTTCACTCGGAGACTGTTCCAAGTATTTCTTGTATTTGAAGAATTTGTAACAAACATCTGAGTGATGACATTGCATCCGCACTACATTCAGGTGACCGCAGGGAAAATTTTAGAAGGTATCATGTTAGGAAGGGCAAGAATGACCATTCTCACAACAAATACTAGCACTTACAAGGTACCCTATTTCCTGTTCAACTGTAGTGCCAGGTATTTAGTGCCGTATGTTAGAATGACTATTCATCGCTCCCATGACTGAGGCAAGCAATATCAGTTTCAGCTATTTCTTGATCAGTTGAAAGGGTAGGTGTGAAACTATCATCACTCCCTGTCTTCATTCTCTTGGCCCCAATAATCTCAAGCACGTCTGGTGAAGGCACAACCGTGTTTTTCTTTCGCGTGCTCGTTGTCGTGCGTGGCTTCCTAACTGTACCGGGTGTACCTCCCTGAGTTTGATCGGGTTTGGGACTTCTTTCTGCTGCAGTTGCAGCGACATGCATTTCTGGGGCCTGCTCCTTCAACTCCACACCTGCCTCACCTGCACAATAACCCACTCCTCTCCTTCCTTCACTGCTTCCTCTTCCTCTCCCCACCACTCCTCCCATCTCTGCGCAGACTTTTGGCTGGCCCCCTAACTGCCTCGCTCCTACTGCCCACCCTCGGCCCCTCATGCCGAATCTTCCCCGGCCCCCCAGTGCCCCTCCCCCCAATCTTCCTGCTGCTGCCATCCCAGCACCCACCGCAGCAGCAGGGCGGAGCGGCAGGCGAGTGGGCAAGCGAGAGAGGGGGCGCTGAGAGGGGCGGGTGGAGGAAGGCGGGGCGGAGTCGATGGGGGCGAGCATGCCGCGAATCTGGCAGGAGAAGACAAACGTCACCTGGGGATGGTGCCGCATGCGCGCATGCCCGGGGGGTAGTGGGAACGGACGTGGTAAGCGTTGAGGAGGGTGTGAGGGAGGAGCGTGGCATGGTGAAGGGAAAGAGGGTGCAGCAGCAGCAGAAAGGGAAAAGCCATGGGATGTGGAAGAAAGTAAAGGTTGTCGCAGATGGGAAAGTGGGAAACGCATGTGGAAACAAGAGCTCTTGAGACTCAATGTGGTGAGATGAGTTACATCGAGACAGGCTGCCTTCTGCAATGCTGTGTCAGGGATGGTTGCGGATGGACGGCTGTGATGCGCCCACTGGTCAAGCTGCTCCTCCAATGGGTTACCCACCTGGCACATGCACGCACACACACACACACACACACACACACACACACACACACACACGCACGCACGCACGCACGCACGCACGCACGCACGCACGCGCACACACACACACACACACACACACACACACACACACTCACACACACACACACACACACGCACGCACGCACGCACGCACGCACGCACGCACACACGCGCACACACACACACACACACACACACACACACACACACACACACACACACACACACACACACATGCACACATGGACACAGCAACCGAAGTGGAGGAAGCAAGGTATGGCATGATTCCACTCCCTCACATGTGGATCACGGCACTCCACCCTCACATGCAAAGCTGCCGGGTGAGCAACACGAGTCAGCAGCACGAGTGAGCAGCACGAGTGAGCAGCACGAGTGAGCAGCATCAGAGCCTCGCCACTCCCACGCACGCTCACCTGCTTCTCCCACTCCTTCAGTTTCCCCGCCACCCCTGCCACCTCCGCAAAGCCCCCAATGTCACTCTCGCCCTCCCCTTTCCCGCCGTTGATGCTCCCCCGCCCCGCCTGCACATCCTCCTCATCGCTCCCCTCTGCCTCTGCCTTCTCCCTGCCCCCACTCTCCACTCCACTTGACCCCTCGTCCCCATCCCCCTCCTCCTCCCCTCCTCTTACTCCTCCTCCCTCTCCTTGTCCCGCCCCCTCGCCCTCCCCAGCAGCCGCAGCTGCCAGCTCCTCTAGAGACCCTCCCCCTCGCCTCTCCATCTTCGCCCCCTTCCCACCACCACCAGCACCCTCCCTTCCCACACCTTGCCCGCCCTTATGCTGTCCCCCCACGTGGCAGCCTCCCCTGCCGGCTGCATGCAGCGAGGGGCGCGAGGGGCAGCGCTGGCAGGCCAGCGAGTCATGCGTGTCGGACCTGTGGAGGGGGGGAGGGGAGGAGGAGGAGGACAGCGCACGTGAACAGCGTGCACCACACCGCCTTGCGCCCACCACCCGCTTCACATGTCACCATGCCATGCCATGCCATGCCTTGTTGCAATGCAAGCCGTTCACAATATCACCCATGCAGAGCAACAATGCGTGTGAGGGGAGGGTAGCAAAGCGTGCGATGGAAGGGGGCGGGCAGGAGGGGACTGACAGGGTGGAGGAGCGCAGCACAAAGAGGTCCCTCAGCTCCTCCGCTGACAGCAGGTTCACCTGCCACCACACCACACCACACCGCACCACATCACATCACGTGGCATGAGAAACATTGTCAGTGTGCCCCGCATGATCATTGTGCAAGGGGAAATACCACTAGTATACCGTATGCTCATCCTGCTTCTCACCTGTGCGCGCCCCTCGCTCTGCTTCTCGCTATCCACTACTTGCTGCAGCCCCTCCTTCGCCATCTGCCTCTGAAACACCTGCGAGCCCTCCCATGCAGCACGCATGCACACACAGAAGGGATTAGCAACGCCATGCTTCAGAGCCAAGCAAGCCTTTGGGGCTCAAACAGGACGAGGAGCAATTGCCTCACGAACAGGGCGCTCAACCTCTCTTTGACGCTGCCGCTCACCTTCTCCTCGATGGTCCCCGCTGCCAGGAAGCGGTACACAAACACACGCTTCTTCTGCCCGTCCCTCCACACGCGCGCCGCCGCCTGCCGTCGCACACATGGGCAAGGGGGGCGACCCACCCACATGGTGGCAGGGCACATGGCGCATGGGGAAAGGGCAGGGTGGGTGAGAAGCAGGTGGACAGGAAACACTTCACCACCCAGGCACGGCGCATGGCTGAGCTTCTGCTGCCACCCTGCACGCCTGCCCCTTCCGGCCAACCTGACTCTTCTGCTGCACGGACTCTGAGCTTTCAACCTGCCAGCCACTTGCTCCGTACTTCACGCATCCCCCCTAGTTGCCGAGGCCCACCAAATACCCGTCCCTCTAATGCTTATGCTGCCACCGCACCTGCTTGTCGTTGGCGGGGTTCCAGTCAGGGTCGAAGAGCACGAGTCGATTCCCCCCTATGAGGTTCAGCCCACACCCCCCCGCCTTGCTGCTCAGCAGAAACACAAACTCGTCCTGCCATGCCATGCCACGCCATGCCATACCATGTAACATGCCCATATATCACACCATGTCACGTATGCATACAACACACATGCATACAACACGGACCAATGAGCTGTAAGAGAAAGATCACAGCACCTCCCTACAAATGTGAGGAGCATGTGAGTGAGGAGCGCAGCAGGGATGTGAGGAGAGAAGCAGAGATGTGAGGAGAGCAGCAGAGATGTGAGAAAACTGCTGCACTCACGGCGTGGGGGTCGTTGAACTGCTGCACTCACGGCGTGGGGGTCGTTGAACTGCTGCACTCACGGCGTGGGGGTCGTTGAACTGCTGCACTCACGGCGTGGGGGTCGTTGAACTGCTGCACTCACGGCGTGGGGGTCGTTGAACTGCTGCACTAGCTTCTGCCGCTTGCCCACCGAGGTGCCTCCATCCAGCCGCACAAACGGGTACCCATGCTCCCGGCACAGCTGCGCAAATAGGTCCAACGTCTGCCGCCCGGCGGGAATGGAGATGGGGGGGTGAGGGGAGGAGAGTGGGTAAGGGGAGACGAGGCGTGCAGGCATGGCTGGTGGCAGGCATGGCTGGTGGCAGGCATGGCTGGTGGCATGACGGTCATAAGGAGCAACACGAGCGGTGTGGAGGTGGTGGGAGCATGCACCTGCGTGTAGTTGGAGACGAGCACGATGCGGTCCGTGGTGCGCGTGCGCAGGTGTGCCAGCAGCCGCGCCAGCACCACCATCTTGCCCGACAGCTGCACCCACGTGCCGCCGCCCCCCGTCCATGTGCCGCTCCTGCCACCGCACGGTGCAAGCGGCGGTGCAGCGCGGGCGTAAGGTTGAGGGGGTGGGGGAAAAGGCGGCAGTGCGGGTGATGGTGACAGGGATGACGCAAGCATGGCTTGAGTGTGTGAGGCCTCTTCCCTACCAACACACCAATGCCACGTGTGATGCCAGTAGGTACGCACCTCCCGTTGAACATTTCGGGTGGGAAGAGCGGGAGAGCGTCCTCAAAGCCAGCTGCCTCCGCCCCTCCTGCCCGGATGGAGTCGTACAGCAGCTGCTCCCATGCATGCATGCACGCACGCCCAACCCAGCCCCCATGCACCCGCCATGCACCGCCATGCACCCGCCATGCACCCCCCATGCACATGGTTGGTTAGTGGAGAGGGGGCAGCATGAGAGACGAGGTAACACGTGGGGCAGCATGAGAGGGACGAGATGACACGTGGGGCAGTGCTGTTGGGTGAATCCATGTGGTCATGTGCATAGTGGCATGTGCATAGTGGCATGTGCATAGTGGCATGTGCATAGTGGCATGTGCATAGTGGCATGTGCATAGTGGCATGTGCAGGTCGCCGCACATCAGCAGGAGAGGCCTTTGCCACATCACCTCACATCACGCCTGTACATCTCCATGCATATGTTTTGAGAGAGACCGACTACATGACTTGTGGACCTTTCACGGCTTGCTTCCTACTCATCCCATCTGACCCACATTGGAATAGTTGCCCCCCCAAACCCGCGCACCTTGGGGTGGTTGCAGAGCTTCTTGAGCGCCGTGATGGACGCCAGCGCCCGCGCCTTCTTCCCATCCTCCAGTGCCGTGCGCACCTGCATGCTCCCATGCACAAACACACACACGCACTCACACATGCCGTTTCATGCCATATGCATGAAATGAGTACCAATGAGCGCCAGGCAGGCATCATGGTGCATGGCCTAGCATGCCCTCCAACCCCAGGTCCAAGAGCGCATGGATGGGCTTGGGGTGTGTGACGCGGCTCACATTCTTGGAGTGAATGAATCGCTCGTACAGCTGGCGCTGCAGGTCCGTCATGCGACAACACACTATCTCCACTATCTGCCCCATGCATGCACGCACACACATACACGCGCATGCACATGCACACATACACGCGCATGCACATGCACACATACACGCGCATGCACATGCACACATACACGCGCATGCACATGCACACATACACGCGCATGCACATGCACACATACACACGCATGCACATGCACACATACACGCGCATGCACATGCACACATACACACGCATGCACATGCACACATACACGCGCATGCACATGCACACATACACACGCATGCACATGCACACATACACGCGCATGCACATGCACACATACACGCGCATGCACATGCCCACATACACGCGCATGCACATGCACACATACACGCGCATGCACATGCCCACATACACGCGCATGCACATGCACACATACACACGCATGCACATGCACACATACACGCGCATGCACATGCACACATACACACGCATGCACATGCACACATACACGCGCATGCACATGCACACATACACGCGCATGCACATGCCCACATACACGCGCATGCACATGCCCACATACACACGCATGCACATGCACATCAAAGAACATGCACACACATGCGCATGCACACACACACATGCACATTCGAATGCACATGCACACACACCCGCAGGGGAGAAAAGCATTGAAGTGCAGGTAGAAAGAGGTGGTGGCTGTGCTGCCAGGGGCGCACACACACACACGCGCACAGGTGCGACGTAAGCGAAAGGCCCAACGGGGGTGGCAGGAGGGAGGGGCACACCTTGGGAGGCAGGTGGTTGGAGAGGAGCGCGTTGGTGCGGCGGAGAATGAACTGCAGGGCGCCAGCAGCCAGCGGGCAGGGGACACAGGCAGGCGAGGGTAGGGGTCAGGAGGGGAGGCGATTAGAGGGGGGGATGGGGGAGAAGTGGGAGCATGGCAGCGCTGACAGCAAGTGCACGGATGGGCGCGTGGCTCCACTGCATCATCCACACGTCTACCACCCTCTGTGTGTACCCGCGCCCCCACCCTCCCCCCACCTGGTTGACGCGGTCGCTGAGCTCCGCAGAGCGTTCTGCCCCCAGCGCCCTCTCCTCCTCCGATGCGTGCGGCTCCCTCCCCGCCAGGATGGGCGCCTGCGCGTGCCCGTGCCCGTGCCACCATGGGTGATGAGATGAGGCGGTGGAGACAGGTGGCAGCGCGGGGAGCGGGGTGAGACACGCGCGGGCGGTGTGAGATTCAGTGTGGGAGGAGTCGAGGCACGACTCGCTGATAGCCAGCATGGCATGGGCGCAGCATGGGAGCAAGCAATTAGGGAAGAGCAAGGGAGCCGAGGGGAATAGGAACGGGCCAGTTGATGGTGCAGAGGGCGAGGTGGGGCGTGGGCGAGGTGGGGCGTGGGCGAGGTGGGGCGTGGACGAGGTGGGGCGTGGGCGAGGTGGGGCGTGGACGAGGTGGGGCGTGGGCGAGGTGGGGCGTGGACGAGGTGGGGCGTGGGGGACGTGGGGCGTGGGGAAGGTGGGACCTGAAAGTGGCGTCGGAAGTGGGCGGCGTTGCTGAGCACGCCCGGGTTGGTGAACGACACCATGGCGTAGAACTCCTCCAAATCGTTCTGCACCGCCCCCACCACACCACACCGCACAGCACCACAGGGATGCGGCATGAGAAGAGGAGAGAGGGATGAGGAAAGAGGGGGTGTGAAGGAGGAGGGGGGCGTGTGCATTGTTGAAGTGGATGAGGCCGAGAGCACAGTGTAATCCAAAGATGCAACTGTTGGAGTGCCATCCCTCGCTACCCATCACCCTGCAACAGCCGTTGAAACTATGCAGTTTGGTTGAGGGCGAGTCAGGGGCAGTACAGCAGAGCAGCGCATGGCATGGCATGGCATGGCATGGCATGGCATGGCATGCATGGCACGCACCTGCATGGGAGTGCCGGAGAGCAGCACTCGGCGCCTGCAAGGCAGTCCTGCCAGCGCCTGATGGACACACAGGGGGGCACGCCAGGGGCCAGGGGAAGGGGCGGGGGAGCGGATGGACGATGCAAGGCGTGAGGAGGAGGATGGATGGAAGGAGGATGAAGGACACGGAGCGGCAGGCAGGTGGTGAGATGAACTGCGGGCACGTGAATTGGGAGATCAGCTGTGGTGATTGCTCACCTGTGTGGTGAGGGTGCTCACCTGCGTGGCATGGGCGGCTACCTGCGTGGTGAGCGTGCGGTCGTTCTTGAGGCGGTGCGCCTCATCGCAGATCACCAGGTCGCACGCCCCCTCGTGCTGGAATGCCGTGGCGTGCAGCCGGAACGTCTCGTACGACACTATCAGCACCTGCCATGGGGGGGTCATGTCACAGTGCCACGCGCACCATGCTTCATGTCATTGCCCACTTCCACGTGCCACGTGCCGGCGCTCATCAAGGGCACAACAATGCCACTCACTCCCACACATGCTGAACGCCCTGCCACTCTCTCACTCTCTCGCATGCTATGCGCCCTGCACTCACATGGTGTGTGCCGCGCGGAGCCAGGAACTGCTGGATGCCTTTGACGGCGTCGGCGCGGCTCGCCTCACACAGCGCCACGCAGCGCACGCGGCCGCCCAGCCACTTGTCGAGCTCCGCTGCCCAGTTGCTGACGAGGCTCGTGGGCGTGACTATGAGCGCTCGCCGCACGAGCGGCGGCCCCTTGGGGCCCTGGAAGCCCTGCTGCAGCAGCGTCCACAGCAGCGCTATCGACTGCAGCGTCTTGCCCAGCCTGGCCGGGTGGGATGGCGCACAGGCCGTGCACGGGCGAGGGAGAATGGTGGAGATGCGATGCGATGAGAAGGGAGGCAGAAGAGGGCGTATGGTGCATGGCATTGCTGTACCCCATGGGAGCGAGGGAGCGAGAGAGGCACGCACCCCATGTCATCGGCGAGGATGCAGCCATAGCAGCCGAGGTCGTCATCGCCCTGCTGGTGGAAGTCCTTGAGCCCCGCCACACACTCAAACATGAACGCCACTCCCTCCCTGCCACCGCCGCACACCACGCAGCACACGCACACACACACATGCACACACACACACACACACACACACACACACACACACACACACACACACACACACACACACACACACACACACACACACACACACACACACACACACACATGCACATATTCATGCGAAGAATAGGCAGCAGAAGCGGCCAGCAGATAATTCTGGCGGGCTAATTGGGGAGAGGGTGGGTGGCAGAGAGCTTCATGGAGTGGAGGGGGCGCACCGCTGGTGGGCGCGGAGGCACTTGGCGAGGATGGGGTCGACGGCGATGGGCTGTGACTGCTCACACGCGTGGAACGGGTCCTCCTCCGGCACCCACAGCACCAGTGGCTCGTACCCCGCCTCCCCTGCCGCAACTGCCTGCCCCTCCTCCTCGCCTTTCCCTGCCTCGCCCTCCTCTGTGTCCTCCCCCTCCCCCTGGTCCCCCGCGGGCGCCACGAGCAGGGGTCGGCGGTGCACGCCCCCCCCCCACGCCACGAAGCGGCGGCATGCAGCGAGGCGCCTGAGCAGCTCGGGGGAGGCGTTGGTGGTGGCGCCGGGGCACGGCGACTTGAAGGGGCGGCGCAGCACAGCCGCGTCCTGTGACACGGACAGCATGCGCGGCAACAGCGCCCTCCTGCACACCTCCACGTCGCCCCTGCGAGTTGGGGGGGGTGAAGCAGAGGGGTTGGGGGGGATTGGGGGGAGCGCAGAGGAGGGAGATCACAGAGGAATTGGGAGTGGACGACGAAGTAACATCTATTCACCTGAGGCAGCTAATCACCTGATAATTCACCTGACACAGCTATTCACCTGAGACAGCAATTCACCTGACACAGCTATTCACCTGAGACAACTATTCACCTCAGATTGCTATTCACCTGACACTGCTATTCACCTGACACTGCTATTCACCTGAGACTGCTATTCACCTGAGACTGCTACTCACCTGAGGACGGCAGCCACGTTGGCAGCCTTCATGGCAGCCACTGACGGCTCCTCGTCGCCACTCTCCTCTCTCTTCGCCCCCCTCGCTCCACGCGTCGCTCGCCGTCCAACGCTCCTCGCGCCGTTCGCTCCTCGCTGCACGCGTTTCGCTGCCGCTGTTTTCGTCGCCGCTGCTTTGGTCGCCGCTGCGTTGGTCGCCGCCTTGACGTTGCCCTGCTTCCTTCGGCCCCCTGCCCCCTCCTCTGCGCTCGAGCTGCCCTCCTGCTCGTTCCAATCGCCGTCGTCTTCGTCGTCGCCGTCATTGATCCCCCCCTCGTCGCAACTGTTGTCGCCGCCATAATCCTCGTCGAGACTGTCGTCGTCGTCGCACTCGTCGTCGCTGGACTCACTCACCACCACCTCATCACTCTCCGACCCCGACATTTCTTCGCAGCCCGTGCGATCGCGATGGCGATCACGACAAGCCGCACTAGAAAACGGAAGCACGCGGGCACGTCGTTGCAGCAACGACGCCCGGCGAGACTATTGCGGGAACATGCAACGAAGGCGCATGGACAAGATACGGAGTGGCGGGACGAAACAGACAAGTAATGTGAAAGGAGTCCCAATGATGGCAACTGTTGTTCTTGGAATGACTAGGAAGTTCTACGAGAGGGGAATGAGCGTCTAGCTTATGCTGCGGCACGGGTGGCGAGGCGATGGGCGATGATGGTGCAGTGCAGACTGACTGACTACCTGCAGCATCCACATAACCAGCAATTCTAGGCGGAAGAAATCGAGGTAGCGTCACGATCACGTCGAGGCCGCAGAGGAAACGAATATATGCGAATCAGTACACCCCAACCGAATGCAGGATATAACATTTGAATGCCGATTTGAACCATATATTTTACTCGGAGGTGAATTGCAATATCTCAAAGCATGAACTTGAAGTCCCAGCTCTGCAGTCCCAGAACCCAGCTTCTTGTAATGTTTTACAGATTTCAACACATTATGCGCCTTATGTAATTGAGCGGTGGATATTGGTTATGTATCGTACAGTTAGGTCATCCCTACAAGTGTTAGCCTCTGTCACGCTTCGTCAGATGCCCGCACACACCTTCCCCCGTCACTGAACCCCCCGCGGCTCCCCGCGATGGGCATCCACTCCATCTTGCGCCAGGCGCGCGCGCAGGGCTGGCGGGACGACACGGTCGAGTACGCCATTTTCCCCGACCCTGGCTCCTTCGAGCTGCCGCCCCTCGCGCGGGATCGGGAGGCGGAGAGCGACGAGGCGGTGCGGCGCGGGCTGGAGGCGCTGCGCGTGGCGTGCCTCGACATCGCGGCGAGGCACGCGGGCGACATGCGGTGGAACCGCGACCCCTTCCAGCTCTGGCCCGCGCCGCCCCTCGCGCGAGACGCGGCGGAGCAGGCGGTGCGCGGCGTTGAGGGGGAGGGGGAGGAGGATCCGCCGTTCCGATGGCGCGACAGGGACGACGGCGTGGCGTGGGGTCTGCAGGATGACGACGAGGAGGGGGACGAGGGGGAGGGGGATGAGGGGGAGAAGGCGGACAGTGCAGGAGGAGCGGATAAGCGCGGGGGGGAGCGGGGGCAGGTGAGCGTGCCGGCGCACCTATACGGGCGCACGCAGTACGGCGCGAGTGTGGAGGACGAGTGGGTGGTGGTGTGGCTGCTGCTGCGCATCTCCGCCTGCCTGCCCTTCCTCTCCATCCGTACGCGCGCTCACGTGCGCCCTCCCGCTCCCTCCGCTCCGCCCGTGACGTGCGCTCCCTCGTCCGCCATGCCAGTGGCCCCCCGCGCGCCTGCATGCGCATACTAGCAGCCCTGGTCTGGCACCACGCCTCCCATTCGCTGCTCCACTCCGCCCTGCCCACTTTATCTCCCCATGCATGCACCCCCCCTGTCCCCGCCCACACCCCCAGGAGTGCGTGACGGCGATGGGGACTTTGTGCTCATCGAGGCGGCCACGGTGCTGCCCAAGTGGGTGGCGCCCTCCTGTGCGCGCAACCGCCTCCTCCTGCGCCAGGTCCGCCCCCTCTCTCTCCAACCAGCGCCGCATGCCCCCCCTACCTTCGCCGCTGCTCCCTGCTCTCCTCCTTGCCACTCCAACCCCTCACCTCCTCCCATCCGCCCCACACGTCTCTCTCCTCTCCTACCCCTCCGTTCCCCATTGCCCCCATTTCCCCTCTCTGCGCCCAGGGTCGCCTGCATCTGGTGCATCCGCGTCTGCGCCGCCCGCCCTACCGCCCCGCCGCGCTGCACACCGCACTGGCCGCCGTGCGCAGTGCCGACGAGCCCACGGAAGCTTCTGAGAAGATTCATCGCGCCGTGATGAGCCGCCTGGAAGGGCTCCCAGGCTCTGCGCTGGCAGCCGTGCACACCGCCAGGTGTCGCCTTCCCATTCGCGCAGCACAGGTCAGTGCACGTGCCCCCGCCCAGTCAGCACGCCCCCACTCTCCCCCACTCCGCTCTGCGCCCCTGTTGCTGATCCCTGATCCATCTTTGCTTCTCCCCACCTTCTCCCCTTTCTACCCACCCCCCCAGGCAGTGCAGCAGGACCCGTACCTGGCCACCCTGGCAGCCCACGCCTTCCTCAACAGGGACCATGCCGCCTCCTCCCCCTCCCACACACCCTCTCCCTCCCGCCACCCCTCGCAGCCCCTCCCCCTCTTCCTCCCCCACACCTCCTGCCCCTGCGCCCTCGCATCCTCCCGGCCCCCTGCGCCCCCCACCACATCCGCCAACGCCCCCCCCATTGCTCCCCCCCCTGCGCCCTGCCCGCCCCCCTGTGTGGCGGTGGTGGACGTGATGGTGGGGCTCCCCCGCGCCTGCTACGCGCAGCTCGCGCTGCTGCCCTTCTCCCCCCCGCGCGCCTTCCCCCTGCCCTTCCCCTCCGACCCCCTCTATCCCGCCGCCCTGCTCGGCTGCAAGCTCGCCCTCGGCCTGCACCTGCTCTCGCAGGGAGTGGGCCGGGGGACAGGGGGGAGGGGCAAGAGCAAGGGTGGCGGTGAGGGGAAAGGGGAGAGGGAGAGCGCGAGAGGGGAGGGTGGGGAAGGGGGTGTGGAGGGAGCAGGGGAGAGAAGGGAAGTGCAGGTGTGCGAGTGTGACAAAGTGGTGGTGCCGGCAGGGATGGCAGGGGGCGAGGGCGAGGGAGCGGGCGGTGGGGGCAGGGGGAGGGCAGAGCTGGGCCAGTGGAGCGACCTGCTGCCGTGCCTCACACACGCAGGGCTCTTCCATCCCCCCCACCCGCCCTCTGCTCCCTCCAACCCTGCCGCTGCTGCCGCTGGGGCTGCTGTGGGGGCCGAGGAGCAGGGGACGAGTGGGGAAGTGGGGGAGGAGCGGAGAAGGGCAATAGAGAAGGAGATGGAGAAGCGGTTCAGAGCGGTGCAGCGGTTTGCACAGCTCAGGTGAGATTGGTGGGGGGGGAGGGGAGGGAGGGGTTGAGGAGGAGGGTAGCAGGCAGAGGGACGCTACTTCCCTCACTCACACTGCAATCACTCCCTCTTTTGGTCCCCTCCCCTGCTGTGCCGCACTCTCTCTTCTCTCAACACCCCACCTGCCTTGACCATCTCGCACTCACCCAAACCCCTCCCTCTTCTTCACACCCCCCTCCCTGACCCACCCCTCCGCAGCGCCACAGCGGCTGATCCAGCGGCGCGCATCTACTCTGTGCTGGCGGGGCAACCCGCCCCGCACCCGTCGGCCTTCTCACGGGCAGCCCTGCGAGCGGACGACAGCGAGCGATGGATGGGCGACGCCGTGCGAGCCATGGAGGCCCGCCTGGGCCAGCAGCAGGCGGAGGGGCAGGGGGGGGGCAGGCGCAAGGGGGGGCGTGAAAAGGAGGGAGTTGGGGTGGGGGGAAGGAGGAGGGAAGGGAAGATTGGCAAGGCGGGGAGGAGGGAGGGAGAGGAGGTGCAGGGAGAGGAGGAGGCGGGACAGTTGTTGGAGCGACTGAAACGATTCATGTCTGGCGTTTCTGGGTTTGAGGGCGTGGAGGCCGAGGGGGGTGGCGATGGCAGTGATGGGGGCGAGGGTGAGGGGGGCGAGAGTGAGGGGGGCGAGAGTGGGAGGGGGGGGAGTGGTGAGGAGGAGGAGAGTGGTGGCGGGGGGCGGAACGAAGGGGAGGAGAGTGGTGAGAGTGATGAGGAGGAGCAAGAGGAGAGGGAGGAAGTGCAGCGGGTGAGTGTGGAGGGTGGTGTGGGATTGCAGGAAAACGAGGATGATGGTGACGAGGATGGCGGGGAGGTGGTGATGGGGCGGGAGAAGCTGAGGGAGTTTGAGAGGTTTATGGAGGAGTTGGAGGGGGTGATGGAGCGGTACAGTGAGGAGGAGGTGAAGGGGTTCCGAGGCGATGGCAGCTCGGAGGGCGAGGAGGACGACAACAGCGAGTCCGCCTTCTTCTCAGGTCAGCCCCCGGCCCCTCCCTGCCTTGTGCTTCCTTGCCCCTCGTGCGTGATTGTGGGAGTGAGAAGTTGCATTTGACGTTGTAGCACAAGTACTCAGCCGCTCATTCAGACGAATGGGGCTGGTAAGGGGAAGGACAAGCATGCAATGGGAACTGAACCAGATCGCTGATGGGGAGTGAGTGTGAGGAAACTTGTAACCGGCTGAGGTTGCACCTAGTCCACGAAAGCCTATGGGCTATGAAATATGCTACACCGTCACGTGTGCCCTCCCCCTCCCCCCCCTATGTGTGAGTGGCCTCAGAGCCGGGCAGTGACAGCGACTGGGAGGACGCCAGTGACCCGGGCAGTCAGGGGGACGAGGAGGAGGGTGAGAGCAAGGGGCGTATCTCGGGGCCATTGGTGGTGGGCGGTGGTGGCAGGGGCAGTTCAGGTGCAGGCAGGGGTGCAGGCGGGGGTGAGAGTGGGGCGGGTGAGGGCAGTGGGGCGGCAGGCAGGGGGGGCGCGGCAACAGGCCTGCGCCGGGGCTTCTTTGGCGGGGGAGGAGGGCAGCGGGGGAAGCAGAGTGGGGAGGCGAGGAGGGGGGAGGAAGGGGAGATGAAGAGAAGAGATAAGGGCAAGGGGAAAGTGTTGGAGGAGGAGCGGGAAGGGAGAAAAGGAAGTGGGAAGCGAGGGGTGGGGGAAGGCAGCAGCAGGGGAGGGGGTGAGGGAAGGGGGGCAGGAGAGGAGGACTTCTATTCACTCTACTCCAAGGCCATGGCCGCCCAGCTCGCCCCCACCCATGTGCCCTCCTCCTCGCTGCCCCTGCCCCCGCACACCCAAGTAAGCATGGATGGTGCACCTTAGCCGCAAGCACTGCGTGCTTGCCGCGCCAGCACAGCCACATGCCTCTCTGCCCCACGTGCCCATCGCATTGCTCACCCGCACTCTGACACGCCACCCACCCCTCTACCTGTGTCTCTTTCCCCTCCTTGCCCCTCCCTTCCCTCAGCGCCCCAAGGCCAGCAGCAGCAGGGCAGGGCGGGCAGCATCAACGGCAGCAGGGGCGGGGAAGGAGGCGGAGGAGGAGGCACGGCGGGTGGTGGGCAGCCTGCAGATGGCGGCGCGCCTGCAGGGGGGGCTGCCGGGGCCCGCTGCACTGCTGCTGGACGCCGTGAGGGGAGATGCCGGGGTGAAGAGGGGCGGAAAGGGGAAGCGGGGGAGGGGTGGAGGTAGGGGGAGGAGATGAGCAAGAGGTAGTGATGGCAGATTGTGTTTTGTGTGTGAATCAGTTTGAATGTGCAGGCACTGTGTGAATGGTCAAGTGCATGAGTGGAATGTTTGGCTGCCTACTGTGATGCCGCCTGCCAAGCCCACCAATTTGTGTGCGTCCAAGCACCCAACCACTCACCCAATGCAGCATGTTTGGGCAGCTAGCAGAATGGGCCAACCCTGTGCTGTAGGGGCAGACACCATGCCCCTGTCGCAAGGTGATGCACCACTGTAGCGCAAAGTTGAATACGAGTTAGTGTCAGCTTGGGCTGTGAGGGACGGACTCGCATACTTCTGGAGGTTCATGGCAGCATGTGGTGTGGTAGGCGGCATTCCTGTGCAGCTGTTGAGCCCAGCCTCGCCCATATGGGCCACACAACCATAACCACAACACAACACAACAAAAGTCACAAGGGCTTTCCTGTCCAAGTCGCCTCTGTTGCTGTAGTGCTGGTGCGGATACCAACCTTGTGAGACCATGTGCCTCCCTGATTTGCCCTGCTCTTGTTCTCAAATTCTGAGCTGAACACATGTCACCAAGGATGAATAGCTTTGACACTTGATTCTAAGAGCGTATTCCTATCCTCGTATCAAGAAAACCTCATATCAAGATTGTACTTTTTGCCTGGTAAAAGTAGCGAGAGGTTTTGGGTTTAGGGGAATTTTCAGTGGGAGGTTGATATGAGGTTTTCTTGATACGAGGATAGGAATACGCTCTAAGAATAGCTTCACTTGAAAGCTGGCCATGCTATAGTGCAGCCAAGCACCAACGGTACTCAGCAATGCATGCCTGTGTTGCCATAGCATAACGATGGCACAGGCGGCCTAGGTACACACATGGCAGTGCATGCGTGCACGTGCCGTCAGTGGGCGTCCAGCAGGCAGTCCGTGATCATGCTCCTGCACGGGGGCCACGGCACACACACGCATGAGAGGTAGGACCAATGTCCCACACCACTGCTCAAACGAACATGAGTGAGCATGCGGAACAGGTTGCAAGGCACGAGGACGCAGGGCGCCAAGGAGGAACCATGCCGCGAATCGTTCTCCTCGCCCGCTCACCTCTCGCACTGCCTGAGCCACTCAGCATAGCTGGCACTGCCCGCCCTCCCCCGCGCCAGAAACGCCTCTGGCAGCCCCGCCACCCCCGCCGCTCCACCCGCACCTGCTCCCCCTCCTCCCTCCTCTGCCTTCCTCCGTCCCCCCTCCCCGTTCTCCCTTCCCCTTTCTGCTCCCCCTCCCCCAGCCCTTCCCCCCACCCGCCCCCCTGCTCCCACCACGCCCCAGCGGCAGCTGCAGCAGAGAGGGGTGGAGAGGGGGTGTAGGGGCGGGGCAGGGGCGGCGGCTGCTGGAGCAACAGCAGAAGCAGGGGGGTCAGGCGGGGGTGGGGGGTTGAGAGCAGGCGGGGGGAGGGGGGCGAGGCAGATGGCGCAGAGGGGCGGAGGGGGGGAGTCAGCAGCAGTGGGGGAGGGGGGTGCGAGGGAAGGGGGGAGGTTGAAGGGGAAGGGTTGCAGTTTGAGGGCGGTGCGAGTGACGGTGAACTGGCGCCCGCTGCTCTCCCTCTGCAGCCCCTCCAGGAACGACGCCGCCAGCGCATTGATGCTCTCCGCCCCCCCTGTGGCCCCGCTCCCTGCGCCCCCCAGCAGGGAGGCACGCGTGGCGAGGGAGGGGGCGAAGGCGGTGCGGAGGCGGGAGAGGTGCGCGAGGAGGGCGAGGTCGCGCAGAGAGCAGTCGCGCAGCGGGCGCACCACCGGCACGCCCCTCCGTGCGTCCCACACCGCCAGGTCCGCTGGTAGCGCAAAGCCCTGCGCCTGATGGGGGCGATGAGGGGAAGGGGGGAGGAAAGGAGTGGATGGGTTGAGGGTGGAATGAGGGAAGGGCAAAGAGCGATAGATATGAGAAGCAATGAGAGAGAACTGCTCATCCCCCTCACCAACATCCCGCCCCCCTCTGTCGCTGCTCTCCCATCCCATCACCTCACCTTGGCAGTGGCGGCAATGACATGCGCTGCGAGGCGAGTGGCCGTGCTGCCCACCACCACCTTGCTGCACCGCAGTCGCTGCGCCAACTGGGGGTGGGGGAGAGGAGGGGCACGGCAGGGCGGGTGGTGGGAAGGGGAGTGGAGTGAGAGGCGAAGCAGCGCGAGGAACAAGGCGGGTGCATGCGTGCAACGCGCACCACCATGCGTGCAACGCGCACCACCATGCGTGCAACGCGCACCACCATGCGTGCAACGCGCACCACCATGCGTGCAACGCGCACCACCATGCGTGCAACGCGCACCACCATGCGTGCAACGCGCACCACCATGCGTGCAACGCGCACCACCATGCGTGCAACGCGCACCACCATGCGTGCAACGCGCACCACCATGCGTGCAACGCGCACCACCATGCGTGCAACGCGCACCACCATGCGTGCAACGCGCACCACCATGCGTGCAACGCGCACCACCATGCGTGCAACGCGCACCACCATGCGTGCAACGCGCACCACCATGCGTGCAACGCGCACCACCATGCGTGCAACGCGCACCACCATGCGTGCAACGCGCACCACCATGCGTGCAACGCGCACCACCATGCGTGCAACGCGCACCACCATGCGTGCAACGCGCACCACCATGCGTGCAACGCGCACCACCATGCGTGCAACGCGCACCACCATGCGTGCAACGCGCACCACCATGCGTGCAACGCGCACCACCATGCGTGCAACGCGCACCACCATGCGTGCAACGCGCACCACCATGCGTGCAACGCGCACCACCATGCGTGCAACGCGCACCACCATGCGTGCAACGCGCACCACCATGCGTGCAACGCGCACCACCATGCGTGCAACGCGCACCACCATGCGTGCAACGCGCACCACCATGCGTGCAACGCGCACCACCATGCGTGCAACGCGCACCACCATGCGTGCAACGCGCACCACCATGCGTGCAACGCGCACCACCATGCGTGCAACGCGCACCACCATGCGTGCAACGCGCACCACCATGCGTGCAACGCGCACCACCATGCGTGCAACGCGCACCACCATGCGTGCAACGCGCACCACCATGCGTGCAACGCGCACCACCATGCGTGCAACGCGCACCACCATGCGTGCAACGCGCACCACCATGCGTGCAACGCGCACCACCATGCGTGCAACGCGCACCACCATGCGTGCAACGCGCACCACCATGCGTGCAACGCGCACCACCATGCGTGCAACGCGCACCACCATGCGTGCAACGCGCACCACCATGCGTGCAACGCGCACCACCATGCGTGCAACGCGCACCACCATGCGTGCAACGCGCACCACCATGCGTGCAACGCGGCGTGCAACGCGCACCACCATGCGTGCAACGCGCACCACCATGCGTGCAACGCGCACCACCATGCGTGCAACGCGCACCACCATGCGTGCAACGCGCACCACCATGCGTGCAACGCGCACCACCATGCGTGCAACGCGCACCACCATGCGTGCAACGCGCACCACCATGCGTGCAACGCGCACCACCATGCGTGCAACGCGCACCACCATGCGTGCAACGCGCACCACCATGCGTGCAACGCGCACCACCATGCGTGCAACGCGCACCACCATGCGTGCAACGCGCACCACCATGCGTGCAACGCGCACCACCATGCGTGCAACGCGCACCACCATGCGTGCAACGCGCACCACCATGCGTGCAACGCGCACCACCATGCGTGCAACGCGCACCACCATGCGTGCAACGCGCACCACCATGCGTGCAACGCGCACCACCATGCGTGCAACGCGCACCACCATGCGTGCAACGCGCACCACCATGCGTGCAACGCGCACCACCATGCGTGCAACGCGCACCACCATGCGTGCAACGCGCACCACCATGCGTGCAACGCGCACCACCATGCGTGCAACGCGCACCACCATGCGTGCAACGCGCACCACCATGCGTGCAACGCGCACCACCATGCGTGCAACGCGCACCACCATGCGTGCAACGCGCACCACCATGCGTGCAACGCGCACCACCATGCGTGCAACGCGCACCACCATGCGTGCAACGCGCACCACCATGCGTGCAACGCGCACCACCATGCGTGCAACGCGCACCACCATGCGTGCAACGCGCACCACCATGCGTGCAACGCGCACCACCATGCGTGCAACGCGCACCACCATGCGTGCAACGCGCACCACCATGCGTGCAACGCGCACCACCATGCGTGCAACGCGCACCACCATGCGTGCAACGCGCACCACCATGCGTGCAACGCGCACCACCATGCGTGCAACGCGCACCACCATGCGTGCAACGCGCACCACCATGCGTGCAACGCGCACCACCATGCGTGCAACGCGCACCACCATGCGTGCAACGCGCACCACCATGCGTGCAACGCGCACCACCATGCGTGCAACGCGCACCACCATGCGTGCAACGCGCACCACCATGCGTGCAACGCGCACCACCATGCGTGCAACGCGCACCACCATGCGTGCAACGCGCACCACCATGCGTGCAACGCGCACCACCATGCGTGCAACGCGCACCACCATGCGTGCAACGCGCACCACCATGCGTGCAACGCGCACCACCATGCGTGCAACGCGCACCACCATGCGTGCAACGCGCACCACCATGCGTGCAACGCGCACCACCATGCGTGCAACGCGCACCACCATGCGTGCAACGCGCACCACCATGCGTGCAACGCGCACCACCATGCGTGCAACGCGCACCACCATGCGTGCAACGCGCACCACCATGCGTGCAACGCGCACCACCATGCGTGCAACGCGCACCACCATGCGTGCAACGCGCACCACCATGCGTGCAACGCGCACCACCATGCGTGCAACGCGCACCACCATGCGTGCAACGCGCACCACCATGCGTGCAACGCGCACCACCATGCGTGCAACGCGCACCACCATGCGTGCAACGCGCACCACCATGCGTGCAACGCGCACCACCATGCGTGCAACGCGCACCACCATGCGTGCAACGCGCACCACCATGCGTGCAACGCGCACCACCATGCGTGCAACGCGCACCACCATGCGTGCAACGCGCACCACCATGCGTGCAACGCGCACCACCATGCGTGCAACGCGCACCACCATGCGTGCAACGCGCACCACCATGCGTGCAACGCGCACCACCATGCGTGCAACGCGCACCACCATGCGTGCAACGCGCACCACCATGCGTGCAACGCGCACCACCATGCGTGCAACGCGCACCACCATGCGTGCAACGCGCACCACCATGCGTGCAACGCGCACCACCATGCGTGCAACGCGCACCACCATGCGTGCAACGCGCACCACCATGCGTGCAACGCGCACCACCATGCGTGCAACGCGCACCACCATGCGTGCAACGCGCACCACCATGCGTGCAACGCGCACCACCATGCGTGCAACGCGCACCACCATGCGTGCAACGCGCACCACCATGCGTGCAACGCGCACCACCATGCGTGCAACGCGCACCACCATGCGTGCAACGCGCACCACCATGCGTGCAACGCGCACCACCATGCGTGCAACGCGCACCACCATGCGTGCAACGCGCACCACCATGCGTGCAACGCGCACCACCATGCGTGCAACGCGCACCACCATGCGTGCAACGCGCACCACCATGCGTGCAACGCGCACCACCATGCGTGCAACGCGCACCACCATGCGTGCAACGCGCACCACCATGCGTGCAACGCGCACCACCATGCGTGCAACGCGCACCACCATGCGTGCAACGCGCACCACCATGCGTGCAACGCGCACCACCATGCGTGCAACGCGCACCACCATGCGTGCAACGCGCACCACCATGCGTGCAACGCGCACCACCATGCGTGCAACGCGCACCACCATGCGTGCAACGCGCACCACCATGCGTGCAACGCGCACCACCATGCGTGCAACGCGCACCACCATGCGTGCAACGCGCACCACCATGCGTGCAACGCGCACCACCATGCGTGCAACGCGCACCACCATGCGTGCAACGCGCACCACCATGCGTGCAACGCGCACCACCATGCGTGCAACGCGCACCACCATGCGTGCAACGCGCACCACCATGCGTGCAACGCGCACCACCATGCGTGCAACGCGCACCACCATGCGTGCAACGCGCACCACCATGCGTGCAACGCGCACCACCATGCGTGCAACGCGCACCACCATGCGTGCAACGCGCACCACCATGCGTGCAACGCGCACCACCATGCGTGCAACGCGCACCACCATGCGTGCAACGCGCACCACCATGCGTGCAACGCGCACCACCATGCGTGCAACGCGCACCACCATGCGTGCAACGCGCACCACCATGCGTGCAACGCGCACCACCATGCGTGCAACGCGCACCACCATGCGTGCAACGCGCACCACCATGCGTGCAACGCGCACCACCATGCGTGCAACGCGCACCACCATGCGTGCAACGCGCACCACCATGCGTGCAACGCGCACCACCATGCGTGCAACGCGCACCACCATGCGTGCAACGCGCACCACCATGCGTGCAACGCGCACCACCATGCGTGCAACGCGCACCACCATGCGTGCAACGCGCACCACCATGCGTGCAACGCGCACCACCATGCGTGCAACGCGCACCACCATGCGTGCAACGCGCACCACCATGCGTGCAACGCGCACCACCATGCGTGCAACGCGCACCACCATGCGTGCAACGCGCACCACCATGCGTGCAACGCGCACCACCATGCGTGCAACGCGCACCACCATGCGTGCAACGCGCACCACCATGCGTGCAACGCGCACCACCATGCGTGCAACGCGCACCACCATGCGTGCAACGCGCACCACCATGCGTGCAACGCGCACCACCATGCGTGCAACGCGCACCACCATGCGTGCAACGCGCACCACCATGCGTGCAACGCGCACCACCATGCGTGCAACGCGCACCACCATGCGTGCAACGCGCACCACCATGCGTGCAACGCGCACCACCATGCGTGCAACGCGCACCACCATGCGTGCAACGCGCACCACCATGCGTGCAACGCGCACCACCATGCGTGCAACGCGCACCACCATGCGTGCAACGCGCACCACCATGCGTGCAACGCGCACCACCATGCGTGCAACGCGCACCACCATGCGTGCAACGCGCACCACCATGCGTGCAACGCGCACCACCATGCGTGCAACGCGCACCACCATGCGTGCAACGCGCACCACCATGCGTGCAACGCGCACCACCATGCGTGCAACGCGCACCACCATGCGTGCAACGCGCACCACCATGCGTGCAACGCGCACCACCATGCGTGCAACGCGCACCACCATGCGTGCAACGCGCACCACCATGCGTGCAACGCGCACCACCATGCGTGCAACGCGCACCACCATGCGTGCAACGCGCACCACCATGCGTGCAACGCGCACCACCATGCGTGCAACGCGCACCACCATGCGTGCAACGCGCACCACCATGCGTGCAACGCGCACCACCATGCGTGCAACGCGCACCACCATGCGTGCAACGCGCACCACCATGCGTGCAACGCGCACCACCATGCGTGCAACGCGCACCACCATGCGTGCAACGCGCACCACCATGCGTGCAACGCGCACCACCATGCGTGCAACGCGCACCACCATGCGTGCAACGCGCACCACCATGCGTGCAACGCGCACCACCATGCGTGCAACGCGCACCACCATGCGTGCAACGCGCACCACCATGCGTGCAACGCGCACCACCATGCGTGCAACGCGCACCACCATGCGTGCAACGCGCACCACCATGCGTGCAACGCGCACCACCATGCGTGCAACGCGCACCACCATGCGTGCAACGCGCACCACCATGCGTGCAACGCGCACCACCATGCGTGCAACGCGCACCACCATGCGTGCAACGCGCACCACCATGCGTGCAACGCGCACCACCATGCGTGCAACGCGCACCACCATGCGTGCAACGCGCACCACCATGCGTGCAACGCGCACCACCATGCGTGCAACGCGCACCACCATGCGTGCAACGCGCACCACCATGCGTGCAACGCGCACCACCATGCGTGCAACGCGCACCACCATGCGTGCAACGCGCACCACCATGCGTGCAACGCGCACCACCATGCGTGCAACGCGCACCACCATGCGTGCAACGCGCACCACCATGCGTGCAACGCGCACCACCATGCGTGCAACGCGCACCACCATGCGTGCAACGCGCACCACCATGCGTGCAACGCGCACCACCATGCGTGCAACGCGCACCACCATGCGTGCAACGCGCACCACCATGCGTGCAACGCGCACCACCATGCGTGCAACGCGCACCACCATGCGTGCAACGCGCACCACCATGCGTGCAACGCGCACCACCATGCGTGCAACGCGCACCACCATGCGTGCAACGCGCACCACCATGCGTGCAACGCGCACCACCATGCGTGCAACGCGCACCACCATGCGTGCAACGCGCACCACCATGCGTGCAACGCGCACCACCATGCGTGCAACGCGCACCACCATGCGTGCAACGCGCACCACCATGCGTGCAACGCGCACCACCATGCGTGCAACGCGCACCACCATGCGTGCAACGCGCACCACCATGCGTGCAACGCGCACCACCATGCGTCACATCCGAGCTCACACACACTCCCCCCCCTCCTCCCCCCTCGCACCAGCATCAGGGCGTCCAGGCGCAGTGCCTCCACCACGTCCTCCCTGCCCGTGCCCTCCGCCGCCCCCCCCACCACCGCCGCCAGCCGTGCAGCCAACCGCTCCCCCGTGCTCTCGCCACTGCAGGCGTCACCTGCCATGGGCGCATCCCCCCCATCCGCCAGCGCACTCTCCAGGCGCACCACGTGGAACGCCACTCCGTGCGGCCCCCCATTCTCCGCCCCCGCCCCTCCCTCCCTCGCCGCCCCTCGCCCTCCGCCCTCCCCGCAGTCGCCCCCGCTGCAGTCACGCGCGCCCCTGTGCGCCGCCACAGCGTCGCTCACGATCTTCCGCAACTCGCATGCCAGCCTGTCAGCAGTGCCACGTGGCAGAAGGTCATTCCCCACCGCCACGCGCTCGTCCACGTAAGCAACGGAGAGGCGGAACGGAATGCGCCCCCTCGCCGCCGCCCCTTGCGCGCCGAGCGGTGCGGCGCCTTGTGAGTGAAGGAGGGGTGACTGTATGGCGAGGAGAAAGTCGAGCGCGCACCTGCACCGATTGCATCAAATCAAAATCAGATCAAAACAAGATTGGATGGAGCTTTCACCAAAGTTAAAAACATGCGAGGGCGGCCGGGGAAAGACCGGCGAGGGGAGTGCATGCGGGGTTCCAGAGCGCGTCACCTGGAGGCGGCGCCGCCCGAGAAGGCGAGCAGCACGTGATCGTCCTTGGCGACGAGCTTGCCGCCATTCACGGCCGACTTGAACTTCCCCAGCAGCGCGCCGCGCAGACAGCCCGCGCACAGCGCCTCCGTCTGATTCACCAGCGCCGCCGCGTCCGCCGCGCGGCACTTGATGCACCGCGGAACCCGCTTCTCCGCGCGCCGCTCTGCGGGCGCCGCCATGCTCGCAGCCCACGTCGAGTCAAAACTCTTCTGGACGACGCTCGCAGAAAGCAGGAAATGTGGAGCGCAAGAGAGCAAGGAGCGGCGAGGGGTGGGAGTGGGAGACCAAGCGAGGGCGGCGTGTGCGTAGCGTGAGGGTGGGAGCAGCGGGGTGGAATTTGTGTGCGGGGTGGCCGCACTCCTCTGTGTAAATCGTCCTCTTCACGCCATTTCTTCCAACCCCTTCCAAAACCGCCTTTCCTAATTCCTTCTCCCTCCACTTCCTCATCACCTCCCTGCCCCCCATGGCCATCGGTGCGCGGAGGGCTTTTGCCTCTTCCGCCCGCCGCCTCGTCTCCGCTCGCCTCGTATCCCCGTTCGCCCCGCGCTTTCCAACTTCCGCATCACCCCTCGACGCTGCACCGAATTGCCACCCCCTTCCCTCCGCTGTCCAATTTTACGCGGATGGCGCTGTTTCCCCCTCAGGGTGCCGTGCTTACTCCGCCGGGGGGGAAGCGCTGGGGTCGTCGGGCAGCGGGGCGTGGGCGCAGGCAGGGGGGATGGAGGGGAAAACTGCGGGCGAGGGCGGCGAGCGGAGCGGATCCGCCACCACCCACTTCGGTAGGCCGCTTCCTCTCCCGCAACGCCACCTGCGCCGATCTCCGCCGTGCCCCGCCGTGGCTCTCCCTCGTCTCATTCCGCACATTATTGCCGCTAACCTTGTGTAATCCGACGCGCATTCCACATCCGCATGGCGCATGGCGGGGCGCGGCAGGGTACCGCGCGGTGCGCGAGGAGGAGAAGGCAGAGCTGGTGGGGGGAGTGTTCTCGTCGGTGGCGGACAAGTATGACGTCATGAATGACGTCATGAGCGGGGGCCTGCACCGCCTGTGGAAGGACAGGTGCGCCCCGCATGCCACGCCGTGACACTCGTTCCTGCACATCCCTGCCTTTCTCTTCCAAGTCCCCCCTCTCCGCCTGCCGTCCCTCCCCACTCTCATCGCCCCCCTGCGTCCCCTGTGCCCCAGGCTGGTGCGAGCGCTGCACCCCTTCCCCCACATGCACCACCTGGACGTGGCTGGCGGCACAGGTGGGCATGATGGCATGGTGGAGTGGGGGCATTGGGGATGGGGGCATTGGGGCATGGGGGATGGGGGCATTGGGGCATGGGGGCATGGGGTTATGGGGGATGGGGACCTTGGGGCATGCGGGCAATTGGACATGGGGGCATGTGATGCTGTGCTGTGGGTCGATTTGATGGGATCTGTATCTCGGTGTACTGTGCTGTGCTGTGCGGTGCTGTGCTGTGCTGTGATGTGATGTGATGTGATGTGATGTGCTGTGATGTGACGCTGGGACATGATGTGCTGGTTGCCTGTGTTGAGTGTGTGCCGTGTGGGCATCGCTTCATGTATGCGCGAGCCCATCACTGCCCTCCATACACGCCCCCCTCAGAGTCACTGCTGCCACCTTCGTCCATGGCCCCTTCTTCCCCCCCCAGGCGACATTGCGTTCCGAGTGCTGAGGGCCATTCGCGAGGCCGAGGCGGATCCACGGCGCATGGCGGCGGCTGCAGGCACAGGGAGGAGCAGCGGGGAGGGGTGGGGCGAGGCAGGGAGGGGGGCGCGGGTGATAGTGTGTGACATCAATGCGGACATGCTGCGCGTGGGGCAGCTCAGGGCGCAGCAGCAAGGTGTGGCAGCACAGAGGCTAAGGGCGAGGAGTCCACCAGCCATTGCATGTGCCTCAGCACAGGTCACCCCCTTCTCATTTTCATGTGCTCGCGTTCCCCCCTGCCACCACCTTTCCACACCTTATATCTTGTGCCTGTGGACCTCCCCTACCCTCTCCACACCACCACAACCCCCTCCCGTCGTCCCAGGCCTGGCATCAGATGCGGCGCTGGAGTGGGTGCAGGGCGATGCGGAGGACATGAGTGCGGTGCTGCCAGACGGCAGTGTGGACGCTTACTCCATTGCCTTTGGCATCCGCAATGTCACGCGCATCCACCGCGCCCTCGCAGAGGCCCACAGGTCACACCACACCACTCACCACCTCCGCTTCCTGCCATGCCCTCCCCTCCCCTGCCCTGCTGTCTGCATGTGCCTCTCACCTTGCCCTTGCGTCTGTGCTCCCACTTCTCTCTGTGCCCTGCAACCCCCTCCCTCCCATGCATGTGAGAGCACAGGGTGCTGCGCAAGGGAGGCCAGTTTGCATGCCTGGAGCTCAGCCACGTGGAGGACCCTCTCTTCAGGGCACTGTGAGTTGTGCCAATGAAAGGTTTAAGATTAAAGGTTTACCTGAATTGCTGCCACCTGCAATTTAGGGGGAGCTTGTCTGTAATCTTCTGAACTCAATCCTTTCCCACCCACCCTTCCCACACACCCCCAGCTACGACACGTACTCTTTCAATGTCATTCCAGCCATTGGCCAGGCAGTCACTGGGGACAGGGCATCATATCAGTATCTTGTGGAGAGCATTCGCAAGTTCCCAACCCAGGTACCACCTACTCTAAGGAAAGTTCCACATAAATCATTGCATACTCTCACAACCCGTACTGACAAATGTCCACTTCTCCTTTCCCCGTGTCCCCATCAGAGGAAATTCGCTCACATGATGGAGCAAGCAGGATTCAGAAATGTGTCATACGAGAACATGACAGGCGGTGTTGTGGCACTTTTTACAGGCTTCAAGTTGTAGAGATACGGTTGCGTCTAGTTAGCAATTCAGTTCCAACTGCTGAGTGCATTTTGTGATACGCATGTGGCTAAAAGTTGTTTTGGTTTATTTCTAGGTTCTTTTGAACATATCATAGTGAATGACAGCAGTCAGGCAACAAAAAAGCCCTGGAGTAATACCAGGACGGCTTAAGCCTTGGCAACCTGCTCCTCGATGAGATCGGCGGCCTCCTGAACGGTGGAGATCTTCTCAGCACCCTCCTCGTCGAGGGTGATGTCGAACTGCTCCTCCAACGCCATCATGATCTCCACCTGCCACCACAACGGCACATCCACGCTCTCAACAACCCAGAACACAAAACCACCAGCCGCACGGTTCACTCAAGCTCAGGCAGGAGTAAAGCGTAAAGCAATGGTTCGCACTCACGGTGTCGAGGGAGTCGGCGCCGAGGTCGACGAACTTGGCCTCGGCGGTGATCTTCTCCACCTCCACGGCCAGCTGCTGCGCGATGATGCCCCGCACCTTGGTCAGGGTGTCTGCGGAGGCCTGTACCAACACGGGGTCGAGGGTCAATCAGGGGATCGGACCAGTACTGGTAATGACCCATTCCCATTCACAAAAACGGGGACTGGGGGACGAAGCACCTAGAGAATGAAAACAGGAAAGACGTACAGCGCAGGAGATGGAAAGCCTCTGCGCCCGGGGGGTGAAGGAAACCACGGACTTGGCGACGGCAACCTTCGCGGGGGCGGCTCTCAAGCCGGTGAAGGTGGCAATGGTCTGCAGGACGAAGCGAAAATGGCGTCAGTACGTGAAGAAACTAGGGAAGATTTGTTTAATCTAAAAACAGCACGCTGTACCTTCTGGCTGCTGACAGCGAAAGCCATGGCTGCTGTGTGGAGTGGTAGCTTTCAGGCTGGAGTAGCAGCTAGGGTTGAGGTTTGGAAGCGGAGGTTGCAGATTGAGCGAAAATGAGAGCCCAAGGTGGTTTACTTTGAGCTCTCAGCAGCGAGGCTGGTCTGGATAGATCCGTCCACGGTAGATGGCCAATCCCACGGCGCTCCAGGTCACGTTTGTGACGCGTGGCATGAAAAGTGACGGTTGCGGTTAAAATCCGCACGAAAGGGCCTGTCAACCGAAGGTCACAACAACGGAGTGATCGAAACCAGCACAACATACCGCGTTTTCATGTGCAGTGTAGCAAATAAAACTTTCCCGCTGCTGAGTGATCAGAGGAGCACATAAGGATAAATGTTATTTCACATGCACCCATTAGACAATAACATTATCTTCAAGGGTTAGCCATGCCCATCTTGGCCACTTTTGCGGCATTAAAGAGAAGTGGGACAGGAAATTCATTAAATTCAATATGGAAAGCATGATTCACACCGGATCAACCATCAAGATCAAATTTATTTGAATGTATGATATGGATCATGATTCAAAGAATAGATGAACGGAATCCAACAGTTTGGAATATCTCACAGTTGTATCAGAATTCACAAAAATGTCGTTTTAGTCCTCTCGTTGTTAGTCCCCGCGCGTCTGGAGATGCGAGCAAGAGCATCGTCTCCGTTGATCCTCTTGCGATGCACAGACCATCCTGCTGGGAAGCCGAGTCAGACAGGAGCAGGCCAATGGTTGTGGAGGCGGCCAATGGGAGGCGCTGTGTGATGCACTTCTGTGTGACTATCGGTAATGGGAGAGAGTGACGGTCACGCACAACCCATTTCCCTACCAATTCATATGCTGCAATCATCTCAAAGCCTTCCAAGAGAATCCCCAGAACTATCTGTGTAGCAGGGAGGCCAGTTTTGCCTAATGGCTTGTTTTGCGGGAAAGGCTACAGCCATCAACCCTGCACACAGCGCTACTCTACTCAGATATTCGAACAAGATCCAACCGTGCAGAAACGGTTTACGGGTTCCAGCCACAGCACGCCGTAGAATCTTGTCAGTAGCACTCATGGAGACGGATAAGCTACATGACATAATGGCCCACAGTCCGATGCAAAATCAATCGAGTGGTGGAAGTATGCCAAATACCGGCGTCAACCACAAGATTCTTGGAATAGACATCGGCGGTACAAGCATAAAGGCAGCGCCAGTTGACACTCGGACTGGTCAGCTGCTAGCGGAACGGTTTGTCGTGCTGACACCCAACCCAGCCACACCGGAAGCATGTGCAGACGCCGTCAATCAGTGTGCTCAACACTTTCAGGTCAATATAGTGTTCCGCTCACGCGATTAATTTCCAAAGTAGTACCTGCTGCTCGTTCTCAGATCACTCATAGTATGCTTTATCGAATCATGGTGAGTGCAGTGGAAAGGAGCCGTTGGGATTGGCGTACCCGCAGTGGTGAAGGATGGAACCACATGGACAGCCGCGAACAGTACGGTATCCAATCCTGATGCTCCACTCTTTGTTCCTAGGCTGACACGCTCTGAGAAAATCTTCCTTTGTTCCTCAACCATGCCTTTTTGTAATCCTGGGCTGTGCCTGTCAGTCGACAGCAGTTGGGTGGGAGCGGACGTGGAGGGCCTGTTCAGCCGGGTAACAGGGCTGCCAGTCACGGTGGTCAACGACGCCGACGCTGCTGGCTATGCGGAGCTGGGCTTCGGTGCAGGGTCGGGGGAGAACGAGCGCGGCGTGGTGTTCATTGTGACCTTCGGAACCGGCATTGGCACGGCCATGTTCGTGGATGGCATTCTGGTGCGCAAGACCCTCGCATGCATACTACATGCTTCATCCCATGCTTGTCACCTGCTTGATTCCATCCATGCTTCATGCCATTCGTACTCCATCCATCCTTCATGTCTAACGGTGTCTCCCTTGGTGGCTGAGTGCAGGTCCCCAACCTGGAATTGGGTCACATGGAGGTGGATGGAGTGGAGGCAGAGGCGGCAGCAGCAGGCGTGCTGGTGGAGAGAAATGGGTGGACGTGGCAGCAGTGGGCTGACAAGGTCGCCTGGTACCTGGGCCACATTGAGAAGCTCTTCTGGCCCTCCAGATTCGTAAGCATCCCGCCGGCCTCCTTTGTCCTCACTTGAATGTCCTCTTTTGATGCCTCAGTTTCCCTCACCCTGCTGCCTTGTTCCTATCGATGTGTTTGTTCGTCTGTGTGCGGCATCAGATTGTGGGAGGGGGGGTGAGCAATGCACACGAGCAGTGGCTGCATCTGGTGAAGCTGCCCAAGGGCACGCCCATCCTGCCTGCCTCCATGAAGAACGATGCCGGCATCATTGGTGCTGCCATGGCTTCACTCGCCCGCTCCGTCTCTGCCATCCGCCACAAGCCACAGCAGGTGGAGGACTACATTCAGGCCTGACTGCACCCGGGCTTCAAGCAGCCCACACAGGTTGCTGGTTATCCACTTGCCTGGATTAATGGTGCTGCTTGCTTTGTATTGTTATTGCATTAATAATTACTAATTCCAGTTTTTGGCTACAGAAGGATTGCACCAAGTTGAAGGAGATTCGAAAGAAGGAACCGCCACTACATGTTTGAGAATAAAAGCATGACGCATTGACGACACCCCACGAGACGAACGATATAGTAGTAATAGGTGGAGCCACCACACCTCCATCGCTACCATCTACTGCGAGTGCTGCCACAGCTACCCTCCCCTCCACTGCCCTCTGGTGCCATCATGCCCTGCCCCTCCACCTCTCCCTCCTGCACGCCTGCCCCCACCGCCCCTCCACGCACGGCAGCAAGTGATGGGCCCAAGGCAGGTGGTGAGGCAGTGGCAGCGAGGGGTACAGCGGGCAGAATTGCCTTGAGGTTCTGCAGATACTGAGTCATCTCCTGATGGGGATGGGCAGGCACGGGAAGATGGCAGCAAGAAGGCAGAACGGAGGGGTTGCGTCAAGTTCAGCAGCAAGGAGAGGGATCGAAGTAAGGCATGAATGAGGAGATTGTCTTGCACTCTCAGACCTGATTCCAACCATTGTCCTCTACCTACTCGTCCCTATCCCTCTCACCTCCAGGTTTCTCTCCAGCTCTGAGACGCGGGCTGTCTTCTCTTGCAGCCGCCTCTCTGTCTCCTGCAGCCGAGCCCTCAGCTCCCACGGCCCCCCCTCCACCACCATTGCCTCACTCTGCATTAGGAGGAGGCGTAACACACGTCAGCGGAGCACAGAGGAGGGATATGGACGAAGCAGGGAACACGAAGGGGCTCTGCAACACACACCCTCCTCGTGGGTGCTTTTTGCTCAGTGCCCTTTCAGATGCACACAGCCATGCAACCCAAGCCCGTCTCACCTCATCGTTCCCTTGCACACTCTGCTCTCCATCCTCCACCTATGTTCCTCCCCCAGCCTCCTGTGCTGCTTGCCTAGCGGCGTGTGCCTCTGCCCTCGCCTCCTCCACAATGCGCATGGCTGCCACCGCCTGCACCGCCGCCATGCCTGCTGCCATCTCCCTCTCTTCCGCCCCCAACTCATTACCCCTTGCAGCCTCCATCCACCTCCCACCACTGCCCACGTTCCTGAACCTCAAAGGCCCTCCCCCCACTTCCTTCTTCCGCGTCCCCCTTCCACTTGGCCAGGTGGTGGTCCCCTTCTCCTCCTCCTGCTCGCCCGTCTCCCTGCTGCCCCCTGCCGCCAACTTCCCATGATCACGCAGCCCAGTTGCCAGACCCACGCCACCCGCCATGTGGCCCCCCTCAAACCCACCTCCTGCTCTTCCCGGCCCCTCCCGTCCCACTTCAGCAAGATCTGCTCCATTATTCGACCTGTGTGGTTGTATTAACGAACCCTCATTCAAACTCCACTCCCCAATTCCTGCTGCCAAGCCTGCTGCCGGACCTGCAGGCTCGGCAGCGATGCTGTTGACAGCCACGTGCAGCTCTGAGAGCTGCAGGCCTGTGAAGAGTGTGAATGGGGAGGCAGCGGGCGCAAGTGACGGCGAGCAGTGGGGCGAGGGGGAGGAGGTGGGATGGTGGAGGAGGAGGCGACTGATGAGAGCATCTGCTGTGTCACCGTGTGTTGCCTCTTGCCTCGCCCTGCCACCTGCTGCTGCCTCGTCTGCCCGCCCAACATCCCCCTCACACCCCTTGCTGCTCTCTTCGCCTTCCTGCTCCTCGCCTTCTCTTGGCCCGCCTCGCCCTGCTGATCGTGCTGACCTTGCTGTCCCTGCTGGCGCTCCGGACCTTGCTGCCTCTCCAGACCTCTTGGACTTGCCTGACTCCACAACCTTTCCAACCCCTTCCCACCTTCCTGCCCCCAAGTCAGCAGTTGCTACTGTGGCTGCTGCTGCTGCTGCGTCTGGTGCTGCTGCGACGACTGATGCTGCTGCGGTTGGTGCTGCTGGGCCTGCCCCTTTGCTGGCTGCAGGGGAGGCAGCAGCGGGCCTGGCAGCAAGGGAATGGCGGTTCACAGCCAGCTGGTCCAACAGGGCGCCTCTCAGCCTTCCCTCCACTTCGTCCTCCTCAGCATCTCCCCTCTCCCTACATCCGACCCCCTCCCTCTTCCCACCGCCAGCACTTTCCGTCCCCCCACTCTCACTGCCAGGGCCCACGGGAGCAACAGCTCGTGACAGCCGCCTGCCTGCCTTCCCTGAGGCCCCTTTCCCACCCGGCACTGTATCACTCCCTCTCTGGGTCGTATCCTCCAACCAGCGCGCCCTGCCCTCTCCCACCCCAGTCTGCCTACCCGTGTGCCAGTGCACCGAGTTGTGGGACGACTCTGACACCTCCCCGCCTCCCCCTCCTGCCCCCTCTGCCCGCTCTGCTCTCTGATCTCTCCCGCCATCACTTGCCGCCGCCCCCTTTGGATGGGCACCTCCTTCCCTCAGGCACATGCTGCCCCACGCCAGTGCACCACACCCATCGCCCGCTTCCTTCTGCCCACCTCCTACGCCTGTCACCGCTGCCCCACGCCCCTGCACACTCGCACTGCTGCTCGCCCCCCTCTCCCCCTCGCCCTCCACTGCCCCCCCACCCCCACCTGATGTTGCTGATGCCACCACACTACCCACACCACCCACACTACCCACACCACCCACACTACCCACACCACCCACACTACCCACACCACCCACACTACCCACACTGCCTCTTTCCCTTTTTCTGCTCCCTCCCCTGCTGCCACTGCTGCTATCACTAGCACTGCTGCTTCTCTCTGTTTCCTCGTCGTCCTCCTCCCTCCCTGTACCCTCCTCCACTCCCTTACCCCGCTCCTCCCCTTCCTCCCCCCCTTCCTCCTCCTCCCCATCCTCGTCCTCCTCCTCCTCAACCAGCACCCGTAAAGCAACAGCCTCAGCCAGGGCCTGGCCGGCGCGGTCCAGCCACAGCTCCTGTTCTCGGCGGCGCTGCTTGCGCTTCTCCAGCAGCTCGCTCCGGAGGGCGTTCGCCGTGGCCAGCGCCTTCTCCAGCCGCCGCTTCTTCTTCTCCGCCTGCCGCAAACGCTGCTCCTCCTCACTCCCCACTCCCTTCTTCCGCCCGCCCCCCGCCTTCGCCCCATCTTTCTGCTTAGATGCTGCTGCGGACGCGCCACTCCCCGGGGTGCCCCCGCTGCTGCACGCACTGCTCGTGCTGCCGCTGCCCCCTGCTCCCCTGCCCCCATACACGCACTCCCGCTTCCGCTGCCCTCTCTCCCCCAGCACCCCGCCTTGCTCTCCCCCCACCTGCTGGCCGCCCGTTGCACACCCTGCCCCGCTCTGCCCTCTGTCTATTCGTCCCCACCGCCCCTCCCTCCCCCTCTGCCTCCGTCCCTGAGGGCGTTGATCCCTGGAAGCGCTTCCTGCACCATCACCACCAGCAGCAGCAACAGCACCACCACCTCCATGGCCACCACCGCGAGCAGCAGCAGCAGCAGCAGCAGCAGCAGCGCGTGGCTGGTGTGCGTCTCTGGGAGGAGCAGCAGAGGCGTTAGCGCCAGAACCCTCTGCGGACGTGTGGGGTGAGCAGTGGCTGCCATTTCCAACTGCTGCCGCTGCCGTTCCGCTCGCCTCCTGCGCGTGTGACAAGGCGTCCAGAGAGACGGCTGCTGGCGGCGCTGGCGGATGGTGAGAGGGGCGCGCACAGGGGGCTGCGCTCGACGCGGAGAGGAAGGGGGAGGTCGCGAGAGGAGGGGCGGGGCCAACAGGAGGCGCGCGAAATCCCACGATGGCGCAAGGGGCGCGGATGGTGTGCTGCAGCACGTACGGGGAAAAGGAACCGGGGGGCCCGTTGACCAACGGGTAGGGCGAGTTTGGCGGGATTGACGGAAAGGGCGCGGGGTAGTACGGTATGGGATGCGCGGCAGTGGCGCGGAAAGTGAGGGGCGGTTGGAAGGCCAGCAACGGCAGCGACGGGCCGCTGCGGCCAGATATCCCTGGCACTATCCCGCCTCTCGCGCTATCTGCGCCGTGGGTGGCCTGGAGTTGGCCCGCCTGACTCGGGGGCATCTGTCCGCGCGCATGGCTGCTCAACAGCGTCTGCGGCTGCGCCGGTGCGTGCGGCGGCGCATGTGATGGCAGCGGAGACGGCCACGCAAGGGCGTGTGCAGGCCACGCGGTACCATCGTGCGCGCGCTGTCCCGACAGCCCCGCGCGCAGCTGCACCTCCTCCGGTGCTGCGCCGCACCCCTCGCTGCTGTCGCGCGAGTGTCCGCTAAGACAATCTCGCTCGCTACTCATTGTTGCGCAACTAGTTGTGCTGCCGTGGCGCGCAACGAGCGCGACCAGCTGTTGGGCGGGTTACAAGGGCGCACAGTCTCACGGGGCCGTGGCGTTGACAGGTGGCGTTGACAGGTGCACAACAGTGGAACGCGATGCTTTTCTAACCGCCCTCTGCTCGCAGATGTCACGAGGCTTGTGTGTGACCCTGACCTTTCAAACTGGCAAGTCAACACACGCTCAAGATGACAGTAGGGACACAACAATTTTTGGCGCCTCCCTGTGTGAGCAGGGTGACCTACACTCTGGATTCGTCACTTACCATCCCAATCCCGCAGCACCCAGTCAGGCCTCGCTTTGCACCTTGGCTCGCACGTAGCTGGCTGATCGCACGGGAACGGCCATGGCCACAATTCCTTGACTTCATCACCCGATCGCTGTCACCGTTCCTCCGCAGTCGTACCGCACGAGCAACAGAGCCACCTTCGCGCATCGCATATTGCCGTCTTTCCGCCGTATGGATCCCGCGCCCATGGAGTCTTTAGACCCTGGCGGGCCCTCCGCGCCCCTCGTCGCGGACGGCGCAGGGACAGCGCGCGCGAGGCCGAGCGGCGGAGTGGTGTTCACTCCGCTGTACGGCGCGCACGCCGACGAGCCGCTGTGCTACCACCTGCGGCTCGGCCGCCTGCACCTGCTGCTGGACTGCGGCTGGACCGACCTCCTCGACACGGACCTACTCGAGCCGCTGCGCGCCGTCGCGCCCGCGATCCACGCCGTGCTGCTCTCGCACCCCGACATGGAGCACGCGGGCGCGCTGCCGTACGCGTACGCGCAGCTGGGGCTGCGCGCGCCCGTGTACTGCACGGTGCCGGTGGCGCGGCTGGCGCAGCTGATGCTGTACGACCAGTTCCTGGCGCGGCGCAGCGCCGGCGACTTCGACCTGTTCTCGCTGGACGACGTGGACGCCGCGTTTGACGGCGCCGTGCGCCTCAAGTTCGCGCAGCCGCACGCCGTGGGCGAGGAGCGCGACGGCGTGAGCGTGACGCCGCTGGCGGCGGGGCACCTGCTGGGCGGCACGATATGGCGGATATCCGTGGACACAGAGGACCTCGTGTACGCCGTGGGGTTCAACCACAGGTGCGCCCTGCCGCAACCACAGGTGCGCCCTGCTGCAACCACAGGTGCGCCCTGCTGCAACCGCTCAACACCCTCGCTTCCCACCCTCCTCGCTTGCCATGCCCCTCGCTTGTCTACCACATGCAATACATACTTTCTGCCACATGGCTCCCCTTTCCGCATTTGCAAAGCATGTGCTGTATGGGTGCTCACACATTCCCCCCCATCCCCGGGCGCCATGGCAGGGAGGAGCGCATACTGGGGCGCGCGGTGCTGGACACGGCCGTGGTGCGCCCCGCCGTGCTGATCGCGGACGCGGCCACGGCGCTGGTGGCGCCGGTGAAGCGCAAGGCGCGCGACGCGCAGCTGGCGGAGGCCATGAGCAGCACGGTGGGCGAGGGCGGCAGCGTGCTCATGCCCGTCGACACGGGGGGGCGCGTGCTGGAGCTGCTCGTGCACTTGGAGCAGCTGTGGGCGGCGCAGGGGTGGGAGGCGCCGGTGGTGGTGGCGACGGGGGAGAGCTACAGCATGGTGGAGGGCGCCAAGGCCATGCTCGAGTGGCTCAACCCCTCCACTGCGCGCCACTTCGACGCCCAACGCACCTCGCCCTTCAACTTCAAGTGCACCACTACCGCCCTCGCCCTCTCTCGCTCCTATTTCGCCCATCTCAACCCCCCTGGCCTCCCCTTCTATTCCCTCAACATCATCATATTTCTTTCCTGTGGTTCAGTCCGCACCAGCAGTGCACGCACACACGGTTTTTTTTCCCGCGCCATGCTCCTCTCCGCGCCTCCATCTCCCGTTCTCTCCCCACCCCTTTCTCCCCACTATACCCCTCGTCCCCCCCTGTGCGCAGGTACATCCGGCTGTGCCACAGTGTGGAGGAGGTGGAGGAGGTGCCGGGGCCCAAGGTGGTGCTGGCGTCACTCGCCAGTCTCGAGGCCGGCTTTGCTCGGGCGCTCTTTGTGCGCTGGGCGCCCGACCTGCGCAACACCCTGCTCTTCACCTCGCGCGCCCCGCCCGGCTCCCTGGCGCACACGCTGCAGACCAACGTGGGTTGGTGGGTGGGCGGTGCTCTCATGCATGCCCGCCCCACGTGCTGCCTGTCCACCTCCGGGCCTCACGCGCGTGTTGCCCCTCCCTCACGCGCGTGTCGCCCCCCTTGCGCTCGTGTTCCTACCCGCACACCCTGTCTCGTGTTCCTTGGCAGACCCTTGCCACGTTCATGACCACCCTTCCCTTCCCTGCCCTCAAATCTATAACCCAATGCTCAAATTTCTCCCCCTTCAATCTGAGTCCTCTGTTCCCTCCCCACCCCACCCAACCCCCTCCCCACCCTACCCAACCCCACGCCCCCCCCCCCGCAACACACAGGACGTGCGGTTCCCAGTGGTGAGTGTGAGCATGAGTGAGCGCGTGCCGCTGGAGGGCGAGGAGCTGAGGGCGTACGAGGAGCAGCAGCGCCAGCAGCAGCAGGCCGCCATGGACGCCGCTAGAGGGGGCGAGGGGGACGACGGGCAGGGGGAGGGCGAGGAGGGGGAAGGGGAGGGGGAGGGCGAGGGAGGGGAGAATGGGGAGGCGAAGGAGGAGGCGGATGGGGAGGTGCTGGATGGGGATGACGCAGGTGGGTTGTTGCGTGTGTGCGTGGATGGGGCAGGTGCGTGGATGGGGCAGGTGCGTGGATGGGGCAGGTGCGTGGATGGGGCAGGTGCGTGGATGGGGCAGGTGCGTGGATGGGGCAGGTGCGTGGATGGGGCAGGTGCGTGGATGGGGCAGGTGCGTGGATGGGGCAGGTGCGTGGATGGGGCAGGTGCGTGGATGGGGCAGGTGCGTTGATGGGTGTGTGAGAGCAGCTGCTGTGAGGCGTGCGCCTGCTCTCCTTGCTTCCTTGCTCTTGCCTGCCACTGACGTCATTCACCCCCTCTCCCTTCTTCCCTCCATTCGCACCCGCCTCGCTCACCCCACCACCACCAGAGCCAGCCTCCGTGGCCGTGCGACCCCCCTCGGACGTCTTCTGTGAGGGCTTCTCCCCGCTGCCCCTCGCACCCTTCCCCCGCGCTCTCCCCCGCCACGCGGCCCCGCGCCCACAGCACCGCGAGGGGTGGGTGGCGGGGCCGGTGTTCCCGTGGAGTGAGGGCGCGGGGGGCGGGGGGCGGTGCGACGAGTATGGCGAGGTGGTGGACGCCGATGGGCTGGCTGCCGTGGTCGAACACATGCGCGGCCCCATGCGGGTCAGTGGGGGGGGGGGTGGAATTGCCCAGTGCCCACGCATGGGGATGTGGGTGTGAGGTGGGGCGTGCGGTTGGGGAATTGAGAGGAGGCGGTGAGTTGGGTGTAGTTGTTGTGATGGGTGGTATGGAGGATGAGACACAGTGAGTGGAGCACACCGGTTCGTTGCCATGTGACCACAGCAGCGAGCAGCATTATTCTAATCATGTCCACATCAACTGCACGTGTACTTGCTCATCCCGTAAGCTCTTCCCACTCCCATTCCCTCTACCCCCCACCACCCTTCTCCCCCCCTCTCCCCCGCCCCTCCCCTCGCCCGCAGCCAACGGTGAGTGCAATGGAGGCGGCGGGGGTGGACATGGCGGCGCTGGCGGAGGCGGAGGACGTGCTGGCGGGGCTGGAGAGGCCCAGCCGCGTGCGAGTGGAGCACGTCACGGTGCACGTCAACTGCGCCATCCGCTCCATCGACTATGAGGGGCTTGCGGATGGCCGCTCCCTGCGCACCATGCTCGCCCACACCCACCCCCTCTCCCTCGTGCGTCACCCTCCCCTCCCCGCCTCCTCTTCCCCCCTTTTTCCATGTTGATCCCTCCGCATGCCTGTTTCCCCGACTGCTCGTATTTCCATTTTTGGGTGTCTTGATGAAACCTCTTGTTCCGTCGTCTAGCCCTTTCCCCACGGGGTAACGCCTTACCTTCTCCCCCACCCATGCGCCCTGTGGAGGGCGGTGCGATGGCAGGTGGTGGTGCACGGCACGGAGGAGGGCACGGCCGCCATGCAGCAGGCGGGCATCTGCAGCGACTGCATGGCGCCCCGTGCAGGCCAGAGCATCGACCTCACTCCCCACCTCGCCACCTTCCGCGTGAGACCCGCGTGCCACAGGACAGGGGTTGTGGAGGCAGGGGGGAGGGGGGGTGTGGCAGGGATAGGAGCAGTGTGTTGGAGGGTGTGGTGGTGGTAGGTTGTTGCATGGTGACATGGTAAGTAGCATGCGTAGGTACGTGGGTGCAAGGTGGGTGGGATATGGCTGTTGCATGCCCTCATCCTTTGTTTTCTCCGGCCCCTCTCCTGCGCTGCCATGTGCCTCCCTGCCATGTGTGCTGGAGCGCAGGTGAAGCTGAGTGACGACCTGCTCAGGGGGCTGCAGTTCCACAAGGTACACACGCCACTGCCTGCTCACTGCCTCCTTCTCATGCACTGTGCCACCACTGCATGTGCACACTCATGCATGCACATGCATGGATGCGCTCACCATTTTTCCCCACTACCTAGAACATCTCTCACACACACATGCCCGAGCATATGCTGCTCGCCAGGTGGATCTCTCCAGTCCCAATGCCTGCATTTTCCCCTCTGTCGTCCTCCCCCCTCCTCCAGCTACGGGACGACTACGAGGTGGCATTCGTGGAGGGCCGCCTGCACCCCTCCTCCTGTGCGCCGCCCTCCGCCTCGCTCTCCCTGCTGCCGCGCATCACAGGGCCCCCTCTGCCCGCGCCCTCTGGGTCAGGGGCAGGAGGCCAAGGGGCAGACGGGGAGGAGAAGGGGCAGGGGGAAGGTGGAGAGGGGAGAGGGGGAGTGGATGTGGGAGGGGCGAGTGGGGGGGGGGCACGGGCGCTGATGGAGCTGGTGCCGCTGGAGGGGGATGGGGAGGAGGCCAAGCGGCGGGCGGTGATGGTGGGTGATGTGAAGCTCTCGGAATTCAAAGTGCTGCTGCAAGCCCAGGGACTCCAGGTACTCTTGGCCTGCATGTTACACAGCCAAGGTCCATCCTTCAATGTGATGCCAATCGTTGTTGCGGGTGCACTTTGACCTTTTTACCGCTACATCTCATTGTCTTCCCTGTGCTTTCTTGATTCAGGCTGGGTTCGTGGAGTCGGCGCCTGTAGCAACAGCAGGATGTGCTGTTCTCAAGTGTGGCGATTCTCTCGCTCTAAGAAAGGTGAACTGCCATTCCATACTGTTTTTGCTAGAAGCACCACTCACTCCACCCCCACTAACACGTGTTGGTGGTGTTTGTGCAGGTTCCAGACCACAGGCTTGTACTCGAAGGCTCGCTGTGTGACGACTACTACAGAGTTAGACAATTGCTGTACTCTCAATATTCGACATTGTAACTTGACATTTCTATTGTTGGCTTTTAGTGGAGCGCAGCTGCTTTATAACGAGGTATAGAATTCCAGTACCGTTTGCAGTGTGGCTGCATTCGTACGGACCGTCTCAAACTTCATCTGCACGTTCGCACATTCGCTGAACCTCAAGAACAAAGTGCTTGCGATGCTAGCGACGTTCCAGTCAGTTTTCGCATTCGTTGTTGACGTCCAATTTGAACATCGCGTACGCATTGTCCTGGTCGCAACATTGCCTTGCTGGAAGAGGGTAACAGCAAGGCGAGCTCCTGTGCCATTCCAATTCCAACCTTGCACTACACGCGCGAAGTGTGAAGGTGGGGATGGCGAAGAGTTGGACCGGTGCAGGTGGCTTCCATCAGCCATGGCTGTGGCGTTGCCGCATTACAGTGTGAACTGGTCGATGACCATTGTACTCAGCAAAACGACTAGAGTGAGAGCCCGCGCTGGTGTTATAGCAGTGTGGCGGACTCAAGCGTCGCGTGTCCGACTGATTCGCGTGCCACAGGCCCCACGGTTCGCACAAGGCAAGTACGCCGCCACCACACAGAGTCAGGCGCGATGACTTCACTGCCATCGCGCGACGCGGCATCCAACGGCCAAGACGCAAGCGCTGCTGCTAAGATAGCGAGCTATTTAGTAGCTCCCGAGGTTACAGAAGTCTACGAACGACCACTGACGCAACAGACATTCGCCTTCCAGCAGCACCAATTCAGCGCCTACACTGACCTTCACGGCTCACGCCTCACTGCAGCCAGCCCCCCAGCGTGCCGCCTGGTCTCCCCATCCCCGCAAAACTCGTTCCTCTCATCCCGGCCCCACTCCGTGCGCGTCTCCTCCCCGCCGCCATGGCGTCGGCGGCCTTCCCCGCGCTCTCCTCCACTGTGGCTCCCGCGCCCTCCGCCCTTTGGTCCGCCAACCTCACCGTGAGTTTTCCAGCACTCCCCAGTCGGCGCGCGCTCTCCGCTCTTCCCCCATCTGCATGCTCTCTCCGCTCTTCCCCCATCTGCATGTTTTCTCCGCTCTTCCCCCATCTGCATGCTCTCTCCGCTCTTCCCCCATCTGCATGCTCTCTCCGCTCTTCCCCCATCTGCATGCTCTCTCCGCTCTTCCCCCATCTGCATGCGCTCTCCGCTCTTCCCCCATCTGCATGCTCTCTCCGCTCTTCCCCCATCTGCATGCTCTCTCCGCTCTTCCCCCATCTGCATGCTCTCTCCGCTCTTCCCCCATCTGCATGCTCTCTCCGCTCTTCCCCCATCTGCATGCTCTCTCCGCTCTTCCCCCATCTGCATGCTCTCTCCGCTCTTCCCCCATCTGCATGCTCTCTCCGCTCTTCCCCCATCTGGGCGCACTCTCTGCCTGCAGTGCCCTCTCGAACTCGGAGGCTCTTCCTTCTGCCAGCGGCTCGCTCATCTCCGCACCCCGTGCTTTCTTCCTCCTTCTCCCCCCATCGTGGCGTTCCCCCGACCCCAGGCGCCGTACCCGACGAACGCGCCGTGGCAGAACTTGGTGCTGGGGCAGGGCAGCAGCCCCGAGCTCGTGACGCCGTACATCGTGCAGAGCGCGGAGGGGCGCATCGCGTGGGGGCTGCCGGTGCGCGACGCGCAGCCGGGGTACATCGTGCAGGCGTTCGTCACCGCGCTCATGCTCTCCACGCTGCAGGGCCTCCCCCCCCACCAGCTCTCCGCCTACGACGACCTCTCCGCCACCCTCTCCTTCCGCCAGCCCTCCTCCGCGCCTTCCGATCCCTCCGCGCTCGAGGTCCCCCTGGTGCGCGGGTCGCCCTTCCTGACGTTCATATTCCCCCCGGGCGGCCCCCCCGCGACGCCCATGCTGACGACGATCCACGCCATCACGGGAGTGGAGGGCAGCAGCGACAGCACCAAGTACCGTGTCGCGCTCAACAACGGCCAGGTCAGCCCTCCGCGCCATCCGCGCCCCTTTGCCACCCAGCGCCTGCCGCCGTCCCCCCCTCCTCTTCTAGAATTAGCCCCATTCCCGTGTCTCGCTCGCCATAATTCTTACGATTTCCCCCCTCCACTTGCTCACTCCCCATACTCACCTCCTCGTTCCGCGCGTTTCCCCCCCAATCCCCTGCCCCTACACCAGACGTGGCTGGTGTACCTGTCGTCGCCACTGGCGATGCGGCAGGACGGGGCAGCGCTGGTGGCGGACGCGCCCTTCACGGGGACCATGCGCGTGGCGCTGCTGCCCGGGACCTCCCCGCAGGACGAGGAGGCGGTGCTGGACGCGCACGTGCCCACGGTGCCGCTGGGGGGCAGCGCGCAGGTGGGCGAGTTCTCCATCGAGTACACCTGGCGCACCCAGCACTGGCGTGATCTGCCTGACGGTGACACCGAGGCGCCGCTGCTCATGCTCTCGCTGCCAAGTGAGTAGCGCCGGCGCTGCTGTGCTGCAATGTCACCTGCAAAACCGTTGCAAGCGCCATGATGTCTTGACAGCAATCCTTCATCGCCCTCATCGTCAAACTAACCCGCCTCTCCCTTGTTCCTTCCCTTCCCCCTCTTCCCTCGTTCTCCCCCATGAGCAGTGCACCGGCGCATGGAAGTGAGCGCGCACAGCCCCTCCCTTGCCTCCGCCCTCCGCCGTCGCCACAACGGTTCCCCTTCCCGCGTCATGGGCGCCCTCCGCGGCCACCACAACCCCGCCTCTGCCCACCCCTCCATTGCACGAGGCAGTGCACGGGGGTCGTCCGTGCGAGCTGCATCGGTGCCAGATGCATCAGTGCTGGCCTACCCCACCATCGACGGCCAGGCGGTGGGCATGCAGGGGGCCGTGTGGCGCCTCAACGTGCCCAATCGCCCGTCCACGTGGGAAGCGGGGCCCCTCACGTCCGACGCACAGCTGCTGGACGAGCTCAGGGCCAGCCTGAAGCAGGATGTGGCAGCGCTGCCGCCCCTCTCCTCCACCTCCACCTACTCCTTCGGCAAGGCAGCTGCGCGTGCCGCCCGCCTGGCACTCATTGCGAAACAGGTGGAGGACGATGACAGCCTGGCCGCCGTGCTGCCGCCCCTGCGAACCGCGCTCTCCGCGTGGCTGGATGGCACCTTCCCCGGTAACCGCCTGCTGTATGACCCCACGTGGGGCGGCGTGGTGAGTGAGGCGGGGTCGCTTGACCAGGGGGCGGAATTTGGGGCGGGCATGTACAACGACCACCACTTCCACTACGGCTACTTCATCTACGCCGCTGCCACCGTTGCCGAGTTTGATTCTGCATGGCGCGACCAGTACGGTGTGGCGCTCAAGGACCTCATGGCGGACTACATGTCGCCGGAGCGTACCGCGGCATTCCCAAGGCTGCGGCACTTCGATGCGTACGCGCTGCACTCGTGGGCCAGCGGGCTGTTTGAATTCGGCGACGGGCGCAACCAGGAGAGCTTTAGCGAGGCGGTCAATGCATACTACGCGGGGGCGCTGCTGGCATCCGTGTTGGGCGACCAGCCGCTCGCCACGCTGGGCGCCACACTCGCAGCCGTGGAGGCCCTCGCCGAGCAGACGCTCATGCACGTGCCGCTCGCCTCCTCCAACCCGGACCCCTCCCTCACACCCGGCTACGAGGCGGTGTTTGCAGACGCCAACCGTGTGGTGGGCGTGCTGTGGTCCACCAAGCGTGACGCGGCGCTGTGGTTCGCCCCGCCGGCGGACATGGAGAAGCGCGTGGGCATCCAGGTGCTGCCCGTCTCGCCCTACCTCAAGCACCTCTTCCCCGACCCTGAGTTTGCTAAGCAGCTCGTGGAGTGGGCACAACCCGTGCTGAGCGGCGCCGCCACGGACGAGTGGCGTGGCTTTGCGTGGGCGCTGCAGGCGCTGTACGACCCGCAGGGGGCCAGGGCGAACATTGCTGCTCTAGGTGCTTTTGATGATGGCAACTCCAAGACCAACATGCTCTGGTGGCTCGCTTCCAACATGCCATAGCTATGCGAGGTTGCTCATGATGGATTGATGTTCGTGCATGTACAGGATAGGTCACACAAAGCCTTATTCACATGTATAAACATCCCTATTTATACTCATGGTGTTGCTTTGTCATGACCTGCCTCCTGCTGCAATCTTTCCCAAACACAATAGCCATCTCCGGATGCAGCCACTTGGAATTCGGTCTCGTTGGGAGCCAAGTCCCCTATGTCATAGCGTGAGCCTATCTTAACAACCAGCCTGCCGTCTATGTCAGCTAGATAGAGGTCGTCATCGGCTGTGATGATGCTGCACTTGCTCTTGGAGTGCACCCCACTGCGCTTCCTGATGGCCAGCAACGCGTTGATGGCCTCTTTGTGGCCCCACTCGTAGTAATGGTCGTAAAACTGCAGCACACGGCGAATCATTGCGTCAGGCCATTAGTTCTTTCCACCTTGTCTAAATACACGTTGCTGTGGTACCTTGAGATGGGGTACTCACCACGCAAGGGATGCCTGGGTGCGTGAGGATATATGCATAGCCCTGCATCACTTTGTCTTGGGGGAAGGGCCAGTGGCCCTGCGTGGAGCCGGTGTCATGGTTGTCAATGAACGTCACTGCTCGACTGGGCCAGTACCCAATCATCCCTGCACACCACATTCACACGGTTAGAGACTCATCCAGAATGGTAAAAATCAGGATATTTTCAGATGCACATTCAGCAGCAATACCTCTCTTACAGCCACTCACCAGCAGGCTTGTTGTTGGGGTCTCGGAGGCGCCACAGCTCGCCTTGAACGGCCTCCTGCAGGATGCCTTTGGTGGTGAAGTCGAAGGCGGTGGAGCGGCCGTCAGTGGCGTCCACCCAGTCCACCAGCTGCTGCCGGTGGCTGTCCTGGTTGTAGTCCGGCTTCTCGCCGTCGTAGTTCATCGTCGTCCACAGCTCCCCCACGGAGAACGCGGGCGACGTCGCGTCGCAGTACTTCCCCACGAACTCTCCCGCGAATCCTTTCGCGAAGTCGAACCGCCAGCCGTCGAAGCCGACGTCGTTCTTGAGCCACAGCATCCACTCCGTCAGCTCGCGCTGCACGCGCTCGTTCGTGTGGTCGATGTCAGGAGCTGCCGGGAAATCCTCGCCAGTGTCAGGACGGCCATGGCCGCCAAAGGGCGAGTCGCCCTGCGTGATGGCCCAAGGACCCCAATCGAGGCGATCGTCGGGCGTGCCGCCCTCGAAGATGGTCCAGCAGCCGTGCTCGTCCTGCTTGTCGCCGCACCGGTGGTTGATCACGATGTCCGCGATGCATCTCACGCCCGCTCCGTGAAATCGTCCGATCAGTTCCTTCAGTTCTTCCTCGCTCCCGTAATGGGACTCGTCGAGGTTGTACAGCTGGCTCGGCATGTATCCTGCAGGTAGGTATATCGGGTGTGAGATGCTTCGCGAAGCGCCAGCTTAGTAGCCTTGGGGTGACCGTTCGCAGTGTTTTCGCTATTTGCTCACCTTGGGGAGCCACTGATTTGCTGGGCGGCGGTAGCCAGACGTCCGTAATTCCCGCTGCGGAGAGCTCTCCTGGCAGGTCCATGAGTCGTTGGTACCATCCTTCGTTGCAGTTGCACGATTCCCAGTTGAATCCCTGAGAATGACGCGGAAATGAAGTTAGAGAAACGACTGCGGAAGCGTTTTTCAACGAGCAACAGGCGATGCTTTCAATTTATCCGACCTGAAAAATGACTACTTCTGTCGGCTTGACATCAATCTGGTCAGAGCGTTCAACACTTTCAGATGGTGAGGCGACTTCCTCCTTGCCGGTGCTGATGGCTGCCATGACTGGACTTGCGTTCTTTTGGAATTGCACGGAATAGCGGCCACCCAGATTTAGTGGCGGGATGGCCCACGTAAGACTGTGGAAGCCATGGAAGTGAATTCGTGAGTGCTGGGCAAGAAACTCGTAATCTTCTAGAGACGAATTTGAGGATTTTATGTGCTAGAGTCAGGTCAGGTGCACTGAGTACATCTCCGAGCTGGTCTCAAAATTGCCGCGACTCGACCAACCCAATGTAGTTGAAATAAGCGAGGATCCCAGCCCAGTCACGGGGACTGGCGCCCGCGCCGACGAATATAGCTTTGTTGGGAGTGTTGACTTGACGGTGGACCGTGACGATCTGGCAGCTCCGACATCTGTAAATGCGCTGGACGTGCCACGTGGGTGTGAGCGAGGTGAATGTCGGCTCAGTTGACGAAACTCGAACATCTTTCCGTATCCAAATTCGCAAGTTTCGCACAAATCCCCTTTTCCCATATTCCGCACTCGCAACATTCCCCACCAGCCACAATCCACCTTCCCCCTATCCGCACCATTTGCGCGCCCATTCCTGTCGCAACGCGCGCCGCACTTACCGCTCGCGTGCAATGGCAGGCACCCCGCCGCCGCTGCACCCGGCGCTGGAGCCGATAGCGTTCATGCTGGGTCGATGGCGTGGCGAGGGCGAGGGCGGTTACCCGACCATCAACTCGTTTAGATATGTTGAGGAAATCACCCTCACGCATGCCGGCAAGGTGAGCACCGTCGCACGCTGCCTCGCTCCCCAGACCCGGCCTAGCTTAATGTCGTGCCGTGCTATCGCACCCATACCTCCCACCGCCCTCTGCCTCCGTTTCCGCATCTGAGTGTCCCGCCTACCCCGCTCCGCGCATCCCTTCCGCGTCTCCCGCTGCAGCCGGCGATGGCGTACGCGCAGAAGACGTGGCGCGCGGAGTCGGGCGAGCCGATGCACGCGGAGAGCGGGTTCTGGCGGCCCAAGCCGGACGGCACCCTAGAGATCGTGATCGCTCAGAGCACAGGGCTTGCTGAAGTGCAGGTGGGCTGCCGCATTGCCGACAGCTTTCAAGCCCCCGCTTTGGTCGGTCTCCTGTTTACCACTGTCTGAAGAATAGCCGGCGGTTCGCTACTGGAGTTTGTCCATCTTTTCCTCCAAATGTCCTACTTCCCCAACACCCCTTCCTCCTACTGCCTCCCTTGATCGCGTGCAGAAGGGCAGGTATGACGCGGAGGCCAAGACAATCGCTGTGGAGAGCGAGCTCGTTGGCAACGCCACCAAGGTGCACCGCCGCTGCCTCTTCACCCATCCCCATCCATCTCCACCACAGCACCCCACTGTCTTGCTCACTATCTCCCAAGCATTTTCTTGCCTTCCTCGCCCCTCTCGCTTTCCCCATCCCCATTCTTCATCCCGTCGACCTCACCTCCCCTCTCCACGTCTGCTACGCCCATGACCCCCTTCACTACCATGCGCTATCATGCCTCCTCTTCCCGCGCCTCCCCTCATGCGCGTGCAACGGAGGGCAGGTGCGGCGCATAGTGAGGCACTTTAAGCTGGAGGGCGAGGGCACGTTGGCGTACACAGTGGACATGGAGACCACCTCGCAGCCCATGCAGAAGCACCTCGATGCCCGCCTCAAGCGCCTTGATTGACTCAACGCCAGGAGCTCACTGGACCCTGTTTGAGTAGTTTTTTTGCAGAATCGTTTTGTTTCTGCACCCGCTATGATGTGTATATGTCCAGCCCATACCAGTACCAGTATACTGTAGGAGCCTGTACCCTGCCAGTTGTGAAAGGAGAATAAATTTATTGCGAGCCTGTCAACATCATTGCCATGGCAGTGCAGTCATGCAAAGCTCTCATCCTCCACATCAAACCCTGCACCCGTCCACTGCCCATCCCCTCCCGCCTTGTTTCCCCCCTTGGCAACCAAGCCCCTCCCCCGCCCCCTGCCTCTCCCACGGCTTATGGACAGTCTCACTGCTGGTGCTCCACCCCCATCCGCTCCTTTACTGCCATTTGCTGCTGCTGCTGCTGTGGCGCCAGAGCTACCTTCCTGCCCTTGGCTCTGCGAGTCCCCCTCTGTCCCCTGGGCTTTGGGGGTGGTGGCTGGAGCATCAGCTGTTGATGCAGGCACCGTGCTGTTGGCGGCGTCTGCAGGGGCAGCTGATGGGGTGCACGTGCCCTGGGCAGACGCAGGTGCTTCCCTGCCTTGGGCTGCTGGATCAGCATTTGATGTCTGCAGATATGAACCAACAACACCAGGGAACACGGCTTTTGACTAGTGTAATAGAAAATGTGATGAGCAACGACGAGCAGAAAGCAGACCGGCATACACATGGAAGGGTAGAGAGCAAGGTGGCGGGGGAACGAAGGGAGGAGGGCGGAGAGGCTCACATAGACGGGGAGGACGCCGTGGGGGGCGATCTTGGCGCGCAGGCCCTGAATGGCCTCCAGTGCTGGGCCCCTCATCTCGGGGTTGAGTGCGTCCAGCTTGTGAGTCAGCGCCTCAAGCCGCTCGTACTGCTGCAGCGCGTTCTGCTGCACCTGGTGATGTGTGACGCGTGCACGAGGGTGGCGGGGACAGCGGCACATTGCGGCAGTGGATGCAGCACGGGGGATGCAGGTGGGGGAATGAGGACAGGCAGGCTGATTACAGTGGATATCCGCCATGAGTGCATTGAACGTGGAATGGAGTCATGATGGAAATGAATCCCGTGGCACGAGGGGCCTTACCATCATCCTGAGGTCATCACACAGCTGCTGCTTCTTCTGCTCCTCTTCCTCCACCAGCTTCGCCGCAGCCTCCCATACCTGCATGCACCCACAGGCCACAACTCCAAGATCAGCTGGCCAGACGTGTCCCTAACACTTCAAGATACTGTGAGAAACAGATTGGCGGTTCCTCAACCAGCTGCATGCCCTTCCCCGTCAACCCACAGCAGTCCCCCCCCCACCTTCTTGGCCTGCTCCTCCTTCTTGCGCAGCAGCCTGGCCTTCTCCGTGCTCTGCTCGATCTTCTGGCGCAGCAGCTCCATGCCCGCCTTCTTGGACCCCGACGTGAGCTTCACCTCCAGGTGCAGCGCCTCCAGCTCTTTCTCTACTGCCTGGATCTTCGCGTAGTTGTCCTGGATGATCCTGATACCCCCCGCCGCCACCACCACACACACACGCGCGGACGTTAGCATGTGAACCGCCACGAGCATGGTCAATTCGGGGCATGAGAAGAGGTTCCGACTGCTTGGAGGGATTAGTGCGGATGGCTGGGATGGAAAGGATGCTTACTTTCTTAATGTCGCTTCTTTCTCTGCCAAGACCTGCATGTGCGGTGGGGGATTTTGTGGTATGTCAGTTTGCGGTATGTCAGAAAGCATTCAGGGGCAAAACGCATCAAACGAGGCAGTGAGAAGCCGACCTTCTCTGTGTACGCGATAACAGGGATTTCCCCGGCCACGCCATCGACTGTTTCTGCGACAAGCTTGCTGGAATCCATCTTATCCGGAAGCGCCACTGCCGCGCTCGAGGCTTCCGTGGCCATTCCTTTTAATCGCTACGCTAGCTTCGCGAGTAAGGTATGTTCGAGGCAATGAGAAGGGTAGGGCAATAAGGGCCCGTGGCCTGCTCTAGGGAGTGCGATCAAGGCAATGGGGCATCAAATGTTCGACGTTGCCCTACAAAATGCACGCCGACGGTTGCCTTTCATTGGGGAAACTTTAGATGGTGTCGATCTCGCGAGATTCACGGTGGGGTAAGTGAAGCAAGTTGCTGTGAGCATTCTCAAACATCTATGCAGATCGTGGCTTTTTTTGTGAGGAAAACACACATGCCATAGTGTAGGCCAACGAAGGAGCTGAATTGCCGCTGGACTGGACTGAAATACACTACGATTTTTCAATGCCAAACCAGCACATCTTATATATTGTACTTAGCTTCATAGAATTAGTCACATCCATGTTTGTCAACATCCATGTTCAGTTTCACTCACAGGAGACTCCCTAAAATCCAGGAAATCGCATTTGTCAGTATGTGTGCCTACATTTCAAATATTCCCTTCACATATACCGCTCCTTTCTCCATAATCTGCAATTCCCGTCGCAACCGGTCAATGATTTCATCATCCCCTTGAAAAGTAATGTCGGTCACCTTTTCGTCGTCAGAAGTCACCATCTTAACCTGCATCTGCTCCGTGCGACTAGATTTTGTCCAGTAATAAACACCTCTGCAGCAAGCCCCACCAAAAACAAAAATAAAGGAATCAAATTAAACAAGCCGGAATTCGCGCTAAGACTGGAGCAGAGGCAGTTGAAATGCAAATGCATATGGAAAATACAAACAGAAGCTGAATAACTTGGAAAAGGAGTAAGAGAGAAGAGGGTGCTTACGCAAGGGGTGAGATGCCGATCATTGAATACCACCATTCACCAATCTCCGGGTTTGTAATGGTGAGCACAAGAGCCACACTTGCAAGGCTCAGAGCTGTGCAGAACACAAGAAATGCTGCCTGGCTGCGGCTAGGCTCCAATTTCCCCTCAAATCTGCAGAAATTGGATTTCATACTTGTTGAATGGAAGACTAGGGAGAAGAGCACTACCCAACATAGCACCTTGGATTTGCGCAATAACTATAGCACATGTTTACATGTTTGTTAGTAAAGTTATTCAAACTGCTTTTGGACAACAAGCTGGTTATGTACAGGCATTCTGCATCACATTGCACGCCTACGAGAGGAAGTAGTAAGAACTTACATGACGGTATCCTTCATGTCGATGACCTTGTAGTTGTTGCGTTGGAGGAACGCTGTCACCTCACCGGCCAAGACCGACAGAGGCTTCGCACCAGGCTCCGCAGGACCCGGCACCTCAAACGTCTTTCGCACAATCTGCCAAGCGAAGCACGCGACACTGATTCATCATCTCCTGATGCGCATCCCAGTCGTCAACGGCATATGACAGGTGGCATTGGTATAGCAGGTGCTTAGTGGACGAAACCTAAGAAAAGAGTAGGTCAACCTTGGATTTTGTAGCGCGTTTGATGAGCGAATAAAGGCCAGGAAAGGAGATTATGAAGAGACCGAGGGATGCGTAGTAGCTTGCTGGAGAATACGATGACGAAAACTCCTCAGCCAACGCGGGGAACGCGGTCAGGCATTGCAGCAGAAACGGTGCAGATATCATGAAGGGAAGCGAGCCTAAGGTGTCATCAGCTTCGCGCATCAGTCTAGTGGATGAAACGGGAGCGGGTCGACTAGAAACGGCATGACCGATGGCTTCTGGCCGACTGTCGTTCGTCAGCGAGCACACGACTGGCCGTGATGAAGAATGGCGTGCAACTGACCCGAATCGCGAAACACTAAAACGGGGAGTCGGAGTCGACAGCGTCTTTTGCAATATTGTAGCTCTAATCTGCGTCATAGTGGGCGTCGAGGCGGTTGCTACAAGAGACGCCATGATACAATCCACTGAGTGACCGACAATCCACTCGTTAAGGTGACTGGCGCGAAGCTAAAAATCCCTGTGAAGCGAATGGGAAATTGGGTTCTTGCATAGACTCCAGAAACGAATTTACGTGGATGTGGAAGGGAATTGGGGAAGAGGAAGTGACGGAGCATCCCTCATGGAAGAGAAAGGTCTGAATGCGCAAGCCACGTAATCTGGAAGCACAAAAAATGATCGAAGAATGTGCCACGTTGACAGCTTAGATACGCGATAACAGCAAGGTTCCTTCCCTCCGTACTAAACGTAGTCACCAACCAAACTTGTTCGCTTAATAAGATCCAACAGCAATCTCATGGGCCCACTTTCGGCCAGAAAATATAGGCTAGACTCTTGCTCGTTATACGGTTACCCATCCGGTAGTAAACAAAAGCCTTTCCCCAACCTGTAGTTCAGTCGTGAAACTTGCTATGCACCCTAAGAACTGGCATTGGCACTAGCACACATCCTGCAGAACACGGCAGATATGCTAGCTTAGAGCATGGTAGTGTAACTTGGCGCTATTGGTGAGTAGAAAGCAGAGCTCACCTTGGTACAGACATAAATATAGTGCACATTCCCACCTTCCAAGTCTTCGCCATTGGAGACCCATCGCCCATTGCTCCGTAATTTCATAGGCACTAGGGACCACGCCGGACATACCTCTGCAGTTGCTCCAGGCCTTGCTGCGGAAACGTACAGGTAAGATTCATGTTGAATCATTACGGTCCAGTAAAGCTTCTATTCGTAGCCAGCTGAAAGCAAAATAGCGAAACACTCTTACGCAAGGCATGAACCTTGACGGTCCATTTCAGGCTGTCGACATGCAGGTGTAACATGCGTACTTGCGGATCACCGTATGTAATCTGCATTGGACATGAAACTTACATGAGATGAGAGGAGAAATCTTGTTACCTCAGAGATTATAAGCACCTTACCAGAAGAAACTTGCCACCGGGTTTCAACACTCTGCAAAAAAAATAAGCCACACTGTTGTCAGACATACTGTGAAGTTCAAAACTAGACTGTGCTCTGATGTCACTTTCTGCGCACCTGCAGACTTCACTTAGCATGGCAGATGCATTTTCCACTGAATCGTTACCACACTGCGAAAAGTCTCAGCTAACGAGAAATAAGGACGTGGGTAAGAAATTGAAATGAAAAAGGCGCAGGGTTAGGGAAGGTGCTGACCAGGATGGCATCCAGTGTCCCTGCAAGACAAAGGAACAGTTAGCCACGAAGAGGGTCTGGCGCACTACGAGAAAACTAAGAAGAAGGGGAGAACGTTTTCAAGCTCCAGCCTTACCTTTGTCAAGAACCACATCAAAAGAAGACTCGTCAAACCCCATGGAACAGACATTCATCGTGTCATCTGGAGCAAGTGGGACCTGTCAGGATCATCTTCCGAACAGAGAGACGGAGAGAACAGCTGCAATTGATGGGGTTTATAGTACCAGAGAACAGAGTACTTGATCAACTGACATTTTAGCTGCGGGATGGTTGAGTTCCTCTTCTTCATGTAGTCCACCACTACCTGCACAATTGTAATCGGCGCCGTTGGGAAAGCCATAATAAACTCCGAAAGGCGTGCTAGGCAGGAAAGACTGGCATCTTGAGGAACACTCACTGAGGAGATGTCAATGTTCCAAATGTCTTGGTATCCATTCTGGACCATATCCTCTGAGAGAACTGCTCGACCAAGAAAATCGACAAGTTCCGTGCAATCTCCGTGAGTCGGTTACACGAGACCACGGATCGATCCTGAGCATGTATATGGAACTGAAGGGGAACTGACCTGCATTGCCGCATCCCACCATGAGCACCTTGGACGCTTTGTCCATGTAAATATCAAATATGGGAGCCAAGGCTGTGTACTGTTGGTACCAATCAAACGTCTTTTCAGGGCCCTCCTTCTCATATCGTGCATCCCAGTAAGGCGCGTCTCCATACGACGGTGTTGAATATTCACCCATCAGGAGCAAAAGGTCGAAGGTCCAATTGAACCACGGCTCCCCCGCCTTCGCTTGTAAGACGCGTGTTTCGTGGAAGGGATATATTCGCGAACGCAGAGCGATGGGGTGCTACTCGACGCACGCTTCCATGGGCTAAGCGGACGAGAGTTGCGTTCTGCGAAGAGAGACTGGCGGCAACAAGCATTGCCCTTTCAGTGCTGCTGATTTTGGCATCCGCGAAGGCATTGGAATCTCCATGCTTGTCTAGTTTGTTTCTTCATTCCATCCCCGCTGTTACGGGCTCCGCAAAAGCACTTACAAAAAGGCAGTTGATTTGTACAATTCATTCGAAGAGTCATCCAACTTGACTGTGAATTGACAATTGCTGTTTTTTTTTTTAACAATTTCCCAACACCAGATTTCGTGCTCCAGAATGACATGAACGAAGCGTTCCGCGCACTCCTCGCGTTCTCTCAGGCACGGAGCAACTTTGCGCGTAGGGATTTGTAGTACGCATCCACGTGCAATGGCTGCGCGCGGCGTGCAGGAGTACGTAGCGGCGGTGAGCCGCGCGGTAGACGCTAAGGACGGGGAGGCGCTGGCTTCGTTGTTGAGGGTGTTGCGGCCAGGCTACCCCGAAGCCGTCGCCAGTGGGCTCGACCACGTGCGGGTACGCGTTGAGGCACCAAAACAGCTTCGTTCTCTGAGAGAAAATTTCAGCTTTTAACGACATTTCCAAGCCCGCCATGGCTAATCTTCGCACCTCCCCTTGCGCGGTCCCCTGTCGCTCGCGTGCTCCGCAGGACATGGCGCGTTTGCTCAGCCGAGTGCCGGAGAGGCTGGGCGAGATGCTCCTGCCGTTGATGCAGGCCATGGCCGCAATCCAACGGCACCAATTCACAGACGCGTTCGGGGAGATGCTGCAGGCCGCTAAGTAATGCATCGTCCGTGGCAGTGCGCTATTCCCCCACCTGCTCATCTACTGTTGATCCATGACTGCCATACATACCCCGCAGAATTCGGGCCATGCTTCCTGCGCCACCTATCTCTTCTCCTCTTCCCAACTTCCGCCTCCCCCCTGCTCATCTCATAGCCCTGTCTCCCCGCCGTGCCCCTCCCCCCCGCGCGCGCCAGTCTGTTTCTACCGGTGCTGCGCAACTGGGAGGGCACGTGGGCGCTGCCCCCGCTGCACGCGGTGGTGCACGACCTCCGCGTGCTGGCGGAGAAGGTCAGGCGCGCGCATCGATAGGGGCGAAGGGGAGGGGGGGAGGAGGGGATGATGGGGGTGATGGGGCATGATGGGTTTGGTAACGCTCACAGCACTGTGTTTTGATTCCCGTAATGGTTGCTGCCAGGCAGCCATGACTGGACGGCATGCTGGCGTAACTCTGCCTGCCTTTGCATGGTGATTGGCGTGGCATGGCATGGCATGGCATGGCAGGGGAGCAGGCGGACATGGAGCAGAGGGCAGCGGGCAAGTCACCGGATAAGCTCAAGGCAGCGGCGTCGTTCCTCATGAAGGTCTTCGGCGCCATCGCTGTGAGTCGAGTCTCTGCCATGCGTGTCTTCACTCATTGCTGCAGGTGGTCGATCAAGGTTGGTGATTGATGGCCACTGCTGTCTCTGCACTGCAGCCTCTTGTCAGCCGCACAGCACCCTGTCACCTAAGACTTTGCAACAGCATTGCAGAAAAAGACGGTAGAGCTGCCATTTTTTCTCTCTCTTTCCTTACCCATGGCATTTCCTCCCCTCCGTGGCATGGCAGGGCAAGGGTCCTAAGAAGGTGGGGTCGCTCTATGTGGCGTGTCAACTCTTCAAGATCTACTTTAAGGTGACTCCCTCCCTCCCGCATCCTCTCCATCCCATGCCTCTCAGTTTTCCTCCTTCTCCCTCGGCCCCTAATTCTCTCACATGCGCTCTACTTCTCCTCCCACTATTGCTCACTGCGCTGTGCCACACCTGTCTCTTCTCCTTGTGTGCATGTGTTTCTGAGTTTGTATGCATGTGTGTGAGTGAGTGTGTGTGGTGCATGTGTGTGTGCGTGCGTGTACATGTGTGTGTTGGTGCGTGTACATGTGTGTGTCGGTGCATGTGCATGTGCATGTGCGCGTGTGTGGGCGTGCGTGTGCGTGTGTGGGCGTGCACCAGCTGGGGACGTTGAATCTGAGCAAGAGCATCATCCGTGTGATAGACTCCTCCAAGGGCTTCGATGACTACCCAGCCAGAGACCAGGTCAGAACAGACGCGGGCAGGTGAGCGCAGGTGAACGCAGGTGAGGGCAGGTAAGGACAAGTGAGGGCAGGTGAGCAGATGAGGGGAGGTAAGGGCAAGTGAGGGCAGGTGAGGGGCAGGTGAGACGTGGAGCAGTAAAGTAGCAGCACTGTATCAGTATTTGGAAACCATTGCATTTCCGGTTGGTTGCTCACGTCCTCCCAACCCTCATCCATGCGCCCGCTCTCGGCCCATGTCCTGCACTCGCCCCTCCCTGCTGTGTCTCTCCGCCCCTGCACTCCTCACGTGCACTCCCCACCTGCGCTGTGCTCCCCACGTGCACTCCCCACGTGCGCTCCCCACCTGTGCTGCGCTCCCCACATGCGACCAGGTGACCTACAAGTACTACACGGGCCGTCTGGATGTCTTCAACGATGCCTTCCTGCTCGTATGTGCCCTCACCTGTACCACGCCTCCATTCAGCCGCTCTAGCACACCCCACCACACCACGTTTCTCCCACCACTTACATCCATGCTTCCTCTGGCTCTGCCCAGGCACGCACATGCTCTGCCATTACCACCACCATACCATCCCCACCACCATACCATCCCCACCACCATACCATCCCCACCACCATACCATCCCCACCACCATACCATCCCCACCACTATGCAATCCCCACCACTATACCATCCCCACCACCATACCATCCCCACCACCATACAATCCCCACCACTATACCATCCCCACCACCATACCATCCCCACCACCATACCATCCCCACCACTATACAATCCCCACCACCATACCATCCCCACCACCCATGCCGTCCCAACTGCCCATCCACCCCCACCACCCGTGCCATGTACTTGCAGGCAGATGAGAAGCTTGGCTTTGCCTTGAGGCGCTGCCATCGCTCCAGACCATCCAACATACGGTCTGCACTTCGCTCTCCCCGCGTTTCTCCTCCCTTCAATTTCCGTCTCTCGTCCTCCTCTCCTTTATCCCTTCTCCCTCCTCCCTCCTCCATCTTCCCTCTTCCCGCTTCACTGCCTTCGCGCTTGCTCCCTTCCACTGCCCGTGCTTCTCCCTTCACCACCCCACCATCCCCCATCGCTCCTGTATCTGTACACGCAATCGCTCTGCTTCTACCCATGCCATCTCCATTACCCACTCGTTCCTTGGCCCTTCATGTTCCCTTCACTTGTTGCGCACCTGCCCCCCAAAACCCTCCCCTTCCTGCACCCCCCTCACGCAGGCGCATTCTGCGCTATCTCATTCCAGTGCGCCTGTCGCTGGGCCACCTGCCCTCGCCTGAGCTGCTCCGCAACCACCACCTGCAAGAGGTGCTCCCCTACCCGCCACCCCTCGCCCTCCGTTCCCTCACTACTCGATATTTTCTGCTCTGCTCTCTCTGCTGCTGCTCGTTTCGCCTTCCTTTACCTTCCGCCCACCCCTGTGCTTGTCCTCCGCATGCTCCCGTTTTCGTTCCCTGTCATGTCACTTTGAATTCGTGTCCATCCCTCAAGTTTGTATCACTTGCCTCATGGCTGCATGGCATGGCATGGCATGGCACATGGCACATGGCATGGGAGCAGTATGAGGGAATCGTGCAGGCCATGCGAACAGGCGATGTGCGGCTGCTGAGAGACACACTCAGTGCCAATGAGGACAGGTGCGCTTCCCTGCACTGCCTTGCACACCCACGCACTGCCATCCTCGTCACCTCATCGCATCATTCCTCCCACCTCCTTGGCCACGCCGCTCCCTGACCCACGCCACGCTTACCGTCGTTCCCTGCTGTGCCATGTTCCCCTGCTCCTCGCATCCACTTTCACTCATCATGCCGCTCCATCGCTCGCACCCACATGAACCACCAATCCCTTCCCACTCTCACACCTGTGTATGTCCCCCACCACCACGGACCTCTCTCCATGCATGCCATGGCACAGGTTCCTACGCGCGGGGGTGTATCTGCTGCTGGAGAAGCTAGAGCTCCATGTTTACCGCCGCCTCATCAGAAAAATGTACCACACACTTGCCATGCCATGATGCTATTGCCACGCCGCACACACCATGCATCATCCCCTCCCTGTTCTAGTATTGCTGTCATGCCCAGCCATGTCCCATTCATCATGTCAGCTCCCTTTGTTTCCCCATCTGCCATCCTTATCACAACCTCACTCCTGCCAGCACCAACCCCATCACCCCTACCTTACCCTCCCTATCCTTCTCCCCTTACCCCTCCACCCCTCCTCCCCCTTTCCAGCCACGTGCTACAGCGAGCCAAGGACCCGGCGCGAGCGCACCAGGTGCGGCTGGAGGTGGTGGTGCGGGCGCTGGCGGGGCGGGGGGTGGCGGTGGACGTGGACGAGCTGGAGGGGCTGGTGGCCACGCTCATAGCGCTGGGCTTCGTCAAGGGGTACCTGTCGCACAAGAGCAAGGTCGTTGTTCTCAGCAAGCAGGACCCCTTCCCCCGCCTCACCGGCCGCGTGCTGCTCTGACCCGCGCTGGATGGTCCTCTCTGTTCCTTGGGGATGTGTCTTGTTGGATGTGGTTTATGCGCACTTGTGTTTTGTGTAGCATTATGCCAAGGATTATTGAGCAGCTAATGGGAACTTATGTTTAAAAATACTACAACAGACAGAAATATAGTACAAGAGGGTGCACATCACAAATACGGTAGCCACCAAGCCAGCAGCGCTAGAACTTGGTCCATTTCCGCAGCGCCTCCTTCTGGGCAGCACTGGAGTGCGCCGAGTCCCGCCCCCCCTGCACGCGCCTCAGCTCCTCCCGGGCGGCAGCCAGCTTGCGGTGGACGGCGGCCAGTGTCACCTTGTCGTGTGCGTGGCGCGCAGCCATCTCCTCGTACCGCCCCACCCGCGCCCGCACCTCCCTCACCCGCTCCTCCTGCTGCATCAGCTCCCGCCGCTCCTCCACCCGCCCCTTCCCTCCTGCCCCTAGCATAGCACTGGCAGCTGCTGGTGCATTGGCCCCTCGAACTCCTCCCCGGCCCACTCCTCCCATTCTCTCGCTCTGGCTCCCCCCGCCCCCGGCAGACTCACTCCCCGATTCCCTCCTCCCATTCCCTCCTCTTTGCACTCTCCTGGCCCCATCACCCGCTTCCTTCTCTCTGCCGCCCAAGTGCACGTTGATAAAATCAAACACGTCTCCCCTCCTCCCGCCCTCCTCCTCCTCCGCCGCCGCTGCTGCAGCCTCTCTCTCAGCGGCTGCCTTCTTCCGGTTCCTCGCCCTCTCCCCTCCCCGACTCTTCTTCCTCTTCTTCCCCCCTTCCTCCCCACCACCCGCACTCCCATCCACCGCCCCACCCTTACCATCCTCCCCCGCCCCCAGCCCAGCACCTCCCACCGCACCACCCTTCGCCCCTCGCCTCTCCTTCCCTAGCCGCACCCCAACAGGGGAGGTGATGCCCCCACCGTCTCTGCCGAGCCCGGCACCGCGTTGGAAGCCCATGCGAGCCATGAGCCGCGATGCCACACCGCGTGTGTGCTGCTCCCACGCTGCAAACGCCACCGTCTCGCTCTGAGGGCCCGCTGCCGCTGCTGCGTGCGCATGCTGCAGGGAGGCTGCGAGAGATGCTGCTGCTGCAAAGGGGGACATGGAGGAGGGAGGATCGCCAGCAGCAGCAGCGCCATCGTTTTCGTCATCGGATTCATACCCCTCTCCACTCTCCTCACTGCTGCTGCTGCTGCTGCTTTCACTTGCAGACGCACCGAGCCCTATCGCCCGTTCTTCCACTGAACCCGGGACTAAAGGAGGGGCTGTCTCAGCGGCACGGGGGAGGGAGTGGAGGAAGGAGAGGGGGACGATGCAGGAGAGGGGCAGAGAGGAGGAGGAGGCATCGCGCACGAGAGTGACCATGCAGGTGCAGGCGCACGTGGGCAGGTGGACAGCTTCTGATGCCCGTGCTGCTGATGCTGATGCTCCTGGACACGTGGCATGATGTGATTGGAGCTCTGCTGGCTCCCAGAGGCGGGTGAGAGCGTGGGCAAGCGGGGCGGGAGGGGCCGCAACGAGGAGCGAGGAGCCGGGAGGGAGGGAGAGCGAGCAGGGGGGAGGGGGGAGGGCGCGGAGGGAGGAGAGGGGGAGGAGGCGGCCGTGGGAGTGACGGCAGCGATGGTGGAAGTGACAGGTGCGGGAGAGGAAGAAGCGGCACAGCTGGTGCGCACGGGTCGTGGGGTACAGGAACCCCACCCGCACCAGTCGTTGCCCTCCCCGCCTGCTGCTCCTCCCCCCCCCTCTCCTCCGCCTGTCCCCATCTCTTCCTTCCTCCGCCCTCCCCTCCCACTCCGCCTGTTTCCCTTGACCCTCTTCATCTGCCCCTGAAACGTACCCCAACCCCACTCTCTCCTCCCCTCCATCCTCCGCTGCTCCTGCGCCCTCACTCCCCCTCTCTTCCCCTTCCGCGCCCCCATTGTCTTCCCCAAACTCCCCTCCCCCATTACCCGCAACCTTTTCCACTCCGCCTTCCCCATTGCCCCCATGGTCCTCCGCCCCTTCGAGCGCCAGCACCTCCCCCGCATACCACCTGCCATCCACGTGGCGGAACAGGCACCGCTGTCCCACACTCACCCCCCACTCTCCCCCTTTCCCTCCTTTCCCCTCCTCCCCATCACCCTTCTTTGGCTCTTCCCCTCCTCCGCCTTCCGCGCGCCGTTCCCCTCCGCCCGTTCCGCCTATATCGGTCTGCTCCGCGCTGGCCGTTTCTGCCCCTCGAGCCTCTCCAGTTCCGCCACGAGCGGCCGCATCCGCCGAAAGCCCCTCCGCCAGTCTGTCCGCGCGTCGCAACAGCCGCTGCCGCTTCAGCTGCAGCAGACTCGCCTCGCTCGCGGCCACCGCCTCCGCGAGCTCTCCGCGCACCTCTGCGATCTCCGGGGAGGGTTCCGCCTGAAGCAGCGCGTCCACTTCCGCCAGCGTGGCGCGCTGCGCGGCCAACTGCGCCTCGAGCTCGTCCTCTAGCAGCCGCTCGTCGGCCTCTGTGGCGTCCATGGCGGCGAAACGCGCGCGGAAACAGGGCGGCAGGCGCGGAATTCCGCGTTGTACAGAACCCCCTTCGCTATATAAGGGAGCAGGTGACGAATTGCGTGAGATTTCCTAGTGGCCTGGGGTGGGGGGGTCACGCAAATTGCGTTAGAATACTGGATTGCATATCTTAGAAGTTGGAGAAAGTGATTTCTTCTTACATTTTCAACATAGATACCCCAAATAAATATCAATAACTCTTACGGTACTCCATGTGATTTCTGCTGCTACATTTCCAATATATTAGAATACGAATAACTCTACATAACACATGCCTCTAATTCCTGTGTGCTTTGTTCTGCTTGGCATTTCATCTTCTTCCTGCCTGCCTCTATCTCCGCCTTTATCGCATCCCTCTCTCGCTCCAGCTTCTTCTGCTGGTCGTGCAGTTGTGTGAGTCTGCTTGAAGCGTGTGCAAGCTTTGACCTCAGCTGCTCCCGCTCCGCCTTGAGTTTGGAAGCCTGCGTAAGATAAAAACAATGGAAGAGGGATAGTGAGTGAAGCATGCTTACGGTGGTGTGTGCTCACAATCAGAGGTTTGAGAAGCACAACTAACAGCATGCCAAGGCACAAGTAACCACCTTCCCCTTACATCGGATTCAAGATGCGATAGCAGTTGCTGGCGGCGTTGCCGGCTTCTCTTGGCCGACAAGCGGTTAGAGACCATCCTGCAGCAGCAAAGAGAAATATTCAGAGCCACATTCAAAATCTGCAAACCACGGCAGAGATACGATGCCAATGTGCGGACTACAGTAGGGGAGGGCCCTAAAGTGCTGTATTTGACAGCATGTTAAGTATCTCACCTGCGCTTTCTCCTCTCCTGCAGAATCTGCTCCACTGTCATGCCCTCCATGCATGCCTCCTCCTCCACCCCCCCTTCCTCATCACTCTCCTCTCCTCCCACCCCCCGACTCCCCCACTCCCCTCTCTGCTCCCCTCCTCCCCATTGCTCCATTCCACCCCCCCCTGCCACCGTGCTGCCTGCAGTTCCCCCCATGCGACCTGCCTGCACCGCAAGCATGCCGGAAGGCGCGTGTGGGAGGGGAGGCGGAGGAGCAGGGGCGGGATGGCGGCGTGCAGCGGGGGGGCCGTGCACTGACTTTGATGCAGGCGCAGGCGCAGGCACAGCATGCACGGGGTTGTTGAATGGCACGTTGTACGCGGTGCCGCGCCCCGCACTTGCTGCAGTGCCGCTGCTGCCGCATGACGCGACTCTACCTGACGTCAGCATCATGCGACCACGCGTCGCCTCATTTCCTTGCGATTGCGCCAGCTCCGCCGACGGCACATCCGGCAGGCCAGGGCCAGCCGTGCCGCCCACCAGGCGGCTCAACCACGCGCTGATGTCGTCGCCTTCCCCCAGCAGGCCTCCCTCCGCCACCCCTTGCGTCATCCCTTGCGCCGGCGGCGCGCTCATCCTCTCCGCCACCGCTTCCCATGTCGGCGTGCAGCGCGTCGATAGGTCCGCGTCATTCGCGCCCTCCTGCGGGTTGCGAGGGCCTCCTTCATCCTCCGTGCGCGTCCCCATTCCGCGCCTCACCGCGCTAGAGGCGGAAGGAGCCAAGGTCGAATTCACCAGCTCCGTCGGCGCGCAACGAGCTGGAATCACCACGCTCGGTGCCACCGTGGCTCTCTCTCCGCAATTCACGCCGACATCCCAGTGGTCGATCGGGACGAGCCGCGTGTCCAGCCATGAGCCCGTGTGTTCCGCGGGGACCCTCACGGACTTGGCGGAAATTGTAGAGGGGCCCGCGGACCACTGCGACAGCGGCGGGGATTGCTGCGGAACAGGCGGGGGACAGGGCCGAAGGGGGGGGGGGAGCGGAGGAGGAGCGGACATCCCGGGGAAGTTCGGCGCAAAAGCTGAAGGAGCGGGAGGGTGCATGTAAAGCTGCGCGTTGTAGGGAGACCAGACGACCATCGGTTCGCGGATGCCGAATTGCACGCCGTAATGTGCGGCGTCGCGTGGCATCCATGGGTGGAATAAGCGCGTCGCGCCTCCACCGTGACACGCGGCGACGACAGGCGCGCTTGACAGCTGCGCCGGCTGGGAGCCACGCGCCGAATGTGCGGGCGTTTGAGCAGCGGAGTCGGCACGGGCGGCGGGAAGCCAGCGCGGTGGGTCCACGGAACTGGAGTCTCCTGAGCCGGTCGTCGCCATGAGCATCCTGCGAGACATGGGCATGGACGAGAACGTAATTACTATTATGTTTCGAAGCGATGCTGGTCAAATTGCGTCCGACTGCTCGAAATTGTAAAATTGGCAAATTCTCGACTGAATGTAGTACGAGCCGTTTGTGCGCTACGATGGCTTACTTATGCGCCATGATCTGTTGCACTTGCTGCTCTATCGACCGTTCGATCGCTGCAATCGACTCGTCACGATCGCTGCACCCCATCAGGTCCCTGTCCCGCGTGCCATGAGCCGCCATACCGCTAGTAGCTATGGCGATAACCGATCAACGAGAATCAACACGCTCGACGCGCTATTGGAAACTTTGTGAGCGCGAAACTCAAGAAAGAGAAAAGTAGAAAGACGCAGAGAGTGATCCTTGCTCTGGAGATATGGGAGGCTGAATGTAACTGGATGCGCTCGAGACAACGAGGATTCGTACTATCGGACTTGAGAAGCTAGAGCTCTGAAAAAATATCAGCAAGGCGAAGAAGGAAAATGTATCAGCCTAGATCTTTCCTTGCGTGCTTTATGCTTTGCGCTGGCTGTATTTACAGAAAAGGCGCGTGACGCAGACATTTGTTGAGCGTACTCAAGCTCAGGCCCTGAGGAAGTTGAACGAGATGCGAGAAAACGATTCCGTGACTTGGCAAGTTGATCGAGCATGGGGTGAATTTCACGTGGAACATCGACATGGTGGTTGAGAGTGGCGGCGAAAAAAACATATGTTCGCGAGAGGCAGAACAGCAGCATTCAACGAGCGGCAGCAATAGAACTTCATGCTGTGCTGATCGAGAGGGGAGGAAATCGCAGTCAGGAATTGGGAGGAGGTAGAGAACAGCAGTTGAGCGAGCAAGTCGCGCAATTTGGCGCAGGATTCGCGCGAAAACGGATCATTTCGCAGGCAGCACAGGGAAAAGAGGAAGGAAGAGATTTGGGGTGGAGCGGACGTCAGCCTGATCTTGTCTCGTAGCGTTGCCCAAAATATGTAACTTGTTTTTCTGGTTTCGTGTTCCTCTGAATCGGCCATATTGCGGGCTATAGTAGGAGCACAGCTGTCAATTTAACATCAAAATAGGTTGACCTTCCATGTATTTGCGTAATCTTCAAAACCAGCGCCAGCATTCCTTCCTTTGATGAGGAGACTCATGAAAGGTTCCAAAATTTATCAACACATCGTCTAGAGGCAAACAAAGAACCCCTTCCGAGTGTGCCCGTAAGGTAGAGCCAAAAGCTCGGCGCGTGGAGAAATATCTGATCAGATATTTCCGAGATGTCGTACAAGTTGCTTGACGTTTGCTGCACCACCCATCAAAGGAAACAACAATCTATGGCCTGCCACGTGCCTCGATGGCGACCATTCGTCACCATGCCAAGCGTGCCGTGCCGATGAATGATTCGAATTTTCGCTAAGCCACGATGCTTAATCTCGTTATAAAGTGATAGTCCTGATTGTTCGCTACATCTTGACAGCTGCTATTGCTAGTTTGCAAATTTGCAGCAGCTTACGGTACTACGGTACATATGCACAACAGGTAGTCCTCTTCCCACCCCAAGCTGAAGTGTAGGTGGGCCCTATCTACATAAACATGCGACAAATCCAGTGGTTATGTTCTCTGTACTCTCTATCCTTAGCAACTTTATTAAATCTACCTCATCAGCTTGCTGTGACATGGGTGGCAGCAAAATCCTTACGTAAGCTTGCTGTGACAGCCGTTTGCATGAATTGCAACTAAACCATCTTGAATCTGCTGACGCACCTTCGTACTCTACACTGAAACTGCCCGAACTGAAATTCGGAAAAACATCGAGTCCCGTATGTGGAGCTGTTTGGCGATAGGCAGGCCCAAGTCGCCGTGGGCAGCTCTCATCGATCCACGCCGTCAATACAAGAGGAGAGTCGAGAGCGGTGGGCACTTACAACCAAATACTCCACCGCGCTGCCCCGTGGACGCCGCAACACAAGCATGCTGATGAACTGCATCCACCAACCGCCTAATAGCTGCCTCCACACACCGTCGTAAAACGTTCCCCTCCCTTCTCCGAGCCATGGTGACCGCCGTTGACGACGACTACGTTGGATTGAGAACGCACCGGCATTTTGCTTTCGCGCAAGGACGGATTTTCAGCAGCAGCGAGCGAGTTACACGAGAAGTCATGGATCGTCTCTGGCACGACCGCACGGGATGGGCCTCCTCAGACCCGGCGACAGCCATGCAGGTTCGATGTTTCACACAGTGAGCGCTCTTGACTGTGCTGGTGACATGTTAATAGTCTAAGCGGGGAGGCTACGTGGTACACCACACGAGCACTCCCCTCATGCCGCCTTTCTGTGCGCTGCTGCTCCCCTATCTCTCTCCCGCCTCTCCCCGTTCGCGCATCTGTCGCAGGACAGTGTCGCGCAAGTCGGTGCCGTCGCATGCTTGGATGACGGCGAGCAGGCGCCGCCTGGCAAGGCGGCGATATCGGCGGCCCGCGATGGGCCTGGCGCGCCTGCTGTCGCCACGAATAACGGGGCGGAGGCTCCACCTCGCGCGCTGTTCCATCCGATCAAGGTGGCCGTCGGGGTTTCTTCTAACACCCTTCGCTCACTCCTTTCGCCGAATCGCGCACGTCGCTTTCCCGTTCACGTATCATGTCCCGCCCTGCCGTTCTGCCGACGTCAGCCCTCTCATCTCTCCGTGCGCTCGTCGCGTCGCAGGTAGACGACATGCACGCGGAGATGGACCGCCTGCGACTCGAGCTGTGGGCGGCGCGCATAGAGTGCAGCGAGTTGAGGGCTCAACTAGAGGTGCGTCAGAGGCAGCGCTGCCGTGCCGTGCGGTGCAGTCCTTGGTTGGTCCCGCCGTGATCATCACGCCGGTGACTGCCTTTCGCCCTCCCGCCTCGCCCCTCCGCCCGTCCCTTGTAACCCTCTCCACCCCTCCTCCCCACCTGCCTGCGTCCCACCCCTCCGCTGCGCGGGGCGTGCAGGCGCGGTCGGAGCGCGCGCTGGAGGAGGAGCGCCTGGCCGGCGCGAGGAGCGCGCGGGAAGAGGCGCAGCGGCAGGTGGAGGAGGCGAGAGGCGAGGCGGCGGCGGCGAGGCGCGAGGCGGAGCGCGCGAGGCGGTACCACGAGGAGGAGGTGGCCGTGCTGCTCGGCGCGCACCGCGACAAGGAGGCGCTCTGGCAGCGCAAGGTAGGGGCAAGGTAGCCGCGGGGGAAGAATGGTAGCCGCAGGGGGAAGGTAGCGGGGGGGAAGAAAGGAAGCCGCAGGGGGAAAGGTACGGGTGAGGGGGGAGGGGAAGGAAGAGAGGGGGAGGTATCCGCAGGGGAAAGGTAGTCGCATGGGGAAAGGTAGCCGCATGGGGAAAGGTAGCCGCATGGGGAAAGGTTGCCGCATGGGGGGAAAGGTAGCACAAGGGGGGGAAGGTAGCCGGGGGAAGGTAGCTGCATGGGGGGAGGGGGAGCGGTGGGAGGTGGAGGAATTTGCAGGGGGCAAGGTAGCAGAGCCCGTGCGTTGGTGAACGTGGAGTGGAGTGGGTGGTGGTGGGTGCGGCGTGGCAGGGAGAGCACCGCAGGGCCCGCGTGCAAGCAGTGGCGTCATGCATGCGTGTCGCGCACTCCCTCCTAGCGCATCCGCGCACGCTGTGCCTCTTCCCCCCTTGCCTCTTCACATGCGCCTCACCGTCCCTCGCTGCCTCGTTCGTTATTTCTCTTGCCCTATGTGCGCCCATCCCCCTGACTAAAGCGTCGATCCCCCTTGCCTGTGTGCGCCCGTCCCCTTGTCCGTCTGTGTGCGTCCATCCCCTTATCCGTCTGTGTGCGCCCAACTCCCTGTGTGTGCTTCCATCCCCGCGCGTGTGTGCGGCAGGAGGTGGAGTTGGAGCACGAGCTGCGCCACCTGCGCCACCGACTGGCCGACGCACGCAACGGTCAGCGCCTTCACCCTCACCTGCGCCATGCCTTGCCTTCTCACCCGCCCACCACGCGCTAACCCCCCGTGCCCTCACGCTGCCACCACGCACCTGCCCTCCTTGACTGCTCATCCCTCCCACGCCCGTTCTTCCCCCCTCCCCGCCCCCTCGCGCATCATACCTGCAGCGCTGTGTGTGGCGGAGGCGTGTGCGCAGGGCGCGCGGGAGGAGGGCAGCAGCGCCGTGGCTGTGCTGCGCGGGCAGCTGGCGGGGGCGCTGCGGGCGGCGGCGGAGCGGGAGAGGGAGCAGGAGGAGGCGATGCAGCGCGTGGACGGCGAGCTGGCGCGGCTGCAGGGGCAGGCGGACGCCGCCGCGCAGCGCGAGGAGCTGGCGGCGGCGCTGATCGACCGCCTGCCCGCCGACAACGAGGCGCTCAGGGCCGCGCTGCTCGCCGCTCAGGAGGGCGCGCATGGCAGCACGGCGGCGCGCAGGGGGCGCGTGGAGCAGGAATGCAGCAGATTGCAGGCAGCAAAGGAAGAGGGTGGAGTTGTTGGTGAAGGGAAGTCAGTGCAGCGGGTTCCAGGAGGAGTGGTGCGGCGAGACATGCTTCAACCCAAGGAATCTCAAGCCCCGCATCCTGATGGCGCTCGTGACTGCGGTGGTGGCGGTGGTGGTGCTGCAGAGGATGCAGAGGAAGCAAGGTGTGCGCGTGACGAGCGGGGTGGAGCCAGTGGGGTGCGCGGTGGGCAGGCTGCAGCTGGTGCACGGGGGTCAAGGGGAGCAGGGGGCGCAGAGATGCAGGCGGGCAGCAGGGAATGGGGGGAGGGGGGTGCGCATGGTGGTGCATTTGAAGGGAGAGCGTGGCCGAGTGCGGTGGGCGGGGAAGAGCCTGAAGGCCCACCGGAGCAGTGGCATGAGAGCGGGGGCAGTGAGCAGCGTGCTGCAGACGCTGGCAGCGCTTGCGCCGTGGAGGAGCGGCGTGGCGGCGAGTACGAGTCAGCGTTCACGCTGCCGGTGCCCCGGCAGGGCGCGTGGAGCCGCGCCAAGCAGGCGGTGGCGCAGTACTATGGTGGGGGCGCAGGCGAGGAGGGCGAGCAGGAGCAGCGCGAGAGGGAGCTGGAGGAGGTGCTGGAGGAGAACGGGCGGCTGGAGGAGCAGCTGCGGGCGCTGCAGGCGCAGGTGGGCAAGGCACAGCGCGTGGTGGCATGGCAGGGGCGGCTGCGGCAGCGCGTGCTGCAGCTGCGCGTGTGTCTGGAGCTGACGAGCAAGGTGGTGGACGTCAAGGACCGCGCCCTCGAACTCGCCGTGCACCGCGCCCGCGCCGCTGAGGCCCGCTGCACCCACCTCGACCGCCGCCTGCACCTCCTGCTGCCCGCCGCGAGCTCTGCTGCCCCCGCTGCCCTGGGCGAGCACGGCAGCTCCCAAGCTGCCACGGGGGCAGATGGCTGTGGGGACATTGCAGGGACTGGGCTGCAGAGAAGGTGTGCAGTGGCGGAGATTGAGGCTGAGGGCGAGGATGCGGCAGGGGTGCAGCATGGAGGAGAGGCAGGTGCAGCGTCAAGGCATGAGGAGGGGGGCGCCCAGGAGGAGGGCAGCCCGGAAGGCGCTGAGGAGGGGGCGGGCGCAGTGGAGGCGGGTGGTGAGCAGGGCGTGGTGGCGACGGTGTCCACTGGCAGCTCAGCGCGGGCCGGCATGCGTCGCAGGAGCAGGAGCAGGGGCCGCGTGCAAGGCGGCAGTGAGGCCAGTGGAGAGGAAGAGGAGTGGCCAGCGGTGGGGCTGAAGGAGCTGCAGGCGAGGCGGGACGTGCTGCTGATTGCCATGCACGGGCTGAGGGAGCGTGCAGCACTGGCTGCGGAGATGGGGCTGCGAGCGGCAGCGGTGATGGGGCGGCAGGGCAAGGACAAGCGTGCAGAGGTGAGCGAGATGCTGGCAGCCATGGAGGGCGAGGCTGACGAGGCGCGTGTGCTGATTGAACGCACAGAGAGGATGGTGGCCCGCATGGCCGCACTGGAGCGAAGGGGAAAGGTCCTGGAACGCAAGATGGAGAGCAAGCGGGTCAAACTAGTCCATTTGGAGAATAAGTTTCACCTGGCTCCCAAGCCAGTTGGTGTTAAGTTGACCTGCTTCTCGTGGAGGCTGAGATTCATATAGTGCCACATGTTGTGGAGTCATGATGTCAAATGCATTCACCATCACAATATTGCTCAAGCCGTTCTAAGAAACCTTCCGTATGATGCCCAAACATTCACTGTTAAGCATCTTGTTAGACAGTATGGTGATTCAAAGCTACTGCTCAGGTACAGAAAGAATTATGCTGTTGAATGGCTAGAGTCGGTAATCATGTCATATTTATGAAACACCTGCATAGCCACATCATACAGAGTATTGTGTTTGCTACCTATAACACATCATTGAGTTTTTTGGAACCAAATTGTGGACGTCAGCCAACATGCACAGTAGAACCTGACACATCTGACGCATTTGCGAAAGTCCGTTGGAGTGGATTGGTTCGCGCGGTGGTGGCGGGCCTCACACCGCTTGGTTGGGGGGACTGTCCCAGCCTGGACGGGTCGCGAAGCAGACGCGAATGCGATGCGTTGCGAAGTGACGGAATTCCAGCAGGCAGGGCAGGCGGGATGGATTTTGGGAGACCGACTGCCCCCTGAGCTCACTCGCTCTCAGTTGAATGGTAGCCTAGACACGCCCTGAGAAATAGCTCCCCCCTCATGCCACTGCTCCAACACCCCCTATCATCCCTTGCTTTCTGCTCCCTCTCCCTTGGCTTCTCTGCACAACCTCTCCGCCTTTGCCCTGTGCAACACCTTTGCGATTGCGGCTAACCCACTAAGAGGACGATAACCTTTCTAGGTCGTTTGGTGTGGGTACCTCGTCGTGTAACGCAGTCGAGTCGAGCAGTGGGTACCTCGTAGGCCACGGTACCGACACTAGCGAGCGTAGGATCCGACGGGTGGCGCAGAGCGAGCAACGCAGTGGATGACGATAGGCGGAGTATGGACGCGAGGATGTGTGCGGCTCGTTGTGCTTCTCTGCGGTGAGCCTGCGCGTGCATGGCACCAGCAGCGCCACCAGCATGCAGTGTCCACGCTGCCAAGCCCTCAATTTTAGCAATTGTTAATACGTCAGAGAGATTCTAGCTCCCGTCGCAGGCGCTGTGACTCACGCGTGCCTTGCTTGCTGCCCACCAGGAACCATGGCAGCCTCCGCGCTGCTGCCTGCTCACGTCACGCGCTTCGAGTCCGTGCCAGGGCTTGCAAGCTGGAATGCCGCCACGCGTGTGGAAAACATATCGCGGGTGTCCACGTGGCAGGATGACCTGGACCGCCTGCCGCCCCTTAACTCCACCAATCGCCGTCGACTCGCTGGTAAGCGACCGCGCGTGAATGTTTCGCCTTCCCGATCCGCGCATCGCGCATCCGTTTCGCCCCAACCACATCCCAATAGCTGCGACTGAGCTTCTCCGTCCCCGCTGTGCCTTGCTGCACATCCCCGTACTCCCGGTGCCTTGCAACGCATCCCCGTCCCCCCTGTGCCTTGCAACGCATCCCCGTCCCCCCTGTGCCTTGCAACGCATCCCCGTCCCCCCTGTGCCGTGCTGCGCGTCCCCGTCCCCCCTGTGCCGTGCTGCGCATTTTTCTCCCCTGTTTTCCCCCCTTCCTTGTCGCGCTTCCCCGTGCCTTAATGCGCTGTTACTGCGACCCGCCGTTCCCTAGGTGGGCCCCTGCTGCCTTGCTGCCGCTTCCCGCCGCACCGCGCCGCAGCCCCCGCCGATAGAGTGTTTTGTATTCACTGATTACGCTTGTGTCGCACCCTGCCCCTGTGCTTGTGCGCCTGCAACGCGATTGTGTTTGTCGCATGACGCGCAGCGTGCGACTACACGGTGGGGCGGTGGGTGTACGACGCGCGGCGGCGGTCGTACAGCAGCAAGTGCGCGTGGATCCGCTCGGCCTTCAACTGCGAGCGGAACGGGCGGCGCGACACGGGGTACACCAAGTACACGTGGAAGCCCAGCGCGTGCACCGTCCGACGCTTCGACCGCGCCTACTTCAAAGCCCTGCTCCGCAACAAGGTCAGCCGCCTCGCCCCATCATGCGCTCCCGCGCTCACCCTACCGATTCACTTGATCCCCCTCGCCCTGTCCTTTTCTCCCCCCCTCTACCTGTTCGCCCTGCTTCCGCCACCTGTCTGTCACAAACCCTCTGTGCCGCGTCTGATGTGCGCCCTCCGTGCGTGCATTTGCGCGAGCAGGTGGTGGCGTTCGTGGGCGACTCGTTTTCGCGCAACCTGCAGCAGGCCATCGCGTGCGAGCTGGGCGTGGACGACCACGTGGAGCCGTGGTCGGGGTGGCTGGGCGGCACGCTCGTGTCGGGGCTGGCCGTGCCGCGCTACAACCTGAAGCTCGTGGCCGTGGTGGCGCCGTACCTGGTGCGCTACAGCAACCAGGACTGGGCGTTCAAGCAGTACGGGCTGCGGCCGGGCGACGGCAGCCGCTACGTGGTGTGGCTGGACCACATGGACGAGCAGTGGGCGGCCGTGCTGCAGCACGTGGACCTGGCTGTGTTCATGTCGGGCCACTGGTTCCTGGACAAGCAGGGCGCCGAGGCCGTGCGCTCCACCGTGTATGTGGCCAACAACAGGGTGGTGCGCTTGAGCGGCATGAGCGCGTACCGCGCCGCCATCCGCAGTGTGAAGCGGTTCGTGGCCGTGGAGCAGAGGTACCGTGGCGTGCCCATGTGGCTCACCTACTCCCCCTCCCACTACTCGAGAGGTAACCCCCCCACGTGCCGCCACACCACACCCATATCTACGAAGAGAGTTCAAGCCATGGTGGCCCGTGACATCTCCACAGCCTTCAGACAGCTGGAGGTGAGGGAGCTGAAAAAGTCGCCGTTTCGAATAATCGACATCACCCGCATTTCCCTCTTCTGCCCAGATGCGCATGTGAAGCGTTTCTATGGAGCCAAGACAAACAGCAAAACAAAGTGGGACTGCACCCACTGGTGTTTACCTGGACTTCCAGACGTCTGGGCCGACATATTCCAGTTTGTTCTCAAAACGCAATTGAGACGACACAAGAAGTAACATACCAACCATCCATTTGTTCAATTTGAGGATGTTGAGACTTGTACCGTATAGTTCCGGCTAGAAGACCCGGGGGACTCTCTACAAATGCTTGAAAATATGCTTGGGTGGACATTATGGCGGTTGCAAATTTTTAAGACCCGGGGTACACTTATTTATCATATATCAATCTGTTATTTAGGGTGTACAGTTCAATTTGGGGCAGGGGGGGTCTTATATTCGTAACGAAAAACAGCCTACGCGTGCAGATTTCGCGCGAGCGGCGCGTCAGTTTTCTGTCAGAATTCGAGTCTGACACAATCAAAGTGTCAGAATTCGAGTCTGACACAAAATGCATGTCAGAATTCGATTTTTTGCCAGTAAAAACTGACTCACAATAGAGATAACAACTACTCTATACATAAAAGGGGGGTCTTATGATGATTAGAGGCCAACGGGGGGTCCTCACAATATCTGCCACAATGAGTCCCCCTACCCATTCAAGAGTCCCGGGGGACCTTCTTACCGGCGGGTCTTCTAGCCGGAACTATACGGTACTGTGTCGGTAATTGACGATCCCCACTGATCATGGGCAATTACAGTGTATTGTAGTCTCGAACTCTTACAGCACTACCAGATGTGATGTGACATTGTACGCCAGCAAGAGCTACCAAAATGCAGGAGAAACATTTCAGAGAGGTTGCTAGAGAGCCAGACCACGGTGGCCTTTTCTTGTTTCATTATTAACAAGCACGAGTGGGAACAGGTAAACCAGTGAGGGAAGTTCGAGCTGAGTGACAATGAAAGCACCTTGTGTTGATGTTTGAATACTATGTTGAAACGAGCTCGGTTACTTTTTTTTTTTTCCGAAGAAGTTGACTCTACATGTGGAACAAACAAGACGGGGAGGTGAAAGAGAGGGAGGAGGAAAACAGGACAGGAGGTATATGACCTTGCCAGCACCACCCCGAGCTCCGCCGCCGGCTGTTCGTCCCATGGCTTATGTAGGAAGGGGGGTGGGGGGAGGGGGAGGAAGAAACCGGAGAGGGAACGTTAAGGAGATCGGAATGGGGAAGGCGGAAGCAGAAAGCAGTATGATAGTGCCAAGGCCATCGCTCACCTTTTGCCAAAACCCAAGGGAGTGAGAGAGAGGCGAGCGGGGGTGGGGTGGGGGGGAGATGATAGGAAGGGGGTAAGAAAAAGGCACAATTGCGAATGCACAGGAGGAATGTGGGAAGCCGTATGATAATGCTCAGCGCATGGCCCTGTAAGCACCCTTTTGCACCTCATCACCCCTTTGTCATAGATACTGGAGCACACATGGGCTTGGGTGGGTGGGGAGGGGGGTCCTGATAGTGGCCAGATGAAACGGATGGGGTGGATGGGACCATGATTGGTGTGGATTATAAATGAGAGACAAAGTGCGTGGTGATAGTTTGCGACCACAACCATGCACGGGACATGTGCGCATACCGACCACCCTGATCAATGCTTTACTTTGACTGGCCATACGAACCGGATGCCCTTTAAGTTAATTCACTAGATTAGACTATTTTGTACCTACTTGCTATGAAAATGAGAACGAGAATGGATGAACTATGAAATGAAGTGAGTACAAATATGAAACCCTAATTGGTTGTACCCCCTATGGGATACCCCACTATAGCCTACATAACAGCATAAGCTACAATGTTCTGACACACCCCCATAGGCAAAGTGGGGGAGAACAAGGGGTCACAAGACCAGTCAAGCAAAGCAAAGCAAAGGAAAGCTCAGGGTGGATCACAAAGTCACCACACAGTCCGAGCACAGGGTCAAGGCCACACGGCCAGTTCACATGCAAGAGTACACACATATATATAAAGCTAGACAAGCAAGAGCAGGTATATATATATGTGAGAGTACAAGCAAGGTCAAGAGGAGAGCAAGTGAGGCAAGACGGGCACAAGACCCAGCTGAGTGCAGAAGCGCTGATGATCACAAGGCGGAAGTGCCTTGGTGAAGACATCAGCAGTGTTGGCCTCAGAGGCCACGTACGCAAGCCGCAACTGTCCACGTTGCTGTAGCTCACGAGCAAGGAAGTAGCGGAGAGCAATGTGCTTTGTTCTGTGCTCCAGTCGCTGCTCTCGACACAAGGCCAGCATGGCCTTGTTGTCTACGTACAGGACTGGAGGAGAACGAGGCGGCTCTCCAAGGTCGGTCAGCAGGTAGGTGAGCCAGCGAAGCTCCTGTGCAGCCATGGCCCCGGCGTAGATCTCAGCCTCACAACTCGAGCCAAGAACAGAAGACGAGCGAGTAGCCCGCCACGAAACAGAGCCGGAACCAAGGCTGAAGGTGTAACCCTGTGACGACCGCTGCGTAGCCTGGTCGTCAGCCCAAGAAGCGTCCGCGTGCCCAGTGAGGACCACTGGACTCCGCCCTCCAAGCACTAGCCCCATGCCCGACGTACTGCACAAGTAGCGCAACACCCTCTTCGCTGCAGCCATGTGCTCTGGTCTGTGTCTCCCAGGAGCAACATAGCGTGCAAGAATGCTAAGAGGGTATGCAAGGTCAGGTCGTGTGCAGGTCATCAGGTACATGAGGCAGCCAACAAGCTCTGGGTACGGGCCACTCGACTCTACGGACTCATCCGAAGGCAGAGCTGAGAGCGAGTGGCGAGTAGACAGAGGAGTGGCCTGAGGCGAGGAGTACGTGAAGCCGAAGCGCTGAAGGACCTGCTGCACCATGTGTGACTGAGTCAGGGTAATGGTGCGGCGTGCTCTGTCCCGGGTGATCTGCAAGCCAAGGTAGCTGCGCAGTTCACCCAGGTCTGTGCACGTGTGTCTCTTCTGCAGCTCGGACTTCACGTAGGCGAGTCCAGCAGTGTCAGCTGTGGCAAAGACCAAGTCGTCGACGTACACGAGGATGTAGAACGGCGGCAGAGAGGTGTCGGTGCGTAGAAACAGCGACGGGTCGGCAGTAGAAGGAGCAAACCCAAGAGCCGCAAGCGTAGTCCTCAGTGTGTCGTGCCACTCACGTGGCGCCTGGCGGAGACCGTAGACTGGACGCCGGAGACTCCACTGGGTACCAGGAGGGAAAGACCCAGTGAAGCCAGGTGGGCGACGCAGCCAGATCTCCTCGTGCAGGCTGCCCTGCAAGAAAGCTGTGCTGAAGTCAAGAGAGTGCAGCTCGTAGTCACGGTGAGCAGCAACGTGCAGCAGTACCCGAAGAGTGGTCATCTTCGGGGTGGGGGAGAAGGTCTGAAAGTAGTCAACTCCCTGCCGCTGACTGAAGCCACGAGCCACGTAACGCGCCTTGAAGACAGGCGGAGAACCCGGCGGCCGCTTCACCCTGAAGATCCACATGCCACTGACGATGTTCGCCCCAGGAGGGGGGACAGCGTCAACGTAGGTGCCTGTGGACTTCCAGGAAGCCATCTCTGCATCCATAGCTGCCTGCCACTGAGAGGAGTAGGGACCCTCTATCGCCTCCGCGTAAGAGCGCGGAGTCGGGATGTCAAGTGCATCCGGGTCTCCCTCAGGGGTAAGCAGTACGGACACGAGATGAGGTGAGGCAGCTGCCAGACACTGGAACTCCTCCTGCCTGTCCTCAAGGACGTCCGTGCCAAGGGCACACTCACCCCCGACGGACGGAGGACAGACAGACTCAGACTCAGCGACAAGACTAGCAGCGTAGTCTAAGCGACAGCGAGCAGCAAAGTCGACGAGCTCAGTAACGAGAGCAGACGCAGCAGTAGACTCGAAAGAAGGGTCAGTGACAACAGTAGCAAGGAGACGCGTGACAGTAGGACTGGCAGCACGAAGAGAGTCCGACTCCGGGTCGGCAAGAGCAGGAAGAGAGGACTCAGGAGGAGAAGGCAAAGGGGCACGCAGAGGAGCCGTGGACGGACGCAGAGACATCCGGTGCGTGCCAGGGACAGGAGGAGGACGCTGACGCGAACCGCGACCACTAGTGCGAGCAGCACGGACAGGCGACGCAGGGCGAGACGCAGGCTCACGACGCTCAGCCAGACCTCCAGTAGGACCAGTGTAGGGAGAAGGAGCAGGCAAAGGGGAGGTAGGCTGCAACTGTAGCTGGGACGAGACAGGCTGTGGACACTCTAAGGGAGGAGGAGGACCAGTAGAAGGTGGAAGACCAAGAACCTGCTGCAGGAGTGGAACGAAGTACGGTCGAGGCCGCGCGGCGACGCTAGAAGCAGTAGGGACAGCACCAGAACCCTCAGCAGGAGCACCCGCTCCAGCAGCACCACCAGTAGCTCCAGAACCTCCAGCAGCACCAGGAGCACCCCCAGTAGGACTGCCAGCGGTAGTCTCAGCGCCAACACCCTCAGCAGCACCAGCTCCAGTGCACCCAGGACGAGCACCTCCGGGACCCGCGACCGCAGCACCCTCAGCAGCCGAAGGACCTCCAGCACCAGCAGCACGCCTCCAGCGCCGGGCAAACCACTCACGCAGCTCCTGTGGCGAAAGTGGCTCCCGGCGAGACGAAGCACTCGGAGAACCTCCAGGCGGAGCACCTCCAGGCTCAGCACCCCCAGGCGTAGCACCCCTAGGCTCAGCACCCCCAGACGTAGCACCCCTAGGCTCAGCACCCCCAGGCTCAGCACCCCTAGGCTCAGCACCCCCAGGCTCAGCACCCCCAGGCTCAGCACCCCCAGGCTCAGCACCCCTAGGCTCAGCACCCCCAGGCTCAGCACCCCTAGGCTCAGCACCCCTAGGCTCAGCACCCCCAGACGTAGCACCCCCAGGCCCAGCACCCCTAGGCTCCGCACCCCCAGGTACAGCACCCCCAGCCTCAGCACCCTCAGCAGCACCAGAGTCACCAGTGACCTCGACAGGCTCGACTGCGTCTACCTGGGACACACCTGAAGGGGCAGGACCCTGAGGGGGGAGGGGGTCTACCTGGGGGGGACCTGGTACCAGGAAGAGTGGGGGTGGGGGGAGGGACGGAGTGCGGTAGGGGAAGAGGCGGTAGTAGGGGACCGACTCGTCAAACGTGACGTCCTGGGAGGACAGAACACG